AGAGCAGTATCGAAGCTATCAGCGGCTTTCTTGGGCCCCCGCGACTCCCCCACTTTGGGCACCTCTGGTTTAGATTATACGACGTTTCCTAACCACGCAGCTCGTCCGCACATTTTCGCTTCTCGCAATACTTCCAGGGACTCCCGTAATGTGCATGTTTCGAGCTGGTCCTTCTTGGCAGACGTTAAGTCGGAGCTCCTTCTGAGCATGCGCCGTGAATAGGGCGCCTCCAGCTCGAGCAACGACCACGAGCACAGACCCGACGAGGAGTGTCGGTTTCCTTCCTGGCGTCAAAAAGCTCTTCCGCGCCGTCGAGCTGCGGGTAATTGGAGGGAAAACGCGTTTTGTCCGTGTATCGGAAACGACATCGGGCCCCGGGCGAGTCAAAGAGACGTCCGACTGACCGCAGCCGTGGCAAATGAGTCCTCCTCCCAAATGCCCGAGGCCCCGACAGGGGGCGTCTCCGCATTCCCGATCCAATCTCTCGCTCTTCTCCTATTCTATCTCGACGAGTTTGTTTGGGCTCTCTTGACAAGCTACGCTGATCGAACGGTTCTACTCGGGTCGAGAGGTGTGCACCAAGACCCGCATCAATTTCAGCAAAAAGAAACTTCACTGGTTGATTTATAAACGACGTGGAATTCGAAGAAGCTCGCCTCCCCTATTTTCTTTCCGCTTTCTAATCACGGAATGTCTTCTATCTTTATCTGGCAAATACATTATTCGCCCCTGAGGCAGGATACGGTATACACCACGCGGGCGATGAAAGTCACGCGGCTCCAGATGAGCGAGTGGTTACCTTTCCCATCGACCTTGGTGCGAGCTCCCTCCCGAAGCGCTCATGTAACACTTACTTCGTAATTACCCGACGAAATAGCTGTTATCGAAATTTCCGAAGATTAATTTAACGCGCGTGACGATCGGCGTCCACCGAGATACCGTGGCTCTCATTCCGTGCTACCTTGAAGTTGTAGTACAGAGTCCGCCGTGTTGCAGTCCGTTTTCTTCGTATATTTTCCCCCGGTCTTCTTTTGTCTCAAAAGTTTTGTCTTACAGGTACGGTAAAAGCCCGAAAACACGCAGCTTGGGTACGTTACGAAATCGACAACAAAATATACATACAAGACGAAACAAGCCGCAGGGCCCGTTCGGCGTCTTCTGAACAAACCAAACCCCCCCACCCCCCCCCCCCCCCCCCCCCCCCCCCCAAAAAAAAAAAAAGAAAAAAAAAGGAATATATTTTTTTCTCGGTAACCTGCACCGGACGCCATGAAAGCGAGCCCAAAGGAGGAACTGTTCACTTTCCATTTTCGGGAGCAGAAGAAAGCAGCGGCGCGCAGTGCCTCTCATTCCCCCGACGCAGAACAGCGTCCCCTCGGCGTGTCCCTTTGTCGCGGGACCCCGTCGCCTCGGGAGGGTGGAACAATGGCTGGGCCTCCGCGACGACCACGACAACAAGCGCAGGGGACAACAGCCAGAGAACGCACCGAAGATCTTTCCCTCCCGGGCGAGCAGCGATTTGGACCAGCTACGAAACAAGGCCTCCGCATGACGTCATCGGTAGCGGGGGGGAAAACACGCTGAAGCTCGCAAAGCGGCGGACGCGTCCGTCTTGGCGTCTCCGCGTCGCGCTCGTCGTGAGACTCTGGGAGACGCGCTGACGGCGACGCTGACGCGAACTATTCGGCGCTGCGTGGGTCCACTGGTGATGACGCTTGCGGGGGCCTTGTCCTCTGGGTGGCATTGTTTGTAGCGACCTTGGAGCCCTCGGGCCGGAGGACAGGGGCTCCCCAATCCCTAATTTCCCGCGGAGGAAGGTTGACGACCGCGGGATGGCTCAATTACCGCTGCGGCCTTGATAAGCTGACAGCGGGCCGTCTCGCTCAACCAATGGGAGTGTCGGGTCTCTCCCCACGTGATCGACAGCACGCGAGAGTAGCCGTCACGTGGGGAGGCACGAGCACTCCTCATGTTTCTCTGGTAGCGTCGCAAGCGACTCGTGGCATCCGTGACCACAGCGCGGCACTGCCAGCGCGAACATCCAGAACATCCCAGAGCCATGTATGGCATATGGCCCTGGAACATCCGACTGCCAGTGTCTTACTTTTAAAAATTAAATCGGTCTAAGCGAGTAATTGTGTTGCGTGTTTGTTTCGACAGCGGAAAGTAGTGGGCATCTGCTGTCCCCGCTGTAGATGAGAGACAGCGCGCGAAGGTCATCCACGCAGCGGTGGTACACGTCCGCACACCGGTACGGGCAAAGGTGGGAGGGATCGAGAGCAGGATCACTAGGTTCCGCAGTGCGAGCTTTCGCTCCAGGTGCTCCGAGCTGCTACTGGCGCGAGCGCACGGCTTCATCTATGGTTTCGTCAGCGCAAGGACGCGTGGAAATGATCTGCGAAATCAAACCCCATACTCGTGCCAGCAGCGTTGGCGCTGGGCAGCGTCGTACACTAAGAATGAAACAGAACATAGTGTGACGGAAAGCCACTATTCGAGGCAGTGGCCTAAACGGTAAAGTTGAGCGGCGGCCATCATTCACCTCGCGTGACAAAAAGCGTCGCTGCCGTCGTGAGTGGAATTTGGTACCCTTACAACGTCGAGTTTGACGACGTTGCAGAGTACCTAACTTGCTGTTCTCAGTGTCAGGATGCGACACACAGGAATCCCGAAGCTCAGCTCCGCACTCTACACCACCGAGCTCTGACATACATCCAGGAACCTGACGCGTGGGCTCGAGCAGCGTGAGAGAAGACTCCAGCGACACGCGCGTACCATTCCATTCGTCCGAACAAGGTCAAGTGAGATACGTGCTTCTTTCTTTTTGCGGCGCGGCAACATGCACGCTGCATGCTGACAGAAGGCTCCTCCGTGGCAGTGCTGCGGAAGCAGGCAGGTAGGCGCGCTCGTATACTTTCGAACGCGATAACGTGTTCCCCCTCTTTGCTATTCGGGGGTTTAGAAAACGGCAAGTTCATCTCCGACCTTCAGGAACCTTTAATGAAATCCCGCATAAACGGGCAGGGCCGCGGATCGAACCCAGGAGCGATGCGCCAGTTCCACAGCGTGGAACACAAGTGCGTTCGGAAGCCGTGGATGCGTGGCGCGGTTAGGCTTCACTCGCTGCCTAACAACATTTTCCTCCAACGACAAACTTAAGCACGTAAAAAGTGAAGCAAAAGATAAGAAAAGAAAAAGAAAAAAGAAACGCAGTTTAAAGGACATGTAATATAAAAACAAATCGGAGGGGAAAAAGGGCGACCAGTTCGAGGAACGTTCTAAATTATAATGCCTTCGGTTCGATCAGTAGGCCGAGTTCTTTAGCATTTTCCCCGGTCCCGACGTAAAATGAGGAAAATACAGGGCCACACAAGCAGACGAGGTTCGTGCGATAGAAATCAAGATGGCGAGTGCGGTCCACGGTGTAGTCCTCCGACTGCCGCATGTATATAATTTCCATTACTGGCTTTGCGCGCTTTAATTATTCATTCGGTTTCGCCGGAGAGGATAAATATTTAGTTATGTGAAAATACCGAATAGTACCGCAGCCAGTCAATGCCAGGACAAGTGCAGGACATGTCCTTCGGAGCCTCCGGGACGCGCTCGCTGTGTCCCGTCGTGCTATGGCTCACCGTGCACGCTCGCGTTGGAATCGGAGCAGCGGAAAGACCTCCGTGTCATTCTTATCCTGCCAGTACCTGTATGATACAGATGATGAGCAAAACTAAATCTAGAGAAAAACGTCAACGGTGACGGTGAATGCCGGAATTGCACATTCTGAAAAGAGAAACAGCCTACGGAAAAAGAAACCGAAAACAAGAACGAAAGCATAATCAATGATCAACCAAAAAACAAACTGCTCCAATTTTTTTTTTACACTTTCGGATTTTGGTACGCCAGTGTGCTAGGTCATAGACTCATAACCTATGCCAGCGCGACTGTCAAACATTTGCGCAATGCAGTCGAAATCACGGTCAGATAGGTTTTCATCATAAGGTGCAAGGCGAAGGAAACTGAACTGCGATACAGATTTATCACGCACTCCTTGTGTGCGCAACACTACGATAAGCTTTCTTTCTTTTTCATTTCCGTTTCTTCTTGGCTGCACAGCACTAACTGAAACACGCAGAAGAACGTCGAAGTCGGGGCCCCGCAACCCGGTAACATTTACGGGGCAGGTATCACAGCGGTGCATGTGGTGTCCGTGCCTTAGCACCAGTATGACAGCAGCCAAGATCTAATCTACTCGCCCGCGCTCCTCGTTTGGCATCGGTCGCAACAGCAGGTGGAACGACGCCGACAACCTTCAACGAGCCGCCCACCCAGACGGCTACGTAAACAGCGCGGGCGGACCGGGGGAAAGTTCGTCAGACCCGCGAAAAAGAAACCCCGGAAGACTCGATCGGAACGAGACAAACACAAAAACGCAGACGGCGAGCGTTGGCAGTCCGCCTGCCGCCGGCCGTACGTCACGCCGGAGCGTCTGGCCGCCCGCGGCCCGAACCCTCGGCGCGAGCCCCTCCTGACGAACCGCAGGAGCCGCTGTCATCGGCGTCTGCACGAGCAGTGCGCAGGTGACGGACTGGCCGCGGGTAACCCGTTGGATCCAGACAAACGATCGCGTTGAACGCCGCGTCTGGGAGCCGCTGCGGCCTCCGTTACCAGACGAGCCGTGTGCTATCCGCGTCGCCGGTTCTGCCAGCAGCTGGTGAGTCGCTTGGCAGCGCCTGCGCGCCCCGGGCACGCGTCCAAAAACCGACGGCGCCCCAGAAAAGACGCCAACAAGAAATGGGCGAACGTTAAACGGCCGCGACGGAATTATCGCCCCCCTCGTCCGCTGGCAAGGGTCTCCGGTCGCTCAACTGGTCTACCTCGGCGTACGCCCATTGATGCGAAGATGATCCCGCATCTGAGAAACGCAGCCCCACGTCGTCTGCTAGACGGAACGGGATACGCGTCGTCTGCTCCCCGAGCCAAGATCACCCTGGAGCTTCACCCACCTGACACGGGCGCCGGGGACAGCAGGTCCGTCCACGTGTGGCCCCCGAGCTTCGTCGAGAGTTGCTCGCGCGCCCACGAGCACGCTCCGTCGCCGTTCGAGTCCGGTCGCGCAGCGCACAGCGCCAGAATCGTCGCGGCTACGAGTAATCCGTGTAGATGCGCCATGGAGAAAGATGTGCGGTACGGTGGTACGGCGTGTGCGAAGATCAAGAGGTGGGCATCGCCTTGCTGGGAGCAGAACACTGCACGGAGCACGCACCGCGATGACGACGACGGCGACGACGACTACGACAGTCGAGTACGGCCGCTGCCGCCGGTGTCCGCTTTCCTGAACAACCGGTTTAGCTCGACGTTTGCGTCGCCGTCGGCAGGCGTCGGCGCTAGCGCTGAAGCGGCGGTTGCCGCTACGCGCCGCTTCCATCCCGCCACCGCCGTTTCCGCGCTCACCATTGGTGGAGCACGGGCGGAAGCGCGGGTCAACGTCACTTCCCCCAGGCCTGGGTCAATATCCCGACGCCGTCTGCTCTCCGCGAACTCGCGCATCTGTCCCATTCACACGTTCGTGTTTGGACATGGCGAGGAATGCCGTTTTGGCAAATGACCGATAAGAATGGGCCTGCGTGACGTTTGAGTTACCTTTGAGAATGTTCCGCTTTGTTTTCTTAAACGAATGGATGACCTCGCAAGACGCGTTCGCTCAGCCGTTTGTTCTCAACCTCCCACCCGCGATAGCAGCCGCGAGCGGCTACCTTTAGTGACGCAACGGAGCCCCAGTTCTCCAGTACCGGAAACAAGACGCTCTCACAGCCTCCCGCCGCCAACGCGAGGACGACACGGTGGGCGTCCAAGCCAGCCGCGCACGCACCCAGGGACCCTTATCGGGGAGTTCGCACGGGTCGCATCTGTTGCGAGAGCTTTTAAAATCGGGCTGTTCCGTAGCCGTATCACTTCCAACGTGTCATTAACTTCGATTCGGCGGCCAATAATATTAATGATGCTAAGGGCGGACCCATTACCTATTCATTTGTAGCCCGCGCAGAAACGCTAGAACCAACAGATGTGAGCCGGAAGCCGACGTCATAAAAACGAGACAACCCACGGTGTCCCGTGCACTGAACCACTTGCCATGGACGGTCAGCTCTTAAATTACGTAATTCAGCCGATTCCGACCACGACCGGGCCAGTAACAGCGGCAAGTTCTGCCAAATAATTTTGAGCAAATGTACACACAGGAGTATCTTTTGGAGTACCTAAAATACAGGAGGCCAAAATAAACTAACCATCGCCGAACGCTCATTCTCCGCCCGAATGTAGCACTCTACAGGTCCGAACTAGATGACAAAACTGAACATAACTGCTATCTTATTCAAAAGTTGATTTTCTAAAATTGTCAATGGCTCGCATTTTCACTCGTTTTTGGTGGAATGGGGGGGGCTTGGGCCGCCGGCGGTGCGCCGCGAAGCGGCGTGTACTGGTGGGCCAGGTGGGTTAATATTTCGTAATGAGCCATCCGCAGACTGTCGCCACGACGGTTAGTGCTGACACTTTGGAATCTGGTTGAAACCTCTAGGGCTACATTTGGGCAATGAGCGTTCGGCAACGCAGTTTACTTTTGCGGTAAAAATAACACTATATATATATATATATATATATTTTTTTTTTTCGGGGACTTCTTGCACATTTTAATAATTGTTACAGCCGAAGGTAATTCCAAAGTTGCTTCAAATGTATCTAAAATAGTTTGGGAAGTAGCCTGGTATTATACAAAGAGCGTCAAGCATTCTTCTGGTATTTACCGATCTAATCACATTCTTTTCAGATTTTTAACTAGACTAGGATTGTGCACTTTATGTAACAGAAGGTCTATCCGGGATGCTAAGTTTTTGCATAAGTTGGTTCACGGATCAATAGACAGTTCTACTTTGCTTGCTTCTTTACATTTTCACATTCCTGTTAACACAAGTTCTAGAAATCGTAGCGTTTTATCCAGATAACCTTAACTTGTCACCTATATCACGAATTCAACATGTGCTTAACACGAAGTATTGCGGCATTGATATTTTTTGTACAACTTTGCCCCATATGTTTTACACATGTGCATGATTTTAAAATCGGTTTAAGGATGTATTTTTTGCAACATAAATGTCTTACATTGTGCTTTACCGCAAAATAAATATTGTATTGTATTGTATAGTGCTCTACTGTTAAAACGCAGTAAGAACTTCTTGGGTATTTTGTATAAGAAATAAATACTCATACTTGAATGCATTCAAAATGAAGTTCTCACATGGAAAGACAAGTGTGAACATAAAGCTGAAGGTCATCCTCACCACCAGTGGCGTAGCCAGGAATTTGTTTCAGGGAAGAGCCACTGCTCACCTCATAGGGCGAGATGGGGAACCAGTGTCCATTCACTGAAATTCGAGCACACATGCTGAGGCAATCAGCTGTTGAGCCATTCAGCATCTCAACTGGAACAAACTCGGCTGGGCCGAAGGGGTCTTCTAGGCAGTATCGCCAAAAGAGACTTCGAAGGGTTAAAGTGACTCAGTTAACAGCCTTGAGACACGCTAAACAAGACCCAGTTCTGCCACTGAAATGTTTATTCTATATGCTAATGCTCAATACAAAAAGAAATAAAAAGATATGTGCAAAACCAGCTTTATTTTGAGCGCATGCTTCATGCAACAGTTTCTGCCTCCCAACACAGACTTCATGAATGCAAACTGCAAGCTACTTATAGCAGGTAGTTGGAGTCACTTTCAAGGCAAAGCCAAGGATCACTGGGTACCACACTGCCCATCTCAGACTGTTTCCTACATCACAAGATGGAAGGACCCACCTAAAAACAATTCCTTCAACTTTCTATTCATCGAACTTCGTAGAACTCCCTTCGTCGCCCCCAGTCTCCCGACACGAGGCTGAGCCCATTCCTGGACTCTCTTCGCCCGATGAAATGAACGGGGGTGTTGACTCGGCTGCTGCCTTTGGCTCCGTCTTTGTCTCGGTGTCAGACATTGTCTCTGGCTTGACAGCCACATCCAAGGTGGTGCTAAAGTCCGACTTTGTGTCTGAACTAGTTTTTGGTCTTGAGCGAGACCTGGAGCGAGTCTTGGACCTGCTTTTCTTTTTCTTCTTCGATGACTTGTGGGACTTGTGGGACTTGTGCTGGTGCTTTTTGTGCTTGTGGCTCCGGCGATCTCGTTCAGGGGAATCCGAGTGCTTGCTTCTCTCGGATCGGCTGGATCGTCTTGACTCTCGGCTAGATTCCCGGCTGCTACGGTGACTCGGGGGACTGCGGGAGCCCCTGAGACAAAGGCAAAGAGCGACGCACATAGTGCACCAGCGTACATCACTTGTCGGCAGAGAGAAGACCACCGAACAAACAAAATTTCTGAGTCTGCAATATGCAGTACCATGCAGAGTGAACAGTTTTTTTAACCAAAATCATTTAAGGGGAGGCCCGAGCCGAATAATTAATATTTTTTTGGAAATTGTAGATTTTTGTCTTTTCTTTAGGGGTGTGCAAATTCGAAACTTCGAATACTTTGCAAATAATGCTCGCTGTTCGGTTCAATTCGCTTCGCACTTTTGCCGTTCGAAGTATTAGAGTCCTTCGAATACTTCGGAAACTATGAATAACGCGGAACTCACCGATTAGTGTCAACTCGCGGTCGAGTTCCCTGTCTTGTTTTTGGACAAACCCAAAAAGCAAATCTAAGTTCCTTTTTTTTATTTCATATATGATGCACTGGAAAGTTATTTGCGGTAGCGCGATCTGTCCTCTGCTTGCCGTGATGCCTGGATTCGGAGTTGGCGAAGTGGTCGTGACGCAAACGCTGCGATAGATTTGATGAAGTTTGCAGTGGCACGTGCATTGCGTAAGCACAAACACGATGGACCACTCTCATTACTATGGTCACTACTATGAATTCGGATATGGGTTTACGCCTGACCTCAACTATCGGCACTATCTGGCTCGTGTTATTTACCGCTTGATTGTCCGGTTCATGAGTTTGCCGGTATTCCTTTTGTTATTTATTTCTACCTGTTTTCACTAATAAACATAAAATTTGCTCCCTTCGAAAAAAAAAAGAAAAAAGAAGTATTTTTAATTTATTGCTGCTTTGTGTCGCCCTCTATCGGCAGAACTATTGTACATGGAAAGAGATGGCGCAAAGTCAGGGCGGCTGCGCGGCGTAATCGCACAATCTCCAAAAAAATATTAGGTTGTGTGTGTGTTTATACAGCCTAGAACTTGGTCTGCCTTCAGGGGCGATGAGTTTCCCAGCTGTAGATGAGAAATTCAGCCAGTACAGTACAACCGCTAGCCTGGGGTCTTTTACATGCATCACGCAGTAATGATACATGACCGCACGCCGGTACGATGCTCATCCAGATCGAAACGGGCAGGGGCGGGGCTCGAACCCAGGATCCCTGGGTTCTGCAGCGCGAGCTTTCGCTCCACGTGCTCCGAGCTGGTGTGCGGTAGCTCACTCGGCCACTGATCCCCCCCGTACGATCTCCAACTCTGCTGTGGCCTGCCAACCCGCCTCCGCTTGTGTACTTCGGTTTACGTTCACGTGGTTGCGTTCACCCGCGTAAAAAGATTTTGCACAAAGTCGGTGCAGCTGCGCGATTTGACTTTGCATTGTGGCTTGCTGTCCCGCCACCCCTTGTGTACTTTAGTTTAACTTCACATAGTTACATTCGTCTGCGATGCGAGCTCCGACTGCGTTGTGGCTTGCCGACCCACCCCCACTTGCATACTTTCATTTACGTTCCGTAACTTCACTCCTTGAATGGTGTTTTACTGACTGATCTTTTATTTCATCTTTTTTTTTATCCGTCACATATGTGACCTTTCTTTATTGCAATAAAATTATCTTTTCATAAACAATTGCTGAAAAAAAAAAAATTTCAGTTGTGTTTTAATTAAGCATTGTTTTTTATATAACTTGTGATTCAATGCAAATTAAATTTACATAGCTAATCTGCCATTACAATCTGACTACAAATATGTACTTGGTTCTGATGTAACCTAATTAGTTTTGTTAGTATTGAAAATTAATTTGCAAAGTTTATGAGAAGGATTAAGACAAATTGACACTAAAATAAGACAATAAACATATATCAGTCAAGTAAAAGTTATGTGGAATACAATAAGGCATAAATGAGAGCCCTAGGATGTTTTATAAACGTTTTAGGACACTTTCGAACTCTCCAGTTTCAAACTGATTTATTGCAGGGTACCCAATAGGCACCTACAAAAAGCCCAATGCCCTATTTATTATATTTGCATCCCTTATTGCATATCTCACATACACATACCCGAGAAAGAAAAAAAAAATGAAGGCTAGATGTGTGCAAGTGGAGATATGGCTTCCATAACATAGCAAAGGGTGTAAAAAGTTCACTCAGAACTAATATAAAAAACAAACATCCCCTGATCCATTTTACTTTGTTTCCGAGACAATATTTCAAGATAAGAGACTTGTTTAATGAAAATCGATCAGGACAAGACGATAAGTGCCTGCCAATCTTCAAAAATCACAATTAAAAAAAAAAGTTTTATTAGTTTATACCCTTTCGGTCACGAATTTCAAAATTTTAGTTCAAAATTTTTTATCTTCACAGAAGTTCATTATTCTACCCTCATGACTTCAAATACACAAACTTAGGCTCTTTTTGAATAATAGTCATTAATTGAGGATGCGTGCTCATATGTACACAGTCTGACTCAAGGCTACCTTTATGGGTCAAAAAAATTTATTCAATTACTCAAAAACATGTGTTACATGCAGTTCTTAGGCATCAAAAGTGACGTCATGGGTTGTGGTACAGAAAAAAAATAGTCATTTTTGGGATCTGATGCGCAGAAAGACGTCACCCTTGCGGCACCGCATTCTGGCATCTGACACATTGACGTCGGTAATCACTAGAGATATCGCTTCAGCTGCAGTCACTGATATCTTTCATATTTTTTCTTGCGTGTTTCTTGATGGTTGTTGGCAAAAATACAAACGATTCAGTTTCGTGCACGAATAGAGCCTGCCTGTGTCTGTGCATTGAGTCAAAGCCCGCAGTACTGATTGAGTCACGCTCATGGACGTGTTTTGGTATTCATTTGATATGACTAGTGCCAAGCACGTGTTTGGTATTTTATGGAAGAGAATATGTTTTTCTATTAAAATACGGCACTCTTACGTCTCCGGGAACGATGATACTCATTCAGAAGCCAAATTTGAACAGGCGCTTACGGAGCTTCGATAAAACGTGGAAATGTCCATCTTGAATGCATGATTTTATTCATGCTTCGAGCTCCCGGTACTAGATGGCGCCATATAACGGCTAAAAATATTTCGAGTATAAGCCGCAGCAGCACGAGGTGTCATTTATGCCTTCTAGCGCGAACAAAAAGGCTGAAACGATTGCGTGTACATACGAAGACACAGTGACTGAAAGAGATTTTTGCCTCAAAGAGCAGTGTGTCCCCTTAACTCACATCAAATAGAAAATTTTTGTTTTCAAAAATGTTCTTATTTGAAACTACTACTGTAAACGACTTCATTTTTGCGGGCTCAAATTTTCGCGAATCAGGCCAAAGCAGAAAATTTGAAATTATTCGCAGGTTCTAATTTTTGCGAATCGAATGTAGCTTTTGTAGCGTTCACATATTGCCCCGATTGTTCGCGGGACATATTTTTTGCAAATTGTAGGCGATTCGTGAAAATTATGTCCCTGCAAAAATTTAGTCGTTTACAGTATTCGTATTTGAAAATATCCAGTTTGATTCAATTCGTAACCTTTATTATTCGATTCGCTTCGCTTCGAAAAGTTTTGATATTCGCACACCTCTACTTCTCTTGCTTTATTACCCTCAGACGTCCTACTTTTATGAGTAAAAAAAAGTCAAAACAATAATCGCACCCGAAGTTAGGAAAAAATGTGCCTTATTGATTTGCAGTGCTCGAAAAATTGCAAGTTTACGCGAATATCCGCCATCTTTGAGAGGCTATCACTCGGCACAGAAGCACTTTCTATGTATCTCCAATTCAATTTGTGATAAACAACACTAGAAAGCACGATTTTCGCATTTGGAACTACCGAAGCAAGCACAACTTTAAGAAAAGGTGGCGCAAATGCGAGCAAAAGAACGTCAGCTGAGGAATGTTTACCGCCGCCTGCTAAGCCTAAGCACAGTAACGGGAACTCTTCTGATGTAGTCGACGCTCCGTTCACGCTTGTTCACACTACAAAGATTGCATCTTTCGAAAACAGATACAGAACATAGGACCATGCCTGTGCGGGTTGAGTGAGGTACAACATCAGCACGCTGACACTGCTTGTGAGCAGTGCGATCTGCCCCATTTGTCACGAGTGCAGATTTTCTACGCACTCGAGAGTCTGCTGAGAATTTCAAGGGATTTTCATTGCCCCTCAAACCACACTGAGAAGAGCCCCGAGTGGGTTCTTTCTTCCAACGTTTTAAGCGAAGCTAGAACAGCGGGACTTCGCACGAGTTTTGCCATCAACTTGAAAGCCGTCAACTTCTGCACGATTCTCAGCCTGCTAGCACCAGTCCACCGTAAAACCTTCCCTAGCAAAAAAAAGTTAAAGGCAGTACCGCAAAAGCTGCCAACCAAAACCTCACAAAGACCGAAATTCCGACGTGAGAGGAACAGCTAATGCAGGTGATGTCTGACCAATAAGAGTTGCCAACTGGCCCATATTTGCAGATGGTACAAATATGAGCCAGGTAAGTCGCAGCATACAGTGCAAGATGAGTTTATTGACTGAATGTCTCCTGCACCCTGCCAATGTTCTGGCCATATTTTAGTTAATCACAGACAATATTTGTAGAACATACAAATGTAATTTTCTCGTTTTGCAACTTTGAGTTGTCTTCACAGATTGTGATATCAGCTTTTGGCACTTAGAATTTTCCAATCATAATCAAATGTTTTATGTGTTATCTTGAGGAAAGGTAGAGTGCCAATATCTATTTGGAATTGCAATGTCTTAATACTGCTTCAGCAAATTTTAACTAACTTTTAAAAGGCTTCTAAAAAGGCTTTATTATGTTTTTATTTTTCTTTATTAAATTAACAATTTGGACGCAGCGTTTAGCTAGACACCGGCACTTTACACGTCATAGGGAGCATAACGGGCTCTTGCACCATGCACATTATAAAAGAAGTTAGTAAACCCAGACATCCACACAAAGGAAACCTTTCTATGCCTTTGAACAGAGAACTCTAGAAGCTACATTAAAATTAATACATGTTCTAAAAAGAGAAGCCAATACTTTATAAGGAGCTAAAGTTTCATTGTCTTAGAGCAAATATTGAAAAAATCAGCGTCCCCAGCCCGCATCTTCCCTTAAAGAATAGCTAAACCTCACTCCGCTTCCTCATTGTGTGGCATGATCAACTCCGCAATTAACTCTTTCCTGGCCGCGTTCATTGGCCATCGATCACCGGTGATCAATGGTTTCCAAGTGCATTCAAGAAATTGAATTTAGTGTGGAGAATTATGTTCCACAATCTCCTTAATAGCCAAGGAACCATAGTTTTGGTTTCAATGTAGGTTTGAGCATTATCCCAAGCTGGTGGACTGTCAAAAATAGTCTTGGGAATGGCGGTTGCACTTGTCTAACATGGCTAACTGCTTGCTTTGTCACAAAGATGGCATTATTTACATAATTCAACTGTATTGTGGCATAGTTTTAGACCTCAAGAGCTCTGGGGACACTTAGGTGTTGCTTAACAGATGGTTGTTATTCCGCTACCCTCAACGCTTACTACTACAGATGGTTGTGGGTAAGCATCACTATAATTTCCAATGCTGTCCCGAGCTGGCGTGCATGTTTCATGTCCCCAACAAGTCGGACAAAAATGCTAAATATAGAGGAACTGCAATCGAGGCTATAACAAAACCAAAGTAGAACACAAAGGAAGCATTTTGCTGGGGATGTGAGGAATACTATCTGTGCTTCACCAATATAAGCATTCCTTCGTTCAAAAACGCACGTGTTATGAATGATAACTCTCCAATGAACCAAAAATAGACAACGCCAGTTAGAGTACACTACCTTTCAGAGGTAATAGCCGTGGGTCTGGGGCACATTTTGTATATTCTGAATTTTTCTTTTATTTGTCGTTCAATTTGAATAGCTGTAGAAGTGTCGGTGTTTATACGCCTTCCACAAGTACACTGTATTTTTAAGAAATAAAATTTGAAAATCTTTTTACACTATACCAATTTCGGTTTTCTTTGAAAGAATAACTAATTGGCCACATTTTGATGTGTCATATTGCTCTATACACAAATTAGTCAGGAAAATAAAAGCGTCTGCACGGATCCTTTGAAAATTGCTACTTCTCCCGTGGTCGGGAAAGAGTTAAGCGTTGCTATAGTACTTCATCTCGGTGCATTGACACACCACATATCGTAGATTATTGTTTCGTTTGTACAGCCACAATCGGCGATCACTGGGGATTATTTTACTGCTCCATTCGCAGGTTTGAATTCAATTCCGAAAAAGCGCACAATTCAAAGAAATCGGCTGTTTCCTGGTATCGTCCAATGCTAGGAGCCAGCGCGGGCAATATCCAAGACTAAAGCAGAAATTAGCTAAGAGTTTAATAAGGAAGCTACCAAACTTCCACAAAATGGGCGACAAAAAAACAACACACACCTTTCTTTTAACGGAAAGAAAACACTTTTTCTCACGCACATTTCTTGAGCCGGCCTGCCACGGTCTAAAAGCCCGTTCGCCCACTTACATTTGCTCGGGACCGAGTTGTTGCAATCTCTTATGACGAGAAAACAGTCTGGCATGCCGGCACCACCTATCAGGTGACCCTGGAACTGGATTTCACCACAGCCAAGGATTTGCGGTATTTGTAAGATCGAATGTATGCGCTACGGTACTTATGAGAAATGATTGTTTACAACATTGTCAGAAACTTTTCGAGCCAAGAAAAATAGAAAATGTAGAGAAACTAAAAGTGTTCCCCAACTCCCTGACGGATGACCGGTCTGTTCTCTCAGAGTGAAAGATTTGAAGAGGTTTTAAACGGTCGTAAGCGGTCGCAACTGTGTAAACCAGCCTTTAGTTGCTGGGCATGCACCATTGCACTTTGGCAAATGCCAAAAGCAACTCTAACGTTCCAGTGGGGGGTGACGGACCTTGTCGACGAGGACCTTCTGGAACTATCCGGCCGGTGGGACGTGGATCCGCGTTCCCGGGAGGACGGGGGACTGCGGGGGTGTCGGAGCTGCCTTTGGGAACGCGGAGACTCCCGGTCCTGGTCCGCATCCCGAAACTCGTCCGTGGGGTTGCGGAACACGTGCAGGAAGTTGCAGCCGCGCCCCTTGGGGCACCGGTTGCGGAAGAAGAGCCCTGCGCAGCCACGGAGAGGGTCGAGACGGGACAGTAAAGACACGAGGGCTGGAACGAGGGTGCGGGTGAAGGTGAATCGGCACATTCGGTCCGAGAAAACAAGAGTCTAAGAAGTCGGGACTCGAATGTCGGGAGAGGAAAGAAGAGTCCAGATTCTAAAGCAAAGAAACAGAAACATAAAGCAAGACACAACATTCGGAACAAGAGAGTCAAGGTATGGGGTTAGGACGACGATTAGACAAAGAACAAAGAAATGCAGGAATTGGAGCAAAAGGATCGGGAGTATGTTAAAGGGGGACACGGGGAAGCATCCATAAACTGACAAAGGAGAACAAATAACGGTAAAAAGCATGGAGTAAATGGCAAAAAGCAACAAAGCAGTTACCGCAAATGGCGGACTTCCACCGCTGGACGGGGCTGAACTCGCAGCTGATCTGGCGTCCCGCGTACCAGCGTCCGTTGAACATCACCAGGGCACGGGTGGCCTCCTCCTCGCTGCGCGCAACAATTCACGACTGTCGGCACCGACAACAGCAAGAGTGGTGCAGTCTGCTCCTGAGAGTCGGCTTCTACAACAGCTGTGTCAATGCCACAAAGTTTTACAGGAAGTAAACCGGTGTGGCCGGGTCTATTGGTGTAAACGGAACATCTGTAGAAACAAAACTAGCACGCACTATTTGGTTGCTCGAGGCAACAGCAATGCAAATCGATCCAAGGTAACCGGGAAAAGCGGCGTGGGCTCATTTTGGGTGATATCCCACGTCACCCGATTGTGCTCCCAGGGTGAAGACTGAGCAGCCAGACCGATCCCTAATTTTACCCCATCTCAGGAATGCAAAACACAACTGGTACATCTATTTACGGGTGAAACTCCAAAATTATCAAAACAATAAAAAAAAAGGTGTTGGTTATGTTTCATATTTGATTTTGTAACTGCACCGTCGATTGCAGAGAAGCTTTCTAGACCCTTTCCGACACATTACGGCAGTGTGAGCTGTTTACACGACCTCTAACCCAACAGCTTTGTGCTTTTGACGTTTTGCAATGTTGCAGGCTCCACCAAAGGCACTAAAATGTGACAACAGCAACAACGGATGATTCGCGACCACCACAAAAAAAAAGCACCTTGCACCGCTTGACAAACAACACATGACGTTGTGAAATGCATGAAGGACGAGAGTTCAGCTGGATCACCAATATGAAGATGTTAATGGAGTTTAACCAATGGCGGTAGAAACAGCACATACTGTAAAACACTGATCCATGATAAAGGTAATGGGGGATCGGTGGCCGAGTGGGCTAAAGCGCACACCCAGCTCGACACGTGTGGAGCGAAAGCTCGCGCTGCAGAACCCAGGGATCCTAGGTTCAATCCCCACCCCTGCCCGTTTCGATCTGGATGAGCATCGTACCGGCGTGCGGTCGTGTATCACTACTGCGTGGTGCACGTTAAAGACACCAGGCAAGCGGTTGTACTGCACTGGCTAAATTGCTCATCTACAGCGCGTGACTCGTCGCAACTTGAATGGCAGACCAACTACACGCTGTATAAATATCCCCACAACCCATTTTTTTTTTGAGGTAATTATGAAAAAAACTTAGTATGGGAACTTGCTAGGTCCAAAAGCAGAAAAAAAAAGGGACACCAGGGTAAGATACGCTCTCGCTTGATCTGATGAAACAGTATAAAAGCAATATAGGAGGTTGGCGAAACTCTTAACCTATAAAGTAACTGCAACATGCGCATCAAGCTTGCTTGGCGCCGCAGCTCACCGTCTTCACGAAGAGGCAGTCAACTTGAAAGAACAACTCGATTAACTCGATGGACTCGGAAGTTTGCTGGGGTGGGCACTTCCCATTGCTTATAATTAAAATGTTTTACAAGTAGCGGGTGGGTGTTTATTGCAAGACATATACATGCTCGGTATTTTACGCTGCTTGATTACAGTCCTCAAAACTGAACAGAGGAGAACGGCAAATGATGAGGCACCGGTAATGTTGCAGCGGAGAAACATGACCCACGCCAAGATTCTGGACAAGCAACAATCATCTGGCACATTTCAGCACCAATTCCATAAAACAAAGAAAAAAAAAAACGACTGTGAGTGTGCGGGCAAGCTGCTGATAATTAATTATAATAATGTAGCACCTAAGACAATGTTGCGAGAAACTTGAGAAACTTTCGAGTCGAGGGAAAAGACAACAGTAAGAGAGATTCTCTTGCTGTAGTCTTTTCCTTCGACTTGGAACGCAGTCTCGAGTGTTATGACTGGCCATTTGCATGTCGTTCCATGACCTCCCTGCTCATGAGAGTCCCAACCGATCCACCTGTGCGGGTTCTGCGGGAAAGCGCAGGCCCTCCCCCCGGAAACATCCGACCGGACGCACCTGGCGTACTGGACGTAGACGTTTCCCCTCAGGTGTGGCTCCAGGTTGCGGCACACCTTGAACTGTACGACGGTGCCAGCCTTGCGCAGCTCGGGCAGGGCGTCCCAGAAAAAGGCGTCGAAGTGGTGCCTCAGCTCCCGCTCGTCCGTCTCCAGCTGGGCGTCCGCGTCGTAGTCGTCCCTCCGCTGCTGCTCCAGGCTGAAGTGGCCGTAGAAGCCGCGCATCAGCAGGGTGCGGCTGCTCACCGGCCGCGGGTGGCTGCGGGAACACCTGCACGGGGGCCCAATCAGATCCAGTCAAGCACCCAGGCACGGGGACTGCTTGCCGGTGGCCGTGTCTGGCTCGCTCAAGCCGGGGGGGTTAAACGCGCGAGCGGAGAATCTTAAGTGCCCACATCGGTGGTCCTGACAGGAAGGAGGCATACACATGGGCGTACCAACCGAAGGGGCAAGGAAGGCGCTTGCCCCCCAGTTCTCAGAGTGCGGGGGGCAAGACGTGTTTTGCCCACCCTGAAAGAGCCGCCACTGGGCAGGGTAAACACTGGCTGGCGGTGCCCAAGGGATACCAAGGGCAGAGCCCCCCGGCCCTGGGGGGACTGGTTTGCCCCCCTCCCCCCTTTCAAGAACAAGTTGGTACGCCACTGGGCATACACTTATATAATATTCTGGAGGGAAAGGTCTTATGCATGTCGGACGCTTCAGAATAGACGCAGACATTGATGGTCCCGACTAGACAATATTGCTGGCGACTCTTTGATATACATAAAGAAGCAGAAAAACACCACTTGCAAGGTCTGTACCTAGTGCAACAAAGTATTAAAATGGGCCACTCGGTGATAATTAAACATGGTTGATGAAAACCAGCTTCAAAAAACGGGGACGAAAAACGGAACAAACACAACAGTACGGAGCTGAGACAAAGTCAAAGTCAAATTTGGGGGTTTTACGTGCCGGACCAACGACGGGCATCTGGCACGCCCCAGCGGAGGACTGAGGATTAATTTGGACCACCTGGAGATCTTTTGACGTGCAACCGAAAGCCCGGTTACACGGCGCCTCCTCCGCAATAAGCCTCCGTCAGATTGCGGGCACCTCGGCCGGGATTCGAACCCGCCACACGGGGATCCATAGGCCGGCGCTCTCGCCTCGGAGCCAGCGAGGCGGCTGGAGCTGAGACAAAAGAGGAGCACGATAATTAAGAAATAAACTGCAACAAAGTAGTGAAGTGGACCAGGTGAAAATGATGAAGCATGACTGATGAAAAAAGCTGATTTTCAGCTTTTGCAGTTTATTTCTTCTTCATCTGTCACAGTTCCGTCCTGTCGTGTTTGTTCCTTTCTTTGTCCGTTTTTTTTTTTTTTTAAGCTGATTTTCATCAATTGGTACCTAGTGTTTTTCTAGCTTTATATTGCATGCAAATACAGACGTTGAGTGTTGTATAAGAATAAATAAACATGACAAGTGCTCGAACAACTTGGGCTTATTGCGGAAAACGAATACGCTTAACCTCTCTTTCTCCTTCCTTCTCTCGACAGCACCGACGTAAGCGCCCAGGATGTGGTGCATTTTGTCTTTACCCCCCCCCCGTCCGGATTGCTGAAGCTGGGGGGGTCGAAGACACCTTGCAGAATGTGGCAACTCGTAAGCGTGGACCTTGCTAGTCCCGAGAGGCAGGAGGAGAAAGAGCGGCAGAAAAGAGGAAGCTGCCACCCATAGTTGGTGACAGGCTCACAATTCATTGGAAGCTCCAACTCAATCATGCGCTCGTTGCCTTGCGTCGGGCTTTGCTGGCGAGCGTGATCGAGTCTTATCCAGGGCGGATGGCTCATGCTGCAGGCGGACGTCTACCGAGCTACTAAAAGGCTCGTGAAACATTGTTTTTACAAAATTCTGAGCCATATATATGTCTATCTGAAATTATTGTCCTTTATTGCACGACCCATGTTCATTCGTTCGAATGTCCAGATTCAGTGTCCAGATTCGGTACAGGACTGTGTCCTTTACTGAAAAATAACATCCCCACATGACTCTTTAACCCTACAAAATAACCTCAACCTAGTTCAGAGCTGGTGTACTAACTGGCAGACGACGCTTAACGTCAGCAAACGTAGATACATGCGCTTCTCTCGTTCCTCTTTTCAAACTTCTCCTGCTCATTTTCTCAATGGCATCCCTCTTTAACACACAGATATGTATAAATACCTCGGCGTTCTTCTAACTTCAAACCTCTCCTGGGAAAACCATATTAATTCAGTTGCGAGTTCAGCTAACAAAAGCTTGGGTTTCCTTCGTCACAATTTCAGATCCACCTCTTCTCAACTAAAACGGCTCCCCTATCTTGCCTTAGTCTGGTCTAAATTAGAATATGCATCTTCGGTCTGGCACCCTCATCATGCTACATTAACAAACTACATTAAATCAGTTCAAAACCGTGCTGCGCGTTTTATTCAGTCTTATTACTCCAGTTTTCCCAGTGTCTCCCACATTAAATCAAATCTTTCTCTCCCATTGCTTTTCGCCCGTCAAAAAATATTCCGTCTCTGCCTTCTGCATAAAGTTTTTTTATTCACCACTTCTCGATCAGTCTCTTCTTTCCCCACCGGCTTACCTTTCCTCCAGACTCAATCATTGCAATATAAAATAGCCCAGCCAAAGTGTTTTTCACAGCACATCAGCACACCTCTCTTCCTGATGCAGCTGTGGACTGGAATGACCTTCCCGAAGACGTTATCACCATTCAGGACCCCATCAGATTCCGAGAAGCAGTATCAAACATCGTACTTAACACCCACCCCCCTCTCTAATGCCTTATAGCCCCGAGGATATTGTAAGTAAATAAATAAATAAATAAATTATTAGCATAAAAAAGCTAATTTCGGAATCCCAAGAAGCTTCCTTCTCAGTTCTAAAAATATGTCATGATAGGTAACCAACAGGGGATTTTTTATTGCTTGTGCAAGACGGCGTCGTAGACTGGACTCAATGGGCAAAGTTAGAATGCCAGATATCGCTCCAACAGCGGTGCCATAATGACGTCACACACATGAGTCGACGGATCACATCTAACGTCCGATATCATGCTCAGATACTCGTAAGATGGCCCACCGCACTGAGCTCTTGCGTCGCCTATTACACCGCAGTCGCTTGTTGGGTTTCAAGCCTTACGCAGACACTGTACGTCGTTTGTGCTACCATATGTCGTACTACAGAGAAGAGTTTCAGGGAATCGTTTGCAACCTCAATCGGTCGAGCCACGTCCTGATACGATCGTCAAATGAAAAGCCGCAATTATGATCTCGCTTTGATCAGAAAATTGCTGATCCGCTTGCAGAAAAAATAAGAAAAGGCTAGAAATATATCAAAATTAATTGCTCTTGCACACTTGAGGGGCGGCACTGCCGAGGAAGATTGTGGTAAAGGAAAATCAATGGAAAACTCGCCACCATAAAGCCAGTCATGGGGTCCTAGGACTACACTCGCAAAAATATGCGGTTTAAAACGGATGTGGGGTCGCACGCTTCCGTCCCTCCTTACTACTGACCCCTCGAAGTTCTGGATTCAAATTTTCTTGGGATTCTAACTTATCATTGCTTTACTTCATGTTTTACTATAATTCTAATCCACAATCAGGTTTCACACCCACATTCTAAAAGGAATGCGAGCCACGGCGGGACGAGCAGCACCAGTTACGACGGTTACCAAACAACAAAAGACCCAGATAAGTTTGAAACCTCAACTGTATCGCAACCGCGTGATTTAGTGTCATTCAAATAGTTAATACGAAAATGCCAATAAATAACTCAATGTTTTTATCACTCCCAATTTATTACTCGAAGAATAAAGAAAGCCGACTACCCGTTCAACCTTTTTTCGAAAAGCTACCGCGAGGTTTTGTTGCTCATGCTGCCATAGGGTGTCGCGTGATCGTTACAGAGATTAAAAAAAAACATGACTTTTAAACGCAATTTACGAGACGCAGACGTAATACTTATAGGAATCAACGTCTTCGTGGTTTATTGAATAAGAAAATTAAAATCTGGCAGATACATCTTTTCGTGACACCTTTTGCCTGTCACCAATTTCAGTTACATGTGTTCACTTTGCCCCAATACGCTGAAGTTGTTCAATTGCTTGTCAATGTTATACTTTAAAAAATGCGTGCCACCCATGATCTTTCTGAAAATAAGGAGAAGATCCTAGTGACATGTTGCTGCTTCTTAGTCTGGCCAGCAATACGGCCTCCCAGCATCATGGACATCTGCACCCTGCTGTTTCGAGGCGGCCCAAATGCACGGGAAGACGGCGGACCTTTTTGTGCGGATTTATTATAGCAGCTCTATGGCTGCAGCATCCCTATCTTTGTAGATGCAACTGCATGTTTTCTAAAACACACTCCTCACTGTCCCATCCTTGTTTTCTTCCGTTGCAGACGCCGGTCAGAAAAACACAGAGCACGCAAAAAACCTAACTTTCCCGATTCGTAAAAAAATAAAGACAACTACATAATTGGCACTGACATAGCTCGGGATACAGAGATGGCTTCCAAAACATGCAAGACGGAGAAGAGAGAACACACCTTTCTCCGAAGCGGCAGGCCCCCGTCTTGACAAAGAAAGAGCAGGCCTCCCTCTCCACCGCGGGCGCATAGTTGGAAGGTGCAGGCGGATTGTGCCACGTCGCATTGCCCTGAACCCAAGCAACCTCCACGTTCAGCCTCCTTCGCAACTCCGGTTTACAGCCCGTAATCCCACACCCCGGAAAGTCTAGCATGCATGACGAGGCACCCAAACCCCTCTGAAATTACATTCACGGAAAACACTTTTAGAATGTCTACACTCAGTTTTACCTTGAGAACCCTAGCAAAGAAGTATGGCTCCTCGCAGAACCCCACTAATTTTACCTTTCAAGTAGTGAATTAAGACGCTGCTACGTGCATCTTAAATTAGTCAGTTGTCATTTTATCAAAACATATATGTTTCAGACACAAAAAAGCATAATTTCTCCTCTCATAATTGTTTTGTGGGAACTATTTTGTGCAGCGTATGAACTGTGCGCAAAACTAGCCTTTTCTTGAGGGAATAGGAGTTGTGACATCTGCTTCAAGCTTCTACTAATGACAACCCTTTGTCTTTTTACAATGGGCCCACCCTTGGAGTGTCCAGTGAAGTTCACTCTAAATACATTTCACCCAATTTGAACTTGTCTCAAAGTGCAAAATCTATAAGTGAAACTGCGTTACTCTCCTTTTGGTACTTCCTGAACGCACTTTACAAAACACTAGACCACCAATTAGGTAAATCGACTTCGGCAATCGTGTCTATTTTGGGCACATGATTGCCAGGTCTTCCACTGCAACTATGCCACTAGCCACTCTGACATTAATGATAATAATAATAATAATAGTAATAACAACAATAGATCCTTGTTTCGTATCAGATAATACGCAGAAATAATACGGACGCTTAAAGCAATGTTCAGCTGGCACAAATTCATGGTTACCAAGATTGCGATACAGCGCAAAACCTTCACTGAGTACTTGCCCTCATGCAGTGTACAAAAAGCCGATAATTAATTTGAAGCATCAATTACAGCGTACACACTAAAACAAAGGAACGATGATGTCTGAAAGTTCTCTTGGTCGTTAAGAGCAGCCATCACACAGCCACTGCGATTCCACGGCCCACCCGAACAAAACAGACAGGTCCCCGAGACGAGAAAGCAGGGCACACTCACCTCAGGCAGCTTGGCTAGGGCGTCCTTTAGGGACTCCTACCGACAGCGGGGCGTGGGAAAAGTCGTTTAGGCACGGAGGTGGCAAAAGACGAGGCGCCTGCGCATCTGGGCTCCCGCTAAGGCACTTTCGCAGACGACGAGAAACACGGCAAGCACACGACGCACACCCGTTGACCCAACAGCCCCGAGCTCCTTCACTTTCAAAAAGATACAGTCTCCAGAGTCCAGCCACCGCTCTGGGTGGACATGGCACAGTGCACGTCTGTTAAGGAGCGTTTCTAAAAACAGGTGATGCCGACGTGACTGCAGACAGACCGAGTGTGGGCTCACAAATTTGTTCTAACTACGTGTGGAAAATGCTAGTCCGGTCAAACATTCAACGCACCGTGCCATTCGGTCGAGCCCTTGGGCCGAGCCCCAGCAAAATGCACTACAAAATTTGAAAGCTGCATTCCTAGTTACAAGAGCCCCGAGCCAAAGTAACCTGGCTCAACAGGAAAAGGCAATTTCCAAGACTAGGCGTCAAAATCAACCGAAGCCGTCGAGCCACATCGTGGGCAAATTAACGTTGACTCTTTTATCATCATTGTGAAAACAATAAACCACACTAATATTATTTTATAAAAATTGTGGAGTAGCGAGGCTACTATTAACAGTAACAAGGTTCCGAGGCAATGCAGTCAACGCTATGTGAGCCCGCGCACACAAACACTTCGACCACTGAGCAAAAATATGCACGTACGCTCTTCACCTCTCCTGAATTGCCACACAAAGTTACGTCCTTCCCGAGCATTCACACTCTGGCTCGCCCCGATCACCTACACCCTGTCTTTTCACGCCACCATATCCGGCCAACGCTCTCGGAAAGGCGAGAGGGGAACGACAGTCGAACCACGATTAACGCAGCTAATCGGTCTCGCCCAGCACATAGAGATGACCACCTCGCCATTCTACACCTGTCACCTAGAACTAAAGGAACCTGCTTGGGTTGTACGAGCATGAATTAATCAAAGGGATGGTATGTGCCTGGCAAAAACTAAATTTCTGCAGGCCCAAAAAGAAAAAGGACAACATTAATGAAACCAGCGGCGCCCAAACACGGGCAAAATTGGATATGGCTGGATGTGCGTTGCTTCACCTCTTTCTTGACCCTGTCAGCGTGCTCCTTGGACACGCCGTTCCTCCGGGTGGCCTCGGCAGCCTCGAGGGCCTCCTGCGCCTGCATGGGTGGCAGAAGCGAGCATTTCGCCTCGTGCGGTCAAGCAAAGGACAGACTTCCCATGGTCCGCTTCACGAAGAGACGGCATTTGGAAGCCCATACAGTTTGGGTAGTAGTAACAAGTAACAAGTGACGCGCTAATGTAACTTTCGTTACTCTTTTAGTAATATTTAACTAGAATGTGCTACCTTTTTGAAATGCAACTCGTAACTGTAGTTCGATTACTGTTTTTGAAGTAACGACGAGAGTAACAAAGTCTTTTTTTGTTGTCACTTTCCACTTTCTTCAGCATTAAGATGTCATTGAACGAGTCCAAGCTACTCATTCCTTGAACTTTTTGAGTTAGAATTACAGAAATACAAATTACAGAAATTAGAGTCGATCCAAAGCAGGGCAACTCTGTTCATTCTTAAAAACTACACACACACTAGCATTACTACGCTAAAAAAAGAACTCGGCCTTCCACTGCTCGCGGAAGGAAGGAAACTGACCAGACTAGTTTCATTACACGCTTTGTATTATCAGGCCCCTTTAAAGAGAGAATCGTACTGTCCTGCGGCTCATCACATTTCTCCTCGTACAGACCATTCTCAGAAAGTTCATCTGGTAACACCAAGGACCAACCTTTTTTAAATTCTCTCCACTGCAATTATCACTTTCAGAATGGAACTCTCTGCCAGAACATACTGTTACAATTCAAGACTCATCTGGATTCAGAGCTGCACTTGCTACGTTTCTCGATATTTAGCAACCCTTAACCTTGTGTTTTTCCTTTCTTTGTTTGTTTTTGTTTGCTGTCAAAGCCCCCCCTTATGTAAAGCCCTACGGGTGCTTTAAGGGAACGATAAATGAAATGAAAAATGAAATTAAATTATGCGTTCTAACATTCTGACTGTCATGTTCACTTTGTGCCCAACTTAACCTTTCCGTAATAAACTTGGGCGAAGGGCAGGGGGGACATTCTCAACTTTTTTTTTTAAATGTTTGTAGTCTCATGGACAAGTTAAGAGTAACACTGTTACTTCTTAGAAGTAACTGTAACTAATTATTTTTTTGTTGGAGTTACCTTAATGGTAACTTCGCTGCTTTTGTGTGAAAATAGCTGTAACAAATTGCTTTTTGAAAGTAACTTCCGCAAGACTGAGCCCACACGAATAAAGAATAGAGTATGCAGCAGTGCCGTGGTGGCAACGGAGATAGCTTCGATCTCTATCATAGTTTGACTATGGCATTCGGGTTATGCGGAGGCTGCTGTCACATCCCACTTCTGGCTAGCCACACGTAACGTGGGAAACAACAGCCGACCATTGTGAGACCCAAAACACCGGTAACCTTCATGTCGCCCTTATGGCGACCCACACAAGCCCCTGGCACGTGATACCTTCAGTGACGCGTGGCTCCTGTGTCACGCTGCGTGAACACATGCACTCGCTGCACCCCACGTCTCTCCAAACACCAATGTCTATAAATTGAACCGAGCGGCGTTCCATTTACCTCCCTCTTCCTGCGGCTGCACTCTTCTTCCTCGGCCTTGCGTCGCCTGAACTCCTCTTGTGCGACTTCCTCACGCTCCAGCCACAGGCGGTGCTCACGTTGCCTACAAGGTCAGCCACAAGCGACTCAGCCTGGGCCCACGTCGACAATATAGAGCGGGACCAAGTCTGAGCTTTGTGCAGCGAGTAGTTTACAGATTATGCTGCAAATGCAGATACACGTGCTGCACGTACTGGCATGTGGAACATAACTGTTCTCAAGCAGAAACCTAGCTCGAATGCACTTCGCACGTGCACTCGTCAACACCTTGTTTGGAGTTCTTGCTTCCAACTGTTTATACTGATAAAGCAAGCGCGTGCAGCTTGTGTACGTTTCCTGCATTTTCCTTGGTGCTTGGGTAATTTGGCAAAAGGTCTATTTAAGCGGTGCAAAAATTGCCCTCGGATGATCTCGTGCAGCAAAGCATAGGTGCAGACAGAGTGGAGGGAGAATGGGCACCTCTCACGTTCATCGTACTCTTCCTGAAGCATCCGCTGCCGGCGTTCCTCGGCTGCCCTCTCCTGGAAGCCAGGGGACCGCTCCGCCGCTGCATCTTGCTCCGCTGCCAGGGGGAATGAACCGGGCAAACGGTATACATAACTTGCAGGTGTTGCCATTTCTGGGCACCGATGGTTATTTCCACTTACTGGCTACCTCTAGCTACTACTTCTGCGGTGAGAAACTAATGCGGTGAACCGAATGCTTCTGGCACATGAAATACCAACACGGCCGTGAACGACGTTACAGGCAAGCTATGTATAAGGGTGCAGCCCCGCACGCACTTGTTCACCTAAGAAGCAATCTCGTTTTTTCTTTGTGCTGAAAGCGCGCGAGGAGCATTCTATGCATCCTTGACTATCAAAGCTTGCCAAGCACTGGACAAACAAACACATGGCGGCTTGCACGTGATGTCATTGCATCAAGCAGGTGGACATCCCTACTTTTTGACAAGAACAAGTTTGCTGGTGCAAAATTAATGCTAGAGAAGGTATACATGCTGAGAGAAACACTACCACAACGACAGCTACCAATGCAAGCCATGTATTGAAGCCATGCATTTACGCCACATCAGCCACCATTGCTCCGTACCATGCTCCTGTGCCCATACCTTCTGCAGCACAGATTCGGCACAATCGAATTTGGTCTTGGCAAGGAATGCCAAGAACATATTTGATAGTATGAAATGCATGCTGCAGGAGGTATGGGCACAAGACAATGGTTTGGAAGAATGGTGGCTGGTTTGGTGCAATATTTCTAGATTACCTCAGTTGTGGACCTCCCGCCGGAGGGGGGTACCCCCCTCACTCACTTCATTCCGGCTTCCGTCGTTTGAAGAGCCATCTAGATTTTCATTTCAAAACTGTGTTCCATAGAGTAAGATAGAACGCCGTATAGTCGCTGTGCTTTGAAACGTATGTATTCGATAGAGAAGGTATTCACTGGACATCATATTTGAGGCAACTGCTCACAGCGCATGCTTCGGATGAGTTCTTATTTATGGTCTCCCAAAGAAGACTATCTTGATGGTGTGCAATGTGCGTGTTGGAAGCGTTGTAGAAGCTTGCCGCAAACACGTGATCAGCAGCAGTGAGCTCAACTATGGCCGCCAGTGAATACCACCTAGACACTGCAGTTACCACAGCAGCCGTCCAGCGCGTCGAACGACGGGGGACGAGTCGTGGTGAGTGAGGGGGGTACTGCTCGAGTGCCCCGGTGCGCACCGGTGCGGATGATCGAGGATGCTATTAATTACTCCGTTGGCTTCGACAACCCTCCGCGACAGCGCGCTCGTAGCGCCATCTGTACTCCGACAAAGCAACTGAAATAGGAGCCCGCAGCGCCCGTGCCTGCTTCCCGGCGCGCGCCCCTCCGCGCACCTCGCCATTGGCGCTCCGCAATAGCCCCTCCTCCTCCCCTCTCCCAGGCTCCTCCCCTCTTCTTAGGCCACGCCAGCGGCAGACCAGCGACATCTTTACCAAGCAATGGGTCTGCCGGGGTACACGAGCTAACGGACCTTCCAGCCGACGAACCCACCTCGGAGCCTGTCCCGTTCTCGGGCTTCTTTCTGGCGTATTTTCTTCCTCCGCGTTTTCTTCAGAAGTGCGCGGAACTTCTTGTGGCTAACAGAAAAGAGAAAAATAGAAGCATAAAACTCGATAAATACAAGTCGAGTTCCTGACTTGAACGAACGAAAACTTGTACATCACAAAAAAACACAGATCAGAAAGTACCATCTGAATGCAGCGCTTAGTAGTGTTGAAGCTACAGATGAGTATAGAGTGCAATTCTTATTAAAACTTACTTTAATTTCACTTCAGTCACTTGCGTTGCCATCACATTAAAATACAAACACGCACGCCTCCATGCGCTGCGGCTGATGTCTACCATGTTCCTGATTTCTTTGACGCGCGAAGCACGCGAAGCGCACAAAGGACTATTCGGTTTCTTTTTGTTTTAACTGCAGTAAAAATGTTATACTATTTATATAACAATTATAAAATAAATAAAACTTTAATAGTAATGTAAAAACACGTGTTTATTACACTTGATTGCAGAAACAGTTTCAGTTTCGATTTCACAAGCACACATCCTACTTTTGGCGATTAAGTTTTACATGTCCTACATTTGTCGTGACTATTGCACAAATATTTTCTGTATAATTTTTCTAACGTAAGATCTAAGTAGCTCAGTTTCATGTTATTCCTTACACTTGTGAAGAAGAGAGTGAAAATCGAATATCAGAACGCGGGTGACCGACCAACCACGCGGGCGACGACCAGTGAGTGCAGCTGTGCCTGGAAGTGGAAACAACTACGCTGTTGAAAAAAAAAGAAAACAAACCGCTTTCCGTAGTTATATTTATCAGAATATTATTCTATACGCTAAATAATTTACGGGCCGTGTTGTGACCGATTTTACGCGACTTACAAAGCGATACATTTCATGCAGGGCAGCCGTGATGACCATGGACAGTTGCAGCACTGAGCAGAGCATCGGAGAATTCGACAGCCTTTCTTGCGATGACGACGTCCATGAAAACTTCGTGGAAGAATACTCGGTGCGAGTTGAGGTTTACGAGACCGAAGTGACCGGTTCGAGCTCCGCTGGAAGTGCTCCTGTCATCAAGATCTCTGGTAGGTCTCTATGGCATATTGTCACCGAGCAAACGCTCCATCGAGCTATGTACTTTTCTGAAACGCTGGCGGTGAAATACATGTCTGCAATACTCACATTAAAAAAAGAAAAAAAAAATTAAATAAATAAAAATGCGTTTGACTAAAGAAAAGATTTTAAACAACACAATGTGAAAGCCCAACACATTTTTAACTGGTTGCTAAAAATAAATAAAATTTGAAAAAAAAGGGGGGGGGGAGCATTAAACATTTTACGTCCCGGAAGTAGCTGCATATCAATCATTATACACCAAATAAATCGTGCTTCCAGGTCTCTCTGACTCTGGTGACATTGGCAAGGAATGCAGCCGTCAGCACTACCTGGCCAGCAACCTCAAGAGATCATTGGGACGTCTCTTGGGAGATAAAAAAACTCGCAAGATAGGGTCCTGCCTTCCCCTCTCAAAATCCCTGCAGCTTTTGGAGTGCCATCGTGCGTCGTCAATGACAGCATCCGGAACAATGTCCACTTGCTGCATGACTTGCAGAAACCACAAGAGCCAGACCACCGTACTCGCTCCCTTTGGAGACTACAAGGAAAAAGTGTGCACATCTCGTCTAGGGGTCACCTCACCCAAAGAAAGGCTTTGTCACTCCCCACATCCCTTTGCATTGAGGAAGCACACTTCTATGACTTTGGGCAAGACACACATCCTTGGCAAGTGGGAAGCCTCATGCAGCAACCCTCCACTGCAAAGACACATCAATGGTCGGCCCAGAAAGGAATCCAGCACTAGAGCAATGAAGCAAGGGGTATTTTCATTTCCCACAAGGGTTCCAAGAAAGACATCCATAAAAAATATGTTTACTAGCGAGAGCTTGAAAACTGCTAATTCACATGCTCAGTACCTTGACCATACAGGCAAGTCCCGTGGTGTGAAACCTCATTGCTCTGCGAGCAGAGAGCATTCCTTCGAGAGTTGCAGCACAAAAAATGGCACTGCAAGGATATCTAGATGTTCCTGGGAAACTCTTAGTTGCTGCCATGTCTGGGAACGATACCCGTCTAGCACAGAGAGGACATACTCTATTGTGGAGCCAAAGTGCTGCAGAGAGGCAGACATTGTGAGGAAAAGCACATTCCAAGCTGCCTCTAAATGGCCAGCTTCGAGGACAAGCTTCGACTGCTTCGAAGAGACCATCACCACTCGGTTGATTCCAGCACCTTTCACAAAATCTGCGAGGCCTCAAGTTGGCCAGAGGACAGTTTGCTGCTACGTCCATGATGACATGAAGACCTCCCTGAAACAGGCATGGGGATGCACTGACCTCAGCATTGTGCACAAAATCCTACCTCCCCAGCAAGGAAACAATGCTTGGACACCAGTCATACCAAAATGCACAGAACCAATGCTTCGAGAGGTGTATGTCTCGCCTTGCGAAAGGTACCAGGGGACTATCAGTTCCATGGACGCTGCCTGCAGGCCAATGGAACCTGTTGGCCCCATGAAACTTGAGCAGGCCACATCAGTTCCACAGAAGGCAAGGCTCACCCCATCTACAGTAAAGCTCTCGACCTTGCGCAACTCCAGGTGCAGCGTGCACAAGCAGACACAGACATCCACGTCTCAACTGGAACTGCCCAACATTCTCAAATCGCTCGTCGATTGGATCGCATTCATATGCCAAAATCCGGGTGCACACACTACAGACGTCCCAACCAAAGCCAAGTACTTGCCCCATGCAACAAGTTCCCAGCCAGGTGTAACGGAATCTTTGCGAGAGCTACTGAGGACTGACTCGGCTGTCTGGTGGAAATTAGCTAGGCAGTTCCACGAAGGCATTGCGCAATTTCCTCGGCAAGTAACTGAGGCATCGGCTTCTGTCGGGAGACAAAAGTCCTACGGTACGTTCCAGCCGCGGGCCAGGATGGGGGGAGAAGGAGAGTGCGCAGGTACACGCAACGAGAACTGGAAGACGAAAAGGCCACCTGTGCAGCGTATGGAACTGCCAAGGAGGCTGTCTTCGAGGCTTGACCTCTGCATCGGAGTCAATGCTTGCATTGATCTGGAGAATGACCTTGTCCCTCGGATGAATGGGTCCGTGGTTGGACATAGGAGGTCTTGCCCCATCTTCTAGAAATTTTAACATCTGTGCCACAAAGAAATTATGTGCACAAATGCACAAAAGAAGCCACCTGAGGTGGGACTGGCCCTGGGGCACTCTGCCCATGAACTCAAATTATTAAAATCAGTAGATAATGCAATCAATAAACTAAAGAAAGCAGCCAGCTTCTTGGCTCTCAATGAGAAATGCCCCGAATTCATCTTAAAGGGAGTCGCCCTTCTCTCTTGGGTGTTATCATTTTGTCGGAAGGTCCTCTGTGCAAAGCGTTGTGTTCCAAAACTGTTATTATTGGCTACAGCATTTTTTTCTTCTGTTTCACTAATTTTAAGGCTGTGGCCACTCGGTGTACAATTCCTGGCAAGTGCAAAATTTACTTAGAGGAGATAAGGGCTGTTGGGGGAAATGTGACCCTAACAGTACACATGGTTGTGCAGACGTCACTGGGACATTGTATTGTACCACGGATGTCTACAGGATTCAAAAAGCCAGTTCATGTTTCAGTTTTCATGACTGAAGTGCGAAAACAGTTTAATGTTCCCTTTAAAAAAATAATCCGAGCCAACACTGTATAGCATAACTATTTTGCAACTGCATTTTCTGCGAGACTGAATGGACTGTACACGTCGTTTCTACATTAGTTTTTTTACAGCGGAGCTGTTAAGGGCTAGGTTCCCCAGGATCGTGTGCGTGTATGTCGACACAAACCTACCTGGACAGCTACCGCCATCTATAAGCGACGGCGGCAAGCACACAACCAGTATGGTTACCGCCGTCGCTCGTAGATGGCGGCATCCCTTCCAGCTATAATAGAAGAATAAATAGTTGGGTGCGTTGGTGGGAATTCATCGTAGGAAACAGCGTGAAAAACAGACGACGACGAAGAAGCAGCACACAGCATATCGAGTACAGCTCCGCTGGTCTTCCTTCTTCACGTGAGTGGAAAGGCTGAACGTTTTTTTATTTCTGCTGACCCTCCAGCAGACGGCAGTAGAATGGTGCCTGGCTGATCTTTTTCCAAGTACGATTGTGCTTGTACGCTAGCTGGGAATTTTTAGCAATTCAAGCCCTAGAGGCTAGAGCAGACACGCCGGTGTAAAATGCAGGCTTAGCGGTCTGAGGCTGCATTTCCCTTTCTGCTGTGACCCGGACAAGACAGAAAGCAGCGTTGAGTGCAGTCCTATTCCACAAGACAGGTTGTTTAAGCACTTTATTAAAGTCGGATGGTGACAATGTCAATATTTACCAAAGATGACCTACCAATTCAAGAATGCATAGAGCTACTGCATGACAAAAATAATGTTTACACTAGTGACAGTACTAAGGTGCAGATGATTCCTATAAATGACGTGGATGCACATATCTCGAGGGAACGCAGACAGCGAGGCACACTGATCCGTCTGTTTACTGTCATAAACGGGATTTGGAGGACTTCAACAAAAGATTCACTGGTATCCTTAATGCCATTGGGCCAATACTGCTCCAGAATCAAAAGCCCTATTAAACCCAGCTCTTGAACTGTAGACATTCCATCAACATCACTGCTTACCTTGTTCAGAGTAACACAGAACTGAGGTAACACAGAACTGAGGTACTACCACATCCCCAGTTGAGAAGACAGCCAGGCTATAGCTGCATCTCTCAGGCTTGTGCAACACAAGCGCGAGGGTGGAGCCGTCGAAAATGCTTCGCTTGCACAAGTACTTGTGCAAAGAAGCCCCATGCCTGTACCTTCCACAACACTGAACGGAGCTCATCCATAGCCTAGCACGCATGCGCAATGGCACCGACAAGCACTCTATTGGAATGGTCTACACATACTGTCGGCTCCCACAGCATTTTCCAAGAAACTTCCAAACTCACAATGAGATTCCTGCCAGCTTTGTTCCATTGAAAAGACAAGATTGCTATCAAGCCTCAAGTTCCTAAAGCTTTATTTTTGAGTTAAAGCTCAATATTCACTCAAAATGCAGAATAGAACAATTTGAACTCCTCCTCCCGGACTTGGTTTTCATCCTCACTTAAACAAAGCAAATTTACGGGGGGGGGGGGGGGGGGGGGGGGGTTGGTCTCGTTCAAGGGCTCTGCGATTTGGAAAACTGAAGATGTGTATTCACTTAGCTGATGCAAGTATTTACGTGGCTCAAAGTTCTCACTACCTGCCACCAAAGTTGAGACAGAAGAGCAAAACAGAGGGGAACCAAAATGGCCTGCATGGCAGACAGAGGTGCAGGCTTCTGCAACACAACCTAGAATAATTACGATCCAACGCAGCTTTCAGAGGCAGAGCACTGCAGAAGACTGACCTTCAAAGGTCCCCAAACACCTGTCATCCAATTAGAAGGCAGACCGCTTCAAACGTGACGCGCTGAAATTTTATGAAATACAGTGGCCAGACGTCGTCGACGCCACTTCTAGCTGGGAAAGCAAGCGTTCAGTGACAATACAATCTTCACGCTGACTCCATTCATAGCAGACGAGTCAAGCACAATGTCCGGTGGGTTGTGGCTATTGCCAATCTCCATCTCGGAATCCAAAGCCCAAGAATCATGCGTACAAAATAGCCGTTGTGACAAAGGTCATCTCCCGACTGCTTTCTGAATAATGCCAAAGAATGGTTAGCACTAATGTTATTACAGTGGGTGCCAAAATTGTCACATGACAGAATATCGTGAGCAGACGAGCAAACTTGGAAAGTTTGTGGTGGTTTTAAATCATGTATTTCAAAACAAGATTTTAAGCTTTAAACCTCGTTAAAATTAACATTGAAAACCACAAAGATGGGCACCGACTATACTTTTGAACCAGCACTAGACTGTGGAAGCAGCTGTGATAATGTAACTCTATTTCCATTACAAGTAACCTACACGAACAAAGTTAGTGAAAGCCCATCTCTGGAAAACATCATCGCAAACATGGCAAGTATTCCCGGCGCCAAATGCACACGCACATTTGTACATTCTGCCGCAGCAGCCAAGAGCAAGGCCGGCTGTGGCCGTAGAACCCGATTACAAGGAAGGAAGTGTTCACGTCCTCCAAAGTCCGTCTGGCGTCTTGTTCCGCACGCAGCCAAGCTGTCCGCTGCTTCCTCTCGGGCCAGAGTGAAAACGGCCGAGGTGTGCCGACCTCTTCAGCCGTTGCGTATTCCCAGGGCCTGCTCGAGCTCGGCCCTGCGCTGCTGCACCTTGCCGTAGAAGTACCGGCAGACAGCCTCCTGTGCCCACCGCTGATAGTAGAAGTCCGAGCGGCGCTCCTCTTCGGGGTTGCCCACAACGTCCGTCATCGTCTGAAACCGGGACAATCTTAGGATACGGCCGACCCTTGCCAAGACAGATTTTCTAGACATTCCAAACTATCGGAGAATATCCGAGGTTTCCTAATGTTACTTCTCAAGTCTAAGGTTGAACTGAATACACCCAATATTTGAATCTATAGAAGAAAATTTGCAGTCGTCTAAAAGCAAAATGTCTAAAACTGGCGGAGAATATCCGAGATTTTTCTGTCGCTAATTTAAATTGCGACTCTAACTCAATGCACCCAATATTCGAACATCTTTAAGAAAGTTTTTGCACATCTATACGCATCTCCAGCTCATTGCTCACCCTCTCGTGGCGCAAACGGAAAGCACTCTAGTGACGGTCCCCCGGTTCTCCTGCTCAGCAGTCACGGTGAAACTGCTCGCGGTCACGGCTCGTGAAATATTATTTCCGAATGCAAACACCCTTCACTGTGCCCATGTAGTGCTGCAGCCGGTATGGGAATTTACCTTATTAGAGAATTTTAGTGTTGACACTGTTGAGAAGTAAATGCAAGTGCTGTGTGTTTGCCTGTGCTGCACATGCGCGCCGTCGTTATGTTCCCATTTAAGACCGCAATTTTGGGCTCCGCGCACGGGCAGTGTGGAACACGCAAAGGTAACACAAACACATATCGCTTGCATTTGCTTGCATACGCAGTACTAAAACTCACTTCTATTTCACTGGTTTCCAACGCCAACGAAACGTGCTGCAGTGAGCAGGCGCGAAAGAGGGAAGTCGTTCCTTCGAAATGGGAAGGCTGAGATTGGCACGACGACGGCGCGTAAAAACTGAACAAACTAAATGTTGTGGGAAGATTGGTAATTAAAAACAACAAAACCCATCATGTCGTATTACACCTGAGACTGCGGTGGAAGAAATCGGAAGAACTTTCAGTAGAAGGAACAGACACAGAGAATGTTTGAGACGTTCTCTGTGTCTGTTCCTTCTACTGAAAGTTCTTCCGATTTCTTCCACCGCAGTCTCAGGTGTAATACGACATGATTAGCTACCACCAGCTCGCCTGCACTCTCACAGTCTTTTCAACAAAACCCATTTCTATTTTTTTTTTTTTTTTTTTTTTAAATTTTGGGGCATTTGGTTTGGAAGGATTGGCGGCGACTTTGGAAGTTTAGCCGACTGTCAAAAGTTGATGGCACCATATGCTTTACCCACAATTAATGCAATTTTATGTGGATTTCTCAGATTAGCTAGAATGTTTTCATTAATTTTCAGGGTGTCTAGCAAAAATTAATTAATAATAAATTTCAAAATTATTATTTTCAAAATCCCCGACTTTCCCATTTTTTCCCTGAAAATTTCAGGTGAAATTCCCTGACCACTGTGAAGGCGGTTAAATATATAAGACCATTGAAACACAAGGCACTGAACACTGTGAGGATCATTTTGCACGGGCTTAATCCAACTTGCACATTCCGAAATATTCAGGTTTGTCCAGTCTTGATTCTTGCTGCCGACATCGTCAGTGAAGAGGCCACTTCCGGAAACACCATGAAAACACGACGCTCAACCGCATACATCAAGAACCGAACAGCAGCTTGGCCACCAGATGCATACTTTCGGCTTGAATTGGATTGGGGTCTGTGGCTTTCCTATTTGTTACTATATCTAGTAGCTCTAACTGGATCTAGCCTGGTGTCGTGCCCTGAATCCAAGGCTTGGACTGGATTTGTCGGCTGTGCATCGGGCAGCACACTCTACATTCGCTGAGCAGAGCCTGCACTCCGCTCTCGGCAGAATTTGTTCCCTATTTTTCTGCCCGCAAGTCCTCAACTCTTTGCTCAGGGCACTCAATGGCCTTTCCGGCTCATTTTCCCGGACTAGGCTCTCTTTTTAACAATATCCCTGACAATTCCCCGATTTTTCCCAATAATTAAAATTTTCCTGACAATTCTTGGTTTTTCCCGGTTGCTAGACACCCTGATTTTAGACTATTTTTCTTTTATAACTTGTTAGTTAAAAATGCTGCAATTGTCTCCAGTGATGATAATTTGCACCCTTTTGATTGCCATACTTGTTTGTGCATTTGAATTTAGGTTATAAGCAACAGACTATAGTGGAGCTTGAAAAACTATGTATTAAAACATCGTAATTGTATTATTATTAATACAAATTTCAGCGATGTAGGCCCTTAATAAATGCCACAATCACAAAAATATCCCATTTAACAATAGTAATTTTCAAGAAAAGTGACATTGCTATGAAGATAAACAAACAGACAAACGAAAGGTGTAACATAAAGTCCTTTGCTTCAAGCGTTGGTTTAAGCGGGATGGTAGGGGTCATCTTGGTCTTAATTCAGTACCTCAAAAATAGCTCCCATTTTATTGTGAAATTTTATTTATTGAATGGTTTCATCCTTGGAATTAAATTTCTGTAACTTTTTTTGCTAAAGCATTTTTTATATTTTTAGTAAATGAGGGTCGAATTTCAGGCTGTTTCAGTTTTTAATGTAGCTTTTCTCAGCAACAAAGAACAGGACACCCACTTCATTTGATGCATATCTTCCACCTGCCTTTAAACTGAATCTAAAAAGATGTAAGTCTGAGCATGCAGCATGCCAGAAAAAAAAGATTGTTCTTACTTGTATAAGGAGTTTTTTATTTATAACTTTTTTTTAACATTATAATTTAGTGATGTCTGGAATCATCTAGGTTCGAGCCGTTGGCAAGATGTTCTACTATAAGCTGTAAACGTTTTAGTGTAATTGGTAGTTTCTTAATAAAAATTCATCGAATTAAAAAAAAAAAAAAAAATTGCAAAAACATTTATTTGAAAGAGAAAGGAAAACACACAATTTTATGTTTCTACATTTGTCACAAAGGCTCAAAAGGCTCCAGCAGAATATATGTCAGTTTTTGCTTTCTTTCCCTGCTTCCCAGTTTTGTTCCTCTGGCTGCATAAAATGTTTTGGCCCTAAAATTGCAAAATTGATTTTCTGGTTGGTTTCCCCAACCAGCCTCCCTTAAAGAAACACACACACTTCTGTGGTCCGACTCGGATTCCGTCTTTGGGTTTTTCTGGTGAGAACAGTGTTTCTTAATTTATACCTTTTGTGAGCATATTCTAAACTCGTCACCTCTGGTGATATTTTGTAAAATCTTGATTGACCTTGTTATTCTTGTGCTGGGAATAATGTTAAAGCAATTAATTATCTAAATACCCCAAAACCCATTAAAAGGCCCGCAGTTCATTATTTCACATGACAATTACCGGAGTGAGAAAAGGGATCAAGAACCCACAAATATCAGCATTGATATTTTTTAAAAATACAATATTTTATACGTTGCCTCGAAGGTGTTTGAAAGACCCTGTCATTAAAAGGACACTGAACTTTCAAAAATATTTTGAATTGCTTGGACCCGACACGTCTGTCACAAAATAAAGTTTCCGCGAACAACTTCTTTAGCTCAATAATTATGCTGCGAGACACATCTCGAGTTATGAAAGAATCCGAAATTAACACCTATGCCGAGAAATTACATCCAAAGCAGAGGTTAGTTTCGATTTCGTCCCAGAATTAACACGTGCCTCCTGGCACAAATATTACGTTAAACACAGTTTTTGTTTTCAGGATAAATAGGTGACCTACACCCATAACACCCTAGCTTCCTCAAATAAACAGGGATAATTTGTGTCGCTCTGTGAAGCTAGCACACTAGACAGGCTCAGCAACTGGTATACCGGTATGCATATCCGACCCTCACTATAACCACCATTTTGGAAAATTAGTGGCGCCACCTATAGTGAATTGGAGTCACAAATAGTCGGTGACGGGCCAAGAATTAAGTGGAAGCTCCTCCCATTTCTTTCCACTTTAGTAGAGCGAACACCAGAGAGCAGGTTGCCTCGGCCCATCACAGACTAGAAACAAGAGACGCCCCTAACCCGACCGCCATGGCACACGTCTCGGCGCCAGCACTCGGAAACGTGCAGCCGGAGAGAATGGTCACCTTGAGGTCCCTCATCTGGGAGATGAGCCACTTGTTGATGAACTGCTGAGGGTCCTTGGCAAAGCTCAGGAAGAACTCCCGGTTTGTCTTCAGCTGGTTGATCGTCTCCACCGTCTCGTGGATCTGCATGGCGGTCCCCCACCCTTGGGACTCAATATACCTTCAGAAAACTTCTCAGCCAACGCTTCTCATACTACAACATCGCACGGGACAGTGCCACACCCACAATCATTCAAAAGCCGTAACTATAGGTTCCTTCCGTTTAGGGGGAAAAGAAAATCCCTAAATGAAGCGAATACCAGGAGATAATATGCTAAAAATAAGCAATTGTGGTGGTGCGTGCCGGCAAGACCATCAGCGTTTTATAAGACGGCTTCGAAGTCGTTTAACACCGCGAGAATCGGCAGGCCAGCAAAGGAGAAAGGAAGAAAATATTTTGTGGACCCTAGCACGAGGAGGAAGCGCAAGAGCCGAGAGAACAAGAGAAGACGAGGCACAAGAAAGGCAGCTACCGACACCCATCCAAGGTTCTGGTTCCCGTTTAGACAAAAGAGATGTAGATTAAATAGTTTGGTTACGTACTTTGACTGTGCCGATTAATGCTCGACCCACTTGTGGGAACGGTCTGGATAACCAAACAACCCTCATTGCTGTTCTTCAGGTTCTTACTCAAATAAGCCCCAGTTAGCTCCATTTTTCAAAGATGTAACCCAGCTGATGTGGCCAATCCACACAGAGTACTCGGCAGTAATGCACTCGCGGCATTTTAACGCTACTCATTCGGCACTTCATACTCTCTTCTGCGAGAGTGAAATCTAAAAAATTTTTAAACCTCGGTGGTTCTTTTATTACAGTTGTAACCGAAAATGCTAGAGATTATGAGGCATCTATTTCAACTGCTACAAGGATGTCTAACGATATTTCCCATCACTACCACCAGTACATCGTTTCTTTTCCCAGTGCTACCGAATATTCTACGCCAGGCGCCAACCGCACCGGCCTCTACTTTCAGAAAGTGTGAAGAAATACTTTGACTTCTGCTTGGATTGGCTAGAAGGCCCTGGCTTTGACCCTTGAGGTTCCTACCTCCGGAGCTTGCAGCAGCCCATACCGGTACCGCCATCGTGAAGGCGGGAGCTCGTCACACTTTTGACAAAACGAAAGGAACCTATTAGACTGGCCCTCTCCCTCTCTCGCCCAACACTCTTACATAAACGCCTGCTCTAAGCATTCAAGCTGGAAAACGCCAAGAAATGGCAGCCTAATATCACTTCGACCAATCGGTGAAAGAATACAAGCGTCGTGTTCTCCCGTCTGTTATACGTGGGTTGCACCCATGCAGAACAGATACCAGTAACTGCTGACTGCATCTTGGTAAAAACAAAACTGCCAATTTATGGCAGCAATTTTTGACAAAATTACTAAATGCAGAAAACCATGAACCTATGCATAACATCGCAAGTCATGTAAAGTATCTCTGATACTATTTGAAGGCACAAAAAAATGCCAAGGTTTCAACAAGTTAGAGACAGTAGGGTTTATGTTAAAAAGAGCAAATAAATCCCATCCTCTCATGCTATACCACTTGTGCAGGAAGTCATACATAGAGCAGGTATGGCGGAAAGTGAGCAACAATGTTGAATCAGAGGCAGTGAATTAAAACCTGGTGCGAGATGAGATACTAAAGGAGAGCCCTGGACAGGTAACTTTAAAAATTGGACACTACCTTGGATGCTGGGAGAAACAGAAACAAAACTGCAGTTTGGCTACAAGGTATGTTCAAACACGGGATGAGTTTGGTACCAATAATAGGCACCACAACATTTGAAACTCCGAAATGGCTTTAATGTTAACGTTCATCCCAGACTGTCGCATAGCTTATGTGACCTCCAAGTCAGACTTTACATCTACATTTTGAAGTAAGCCAATTCTTCGTACGATCGAGAAGCGAAATTGCTTCGTCTGAAACACTGAGACTTTTTTTTTTTTTTTTTAGTTGCTTCTTTTGCACATAGACATTTAAACAAGGTAAAAAAACAACACAAAAACATATTTGTTACAATTTAGAAGGACTCAAGGATCATGAAGACACTAGCCCCTCGCACGCATATCTGCCCCTGACCTTAACGGCACACTTGAGTAAACTTTTGCTACCGAGGCAACTGAACAACTGAGCAAACAATGAAGAAACAGCCGTCCCCTGCCAGTGGAGGACCCACCTTGTTGTCCAGGACCTGTATCTCCTGTTGGTTGGCAGTGGACAAAATGAAGTTGTTCATCTGGGACTTGAGAGGGTCATCCTGCAATCAAGAACGCACTATTCACCATCCAAAGTCACACATCCTCTCACAACAATCACGAGAATCCTATGACTCCAGGCACATTTGATGGGCATTAGCTAGAAGTTGTGGCGCCAAAGCCCGAACCTCAGCAGGACCACTAATTGCCACGTCTAAAGTAATTCATTACTTTTTTTTTTCTTTATTATTACCGCTTCACAAAACAGCTTCCAAGGGCCCAGCAAATCTGTGACATCTCTCTAGGCAACGTAACACTGGCAACTTGAAGGATATACTACCTAAATGACTCGCTCAAAATTCGCAGAAACTCCCATGATCACTGCTTTTAATGGTGCCCCGTGGAACGAAGGAAACTTTGCGAACTCGACAACCAGACGAAACGACCAGACATAAAGGACTGAGCTTTCTCACCACTTCGACGTCAATGTCGTAGCACGCAGTCTTCTTGGTGTCGGGGCCTTCCACACTGCCGGGAAACAAACGCCATTCATTTACTCCTCTGATCCTCCCTCAGGGCCTCAACATGGGCCCCAAGCAGAGGGGGGTGTAAAGCCACACACTGTTTGTAAACATTCCTAGCGTGGGCAAAGTCTGTCAGAATACTGGAAGTTTCGAGGTGAAAGCTTTACACAGATAGGAGCGGCAATGAACCTTTTGTAGCAGACAAATTATTGGTTTGGAGCAGCCACCGACACTTTTGGAGCAGATGGCAACATCTGTTAGCACGTCACTTGAAAATAAAAATATGATTGCATAGCTAAAGGAGTTCATATCTGATGATTCAGGCTTCCTCTTTGATGCTGATGCATATTACTCATTATCTTTTGTAGCAAGAAATGACAGGCTGCCAAGAGAACACCCCAGCCTTCTTTTCAAAAATAAGGCTCAGGTTAGAGTGAGTTCCGTCTACAACGGGTATTAAAATTTTTTGAAAAATGAAGCATAGTGAAACATTTGAGATAAAGTCTTCCCTCCCTCCCCTCTTACACCTTGTAGTTAATTTAGCCCGTAAATATAATTCCCCTAAAGTGCCGGCAAAAATCAGCATATCCGCTAAAATGTACATGAATAAGAATACGTCCCCCAAGTTTTATGAACACCAAACTCAAGACTCGAATATAGTATGAACTGCAAAAGCAGGCACCCACAAATATTATGAAAACCTACAGCTGTGCCTTGAAAGGGAAACTACACTTCAGCAGCATTTTAACCAAAGTTGAGTCAAAGTTTGTTGCCCTTTCAGTTGACTACCGCATTTATTCAAATATAGACCCACGTTTTTAGTCCTTTCTCAACACAGCCTTTTAGTAGTTCAGGTCACCCTATAGTCAAGACTGAAGAAGGTAGACCTGTAATATAGCACCGAGACTAATTTCCGAACCACTAGCCCTAACCCATGTCAGCCGCTGCTCCTAGCACTCCGATACAAAGCGGTGAAGCCTGATGCGCATGTGCTGGTGTGAGGCCATGAAGGATGTCGCGAGTGGCGCAAGTACACTGTAGCCAAGGCATGAAGGCATGTGGCAGACATGATAGTCGAGTGATATGATCGGGGGAGACTAATCCAATTCACAGGTGCAAAAATCTGGAACTCGCTGTCAGTTGATCTTCGAAACTCGCATAACTTTAGTCAAGCAATGTTTTCTCTTTTCTCCCTAAACCATCTTTAAGTCATGGCCACTGCTTTCGTTTACTCAATTAAAATAGCTCAAAATAAATTGTTTCTATATCCTCTTTATTTTGTCTACTCTGTATTCTGGGTGTATTTCAATTGTGTGTGCTTAACCCAGTAGGCTTTCGAGCTGTTGGTTAGCACAAGAGAAAAATAAACATTGATTGATTGATTGATGGATTGAAGTTTCTTTTTAGTTTGTCTTTTGACTCAAACGTTAAACACTTTGCATCTTAGATAATAGTTTTTTTTAATGAACCCACACTAGCCAATTGGATATGGGTCCATCTGTTCTTTCAATAATATGTATCTGCTTGCTGAAAAATAAAATAAAAAAAACTAAAAACTAAAACTGAAACCCTGATTTTGTCTTATATGACAAATTGCCATCCCACTATTTTGCAAACTACTCTTGTAACTTTTAGCTCCTGACATTACCAACATCATCTGAAAATTCAGATGACAACGGGGCCAGCGCAGTTGATGAGCAATCTGTATACTTTGTTTCATCTTAAAGGGCCCATGAAAAGAAGAAAAAATGTTTTTTTTTTCTTTTAACGATTTGGTTAGAGCACACAAATTAAAAAATTATTTTTACGCAAAAAACTTTTTTTAGAGCAATACTGACCGCACGAGACGCGATTTAGTCGGTAGTCACCTCCTTTCCACTCGTTTTCTCTCTCGTCATTTCAGGCGCGTAGAGGAGAGGTGAAGCAGCTTCGCTTTCACGTTGAGGTGGAAAGAGCGAACGACCGAGATGGTCGTTTTGGAATGACCCGTGGCGTCATGGACTTTGCACGCAGAATTTCAAATAAATCTCTCACCGTCAATATCGCTCTAAAACATATATCTATTTCTTTTTCTGGTAAAAAAATAATTTTTTGATGTGCATGTCTCAACCGGGTTGTCTAAAAAAAACAGTTTTTTTCTTTTCAGGGGCCCTTTAAGTCAAAGGGCAGGCAATGCTACAAGTATCGGGACCAATCAAACAGCTAAAAGAGCGACATCCTGGCATACATTATCTATCTGTACATTCTCTTTTATCGACTAAACAAATCAAGCACACCAAATGCCCCTAACCTTGCGCTATACCCATATTTACTCGCATAATGAACACTTTTATTTTACCCAAAAATTGACATATATTTGGGGGGGGGGGGTTCATTACACGGGGTAAAATTTTAGCATTTACACACTTCGTGCAAATGTCATATTAGGTGCCAATATGCCACAACAAGATACTGTGGCACATCTCCAGTGATGTAGGCGCACCCACAGCAGGTCGGGGGCGCGACACAATAACTATGCTTTATAAATTGCAAACCTTTTTAGGGCGCATTCGGGGTACCTTTGCCGAGGGAAAAGCACCCTACGAAGCTCACTCAGCACGAAAAGCAACACGTCCATTCTTAGGCGATATATATTGCTAGTATCCGGCGGGCACGGCGGGCACGCTCACGTATAATCCGCGACTATGCGTATAAGAACTCGTAGGAAGTCCAACCCCCGACCGCCTAAGCCCGCTCGCACGGATCAAGTTTCGTTCACGGAGATGCCACCAGACACTCTCAGCCTACAGCGCAGCGCGCACCTCGCTGTGACGTTCTGTTCCAGATTAAATAAACGCATTTACCTGGAGTATGTGAAATTAGACTAACCACTTTCACGATTTCACCGTTCGGAAGCGGACCACAGACGACGGCTCGTTTGTTGACATCAATGCATCCGATAGGCGAAGAATGTCCGGGGCTTGGCGATTCCTTGACCCAAGCTTCGTCGAGTGTGCATGACACTCGGTTTCACCGTTGATCACTTCCGTAACTACCTACCCCAACTACGCACTTGCGGCCATTACGTGAGCAACCCAGCCTGGCTTGAGTTGGCTCGACTTCGCCCGACTGTTTGGCGGCAAAAGAAAACTGGCTGGGTGGCTCGCTAAATTGGACGCAATTCGAGACTCGCGGATCCAAAAATTGGAGGTGCGTTGATTACGGGAGGGAAAAAAAAAAGTCCAAATATTGATGCCTGTTGTGGGGGGTACGTTTATTATGCGAGTGCATTTATTATGCGAGTAAATACGAGTATATGTATTTGTGACCGTATGTCTTTGAGCCTTCGACTGTGCTCTGACCTAAGATGAAACGAGCTATGCAGTCCATAGAGACGCTGTGAAATACATATCTGCAAAATTTTCGTTTCCTTCTACTTTCTAAATATTAAAATCGACCAATAATAAAGTATTTTTTATCTTTTGCTCCGTTTCAGCTCTTATAGGCACAGGTGTGGCATAATTCTTAGCAAAAATGTTGCTTTGGCGCAAATCGCGCAGCACTTCCACCACTGGCTTTTGTTCCAACCCAGAATGGCTACCCTGACCCGCCCTTCTCGTAAACCTCAAGTTGTACCCCGCCAAGAGGAGTGGTATGTCACCTGATGACGTGGTTGATGACAATGGGGTCCGGTGGGTGGAGAAGCTGGTGTAAGCGCTGAGGAATCTCGGCAAACTTCATTCGTGCACACTGGAAGATCTGCCAACAAACACAAGGACAGCTGAGACACAACCGAATGTATCGCAAGCCCCCAACTCTCTGCCAACCCCAGGTGCCCACATGCTTCAATGATCCAAGCCTGAAAACAGTCTCGTGAAATAAAGGTCTGCCCTAAAAGCACACCTTGACATACGAAGTTTCTGGGTGACTGAAACGTCTCTCGTTTTCTTGTCCAGAATTAAATTTGCAACGGCAGGTACGAAACTAGGCAGGGGACATTCATGAGACCAGCGTGCATATCCCATTAAATATTCGGGATAAAAGCATAAAAAAATCTCCCTATACTCGGGGTCAACTTTCTGTGGCAATGCAGCAAAGGCTACAGAGCTGAAGCATGTCGTTTCACTACGCAGCTGCAGATGGTTCAACGAAAATAATTTGCCGAGTGTAACCCAAGCAATTCAAAAATATAAAATTGCTCTTCTTTAGCTTTGGGTTGACAACGTTACTATAATATTGAGAGCATTCCTTTTTTAGCCTTTGGGTCTTCTTCGTTTACATTTGCAACTGGCACTGCAGGCTTTCTAGATTCTCTGCAGATAAAAACATGGCGTCCTCGTCGACTGCACTTTCCTTTCCTTCCAGGAGCTGGTCACTTTATTCGCCCCATAGGGATTTCGCAAAGTTTGACAACTAAAAGTTGTCAAAACGAATGACATCAAGTGGTCTGCAACTTGTATGCCCAAGTGAGACAGAGGCAACCAGGATTCTCCATTGTTTGCGCATTCCGTTTGGTTAGCCAGCTGCAAAAGCGAGCATACTGTCGTGCGGCTCAAGAAAGAGGCTCCGAGTGGTTTTCTCAAGTCCCCAAAGCGTAAAGGGTTTCGTTTGGCGTCTGCAAAACCACCCAAAGTTACAGGAAAGACAAGAGCGCAGCGGTACAATAGTTTCACCCTTCCTGCTCTTCGACGGAAGGTACATCGGTACCTCCTTCGCAACAAGGCGCCAACAGCGGACAAGATCCTCAGCGATGTCACCAGCAATCCCAGGATGGGCCCGGTATACTCGGTATCAACATTTTTGCACTACGTTGTCAAGACAAATGTAGTTTCCCAAAGGCAAAAAGAAGAATAAAACAAACCTTTTTTTTAATTAACAAAAAAACCAAAAAAACACAACATAGTTTAGTTTTTTCTTTTTTTAGGAAGAAATGTTTAGCTTTTGGGTGAAATGACAATTTTTAGTTCACCACAATATATGAGGGCAACGCTCTGCCCGTGACATCAGATCTCTCTGCAGGTACCACCCCCTCCCAAGCCCCTAAATCCTCCCTTGGTTCCTGAACTGCTACAGCACCCCTGACTACGAGAGCACATGGGTTTGTCATTCACACATACTCTCATGCAAAGGAGATGTCAAAAGAAGGGACACTGGAGAAACAAAGCTAACAATGTGCAGCAAAAGGGCCTATGCCAAGGAAGAGAGTGGCCCTGACCTGTTCGAGGTACTTGTCGCAGTTGATGTACTCCCGCTCGTGAGGGTCCTGCAGCTTGTGCGTCTTGATGTACTGCCAGAGGGCTGCAATGATCACCGGTCGCGTCTGCGTGTGGATCCCCAGCAGACGTGCCAGACGCGGGTCCAGCTTGAACTGGAGCGGCTGTTGGGGGAGGAGAGATCGTTGGCTACTCTCTTCCTCACAAGCAAACGGCTCAGGCCGTCAAACGACACTGCACCCAAGTAGGAAACGACACCACCTGTCAACGACAAACAATCCACAGGGTCGAATGCGTGATTATCTCGTCGGTACGCCACATGTTCTTTGGTGTCCTTTCTAGAACTACCCGGCAGTACCGTTTACTCTTCCCCACATTGCTACATCCAGCACGCCCGACTGCGCAGATTACTCGCTACCGAGAGATGGTCCCTATCTCGTTTGTTCTGTCGAGGGTTGCACCATCCGATCTAGAAAAAATGCATGTTGGGGAAGCAAAAGGGGCACAAGCCTCACAAATTTTAAAACAAAAAACACGCGAAGCCGGGAAAAAAAAAAAAGTCTCGTGGTTTCCTTAAAACTGAAGGGCCAGAGACTGATAGCCGGGAGGGAAGACTGTGGCACGTAGGGGTAGGCAGATGGGCTACTCGCCTGGTAGTCGAGGAGTAGCAGGATGGTACAGCGCACATTCTTGTCGCCAGGCCGTTTCACCTGGAAGCCGTCAGTCTCCGTCGTGGTCGGCGTTCGGTGCCACTGTGAAGGTCAATATCTTTGTTGGCACAGTTGGCTCCGAGTAATGAAGGTAGTAATAATTATTTAAAAAATAAAGGACTAGCATTTCGCAGCAGAGGCCCACAAAAGCATCACAATGCGATTAGAAGTAGGAAAAACAACCAACTAGCCCAAACACTGTTAACCAGGAATGACCAGCAAAGCAGGCTTCGTCCTCCCATGACCCTGAAGCTGGAGCTTAGAGAGAGAGGGGGCCAGTCACCTCGACCAGGTGGTTGTCTGGCCCGTACAGGTCCTTGTCCAGCTCAATGACCAGGCTCTTGAAGAAGGAGGAGAACTTGCGCTTGACCTTGCTCTGGTCCGCCTTGGGCGCATTTGGCTGCAGAGGAGAGACCCAGGTCAGGGCTGGCCACACAGACCAGCACCACTCACGTCGTCCAGCAGGCGTCCCTCCACCCTGAGCTCCCAAGATGGCACCGTGGCCTCCTCGCCCGTCTCCCCCTCGGGCTTGCCCGGGTAGAAGGTGTTCGAGATGAAGATGCGCAGCTTCCGTTTTTGCTGCAACAAACAAAGGCAATGCAGGCTTTGGGAATGCTGCTTTGCATGGATTCACAGTAGCCTGTAACATCACACAATCATACTGTTTGTTTTGTGTCTTGCTTAAAGGGCAACTACACTTCATTTTTGATTTTGAAAAAACTATGCAGTCCTTTTCAACATCAGCTAGGAAGACCACCCGTCATATATGACGACCTACTGTAGAATACCGAGCAAGCGCCCACACAAAACATGGAGATAATTGTGAAAATTGGGGAATGGGCGCTTGTTAGGTTATACATTTTACCTATATATGTGCTGTGCATATTTTTTCAGATGGTGCAAAATTTGGGGGTGGGCATTTAGTATGGAACAAACGGATGCTCGGTACCTTACGGCAGTTCTGTGTAAACATTTCTTAAACAGTCCGGCAAACTTTGGAATGCGCCAAGTTGCTGAAATCGGTGTACTCTAGCGGGCGAATTAATTGAGGCGCAACCAACAGCGCAGCCAAAGCTACGACGAGAAGGTAGCAAGCACTGAGTTAATTGTCGTCACCACTGCCCCGTTTTGTTTGTTTTTACTTCTCCGGGCAAGTGTAACGGGCGATGTCAACAAAGTTTCCTCTCGGTGTCTATGTGATTGGCGTAACGCGCCTGTGGGTTTCCTGGGAGCCGTCCGGCCATCCCGCCAATACCGCCGTCTCCCACACCACAACCACCGTCGTCGTATCATCATTTGCGATTACAGTCTCTCTGAGCTTCGCTCACACTACATGTGCAGGCTGATGTCGCAGTTGTGCACACGTGGTCCAATGTCGTAGATGCCAACACGTGAAAAGTGCGGTGCAGACGACAGTTGCACCTGGCACACGCCCGCCCCAACACTGCTACCGGCTCGCCCCAATCTCTCCCGTCAACGCGTCGAAAATAACGTGACAGCCACGTTTTTGGCGGCCAAAGGCCAATGTTGGCAGACGGAGCCTAAGTTTCGGTTTCGATTTCTGCTCCTGTTAAAAGTAAGATTTAACACTATATATCCCACTTTTTGCGATGCATATGATGTAGTGCCTTTTATAAGTGCTTTTAATGTAAAATCACACATTATTCTGAAATTTTTGGAATTGAGCGGAGTTGCTTTTTAATTAAGGTAGGTTTTCGAGCCTGGTTTTCGAGCGGCAAGTCCGTCTTTTCTTTAATAGCAGGCCGTTTGCCGGTCTGTATCTAAAACTGGCCATCATTTGCCGGTTTTTTCAACTATCCAAGCACATTTTTTTCTTCTTTTAGGGTGGGGTAGGTATAAATATATTCTAGACCATCAACACAAAAAGCGATTGCCAACAAATTTTTTTGTTTTATGAAAATTTTGTTTGCACACGAAAATTTGTTGAGGACTCCCAAGTTGAAAGGGTAGGTGAGCAAGCCTGCATGAGAAACGACTGCATTATTCAAAATCTCTAAGCGGCTGCAACAGCAAGGGGGCAACTGAAAGAGAAATGAGAGAAAGCAGAAAGCCAATGCCTGCACATTATGCAGGAAACACGCGTCTACTACGCAGGACTGCCGTGCCCTCCCGTTAGCTGTCGCGGGGGGATACGGTTTCACGGCTTTTAACAATTGTCGGCATCCCGACAGGCACGTGTGGTGCTATCGCCCGTCCTCCTCACTTTTCCACTTGTTTTCTTTGAAGTCACCGACGTCCACATGATGTTTAAAAAAAATGTGTTTGCTTCATTGCTTTCAGGCTCCGTCGATTTATTTTTCGTTATCTGGCACTTTTTGGGGACAATAGGCAGAAACATGAGCCGGCTGTCTCCGGGAAAGCCCGACATCTGTAGGGAAACTGAAGCCTGCATGTGTCCCAGAGTGACAGGAGCAGTGCACAATAGCAACGGACTACCGAGTCCTTGAGTGCTTACTCATCCCTGCTGCACAGGCTGAGCAGAAGTGTGGAATTCGATTTTGGCACTTTACTTTTGAATAAATGGTATATATCTATGCATGTTATTGAGTTCAGTGTTGCGCACTCATGTACTTACATGTCCTATTGTAATATAATATTTATGTTCATTGATTTCACTTTGGGAAGCTCGTGTCAAAATAAATTGAAGTTATACATTAAAGACTATTGCTTTTCTTTATCCCAATTCAATCCCACATTCCCCACCCTTCCCTTGCATGGCCTGTTTTTTTTCTTCGAGGGAAAAGTGGCAACCCTAACTTAAAGGGATGCTGAACCATAATCTGGATTCTACAAAACGGGCGGCAAAAACGTGCAACCGGATGCTAAAAACACCAAAACATCACTCATACAGTGATATCTCAAACGGATGACCGTATTTTTTAAAAAAAAAGGAGGCACATTTGACAGAAATGTTTATATCATGTTTTTCCGAGAAGGAGAAAGAACGGCCTTGCGTCTTTTCTGCCTCGCCACCTGGAGCGGGCAAAGCGAAGTGAGGAGGAAACGAAATATCTTGGCGTCACACGCCTCGTTGGCCTGGTTCAATATTGATTTCTTTTTTTAAAAATACGGCCGTCCATTAGAGATATCGCCTTACGAGTAGTGTTGTAAGGATTGTAGCATCCCGCCTACATCTCTTGCATTTTTTTTTTATTTTTTTAAATCCAAATTTTGATTTACTTATTCTTTAAAAGGGGACACTACTCATTGATATGGATGAGTGCGGTATCAGAGTATGTTCATTTTAATTGCTACAGCATGATGCACAATGAAGAATTCAGGTTTCCAGCCAGTCATACAGCAGGGCCGAAATTTCTTACGCATACAAATTGAATGAGCGCTGTCGTATCTTAAAAGCAGGCCGCCCTCTCTGCCACCTACATGCTCAACACCCAATTCACTTCTGCTTTGCTCCAAACATTGTTTGTCATCAATGCGGAAACAAGCTCAGTATTTGTGCGTTTTGCTCCTAGCACGACCCCGAGAACCGGAACACCCCTGGTAACCAAGACAGCTTGGGTAAAGAGAGGCACCTTCATGGGTCTCTTGAGGGCCTCCTGGATGTCCAGCCGCTTGCGCATGATGGTGAAGTCCAGCTTGCGCTCAAAGGCCAGCAGGTCCATGTACGCCTGCGACTCGGGCACCAGGTCACGCACCCGCTGGGGCAGGATCTTGTCCGCCAGCTTCTTCTTCTTCTTGGGCGCCGCCCCCGACGGGGCTCCGGGGGAGGGGCCTATGGACGAAGCCCCGCCCACCGAGGAAGCTCCACCCCCCACCTGGGCCTGGGAGGAAGGTGTGGGGGGGACGCCACCTGCTCCTCCCATCCTGCACCCCAAGATGAACGAGCGTCAGAAGGAGCCCACCTACTATTTGTGGTGTCCCACTATACGTGACGCAGCTATGGTCACAGACAGGATGAAAAGGGAGTAGCTTCGGTTGTCCCGCCCCCTACCTACTATTGGACGTTCTGTGAGCCTCAAGCATGCAGGCGCAGCCACAGCATGGCCAAAGGCAACGAGGCTGTGCTGGAGGCGTTCCAAAGAGACACCATTCTCAGCTTCTCAGTGACCATAGCCTGAACGTACGAGTGGCTTCCTGCCCATCTGACAATTGCAAGCACTGGAAAGCCCCCTTTACCACATTTTTTGCTATTACAACTTAAGAAGCTTTGACGCAACATAGATTGTATAAGCGAGTGTTTCAAGGATCCCTGTACGCTTGCCTCCAGCCCTAAAGAAATGTACAGTCGGCAGTAAAAGTTTGCGGGACACGAAAGCGCCAGACGAAATTTATTTATTTATTTACAGATACTGCAGGCAGCATAGCTGCCCATGCAGGAGAGGGTCACAACAATTGTGGCACTAGCAGACGCTCAAATGATTCAAGATTTGTACTTTCAATAAGCAATGATGGCAAGCAGTTCCACTGCTCAATTGTTTGGAAAAAAGGATTTTTGAAAAAGTTTAGTTCTGGCAAAATATGAGCGTATTACTTTAGAGTGGTTTAGTCTTGTTGATCTGTGCACTGCGCCTTCTGACGCGCTCAGCCGCTCTTGAGGCTTCTGTTTGAGAATGTGTTTTTTTTCGTGCTCGCAGGTGTGCCTTTCTTATTCGCTTTCGTCCGACGCGCACGAAATAACAAGGACTGGTGCAAGGTGCCAAAGAATGACATGAAGAGCACGAGAGCTCCGTCACCCGTGGTTGAGAGGGACGTACAGCATGATGGCTGACAAGGCGGCATCTTGCCCCGGACCCGGCTATCTCATGCGTGCCCAACGAAAGCAAGTAAAAAAGATGTGACCGCGAGCACGAAAGGACGTGCATGCGTAGAGCATGGTACTTGAGAGTCGGAAGGTGCAGCGGCGCATTTCAACCGGCGCTCCCATGTCCTGCAAACTTTTGCAGCCGACTGTCTGCCCCGTTAATCCACGGTGCACGACGAACGGCAATGCCCTCACCCTTTGCTGGAGGGCCTGGCATCGCCCGGGGAGGGTCGTTTGCGTCCCTCCATGGGTCCAGTGGGAGGTCCTTGGAGGCGGGGTCCGTAGGGGGACCCGGGAGGGGGCATGCCCATGCGGGAGTGCAGGGACCCTGGAGGAGGGGCCTGAACCGGAGAGGCCCCGCCCACTGCCCCACCCCCATAGCCCGAAGGTCGAACACCCTGCGAGCAAACGGCAATTCATTACACCTAGCGGAAAAAGTATGCACGCAGCAGTACCGCACACCGACAGTTATGGTTGCCGTCTCTGACTGGTTTGTATCCTCAAAAGTGGTGCCTCAACATCCGCCCAATGATATTGTGGAGGTGTCATGCTGTTGCCCACCAAAATGCTGGCTGTAGCACAGCAGTGGAGACGTCTGTTCTGCTGCAGCGAATGCAGCAGTGAGACAGTTTATATTTAATAAATACAATCGCCTAGACTCTTTATCGACCCTGTACGAGCAGGCCGGTTTGCATAGACCAGGGGTGGAACTCACGAAATGTACTAGGGAGCAGCCGCGGGAGCAGCTAAAACAGCTGTTTTGAAGCAGGTTGGGAGCAGCTAAAACTACATTCTGGAGCAGGCTAGGAGCAGCTCAGATTAGTTTTCATTGCACTTCAGCTTGTGTCTTAGACAAGCACGGGAGCAATTTCAACTTTGCTTAGCAGCACAGATGAACATGAGTGGTTAGGAACCTAGGTAGACAGATCACAGTGTAACGGAGAAGAAAACTTGAAACTTTGTGAGCCTTAATGAGAACCAAAAAGCAAGTATATATTTCTGAAGATGGTGTCCTTGATATTTTCCGAGTGGTTTTTAGCTGCTCAAAATGTAAACCAACACTGCTTATCGCACAACCCAGACGTGCTCGACATAGTAATTATAAGTGCGAACCACGCGACGAGCGTAAGCAACGGACTTGCAGTTGCACGGAGGAACAGGGCAAAAAATTTCAGTTTATCCTATTGTGCAAATCAATATCAAAGCAGCAGATTACGATTAACGAAGTTGTCGTGTTAAAGCGATAAGCAGGAGCAAGGTTAAAGTACGCCGAGCAGAATTACCGCTCGCGTGGAAGCTGCTGGCCGGCAAGGTTTCAGATCGGACCGCATTTGAGTTCTATCAAGTCGTGATTTATCTTGCGGGAATGTGGTTCCAACTTCTAACGATGAAGTACTACAAGGAATATTTTGCCCATGTGTTTTTAACTAGCTGACGTCCGGATCCCTTGATGCAGAGCCTCAGGCAATGTGACGCTTAACGACTCAGTCTCACCTTGGCCGACTTGCCTAACAGCTTATGGTTGAAGAATAACAATCCAGTCGCAGGTGGTATAGCACTTGGAATCCAAACCTCGAGTTTTTTGGCGCGCTTCCGACCCGATTGCAAGGCCGATCAAGCTTAACGCGCTCATTGTTGCCAATCGAGTCGATAGAAACTGAAACCAAGGCAAGATTCAATTTTTTTGGCACACGTCTTGCGATTTGGTGCATAAAGACACGAGGTATTGGCTGTGGCGCAGTTTCCGCAACATGGCGCAGGATGGCGCAGCCAAATACGTCTGGCACAGATGGCGCAGCCGTTCCACCCCTGAAATTTCTGTACGAGCAGACGTCCAGCAAAGCCTAATGTCGTCAAAACAAGAAATTACACTGTGGGTGCCTATAGTATCTATTTCAATAAAAAAATAAAAAAAAAAACCTTGCCAGCAAAAAAGAAAACAATATCCATTTTCCTGCTGATAAGTTTTTTCTCACTGAAATCTATGCACAATTATCTTCTGAACATAATGTCCTATTCTCAAAATTTTGCATTCTATACCAACCACCAGTGTCACGTTCTCACAGAGTTTGAGCTTTCTGCGATGTATAGTTTACTTGCCCGTTCCAAAAAACACGGCTGTCGTTTGTTGCAAACTCCCTGTATTTGCCAACGTGATCACCGGCTTTCCAGCTTCCCCAGCATCACTCATCATTTGTTTTGTCCACTCGCTCGCTCGCTTGTTGCGCTTCAAAAATTTTTATATTTTCTCGTCAACTTTATTTTTTTATTTTTTTTTACTAACGAAGAGAACACAGCAATGTTAGAAACATGCTTTCACGGAACAAACGTTCGTGCCGTATGCTGATCAGTAACGTTCATCACGCGAATGCAAGCAACGGACTTTGCGATATTAAAACATTCTTTCATGAGCATTTCTTTAACACGATGAAACTAATTCGAGTTCTGAGTTTAATGTATTTCTCGTTCAGCCCCACTAGATACATAAAAAAAAAAGTGGTTTTTTTTTTAGCTTTTTTTAAACTTTTCGTGCTTACCTACCGAGACGTGGCCCACCCCACTTTTTTATGAATTTCAGGTGGCAGGGGGTTGGGCGATGACTCGGGATATTACAGTAGTCCAAATCACACCGGTCAAAAACACGTTCCAGGCATTGTTGCTTTGGTGCGTGGTCAATGTCCCTAGGCTCGTCAAAGTCTCAGAACATTATTTTTCTGTCACGGTGCCCCTCACAGCCGTGGTTGCTTCTATGCGCGAGTCCCAGTGGCTGCTTTCAGCGCATACCTGGTAGCCCTGTCCGGGATAAGGCCTGGACGCTGGAGGCACGGCATGTGGAGGCATCGAAGAGCGATCGGGCGGAGGCCTCATGACACTGGGCGCTCCAGGGCTTTGCGGGTGAGGGGGCATAGGCGGCCCGGCCCCCCCTCCCGACCCCATCGGCCCTGAAGGCATGGGTCCCGCCGACATGGGTCCAGAGGACATGGACCCTCCAGACATTGGTCCTGATGGCATAGGACCTCCGGACATCGGTCCCGACGGCATTGGTCCCGCTGACATGGGGCCACCACTCATAGGCCCCGCAGCCATCGGCACCGATGACATCGGTCCCGATGCCATAGGCCCAGACATGGGCGCCGACGACATAGGTCCCGAAGGCATGGGGCCCGAGGGCATTGGACCCGACGTCATGGGTGGCGGCGGGGTGCCAACGTGCGACGGTGGTGGAGGTGTGGGGTAACCGCGGTTCATGGTGCCAATAGTCGTGCGCTAGCAGTCTTCCCCGTGGCGCCTGCGAGAGCATGCGAAGAGCGCGGAATCACTAGGCGTGCGAAGCCCCCGGCAAATGCGTCACTGCAAAAGCAAGAATTCGCGAGGAACACAACGCGAAGGCGCCGCTTGACAGTTCCAACTTTTAGCTCCCGAGTAGCCGAACAATAATTGCGGCAAGATACATCTGTATATACACAGGAGCTGCTCGGCGAAGAACCTCAGTCTTAAGTTTATTGTTTGAAGTCGCGAGATGCGTAGTGTTGTTTACGTCCTGACGCCGGCATTTGGTCAAAGTGGCTGCGAGTAAGCCTAACAACTTTATCCTCAGAAGAACAAAGCCGTCCGTGTTCTGTGTAACTGATCGAAACGCGTCCATGCTAAACAGGGACCTTACTGTGGATATGAGGGGATACGTCGATACGTCGGTAGATAAGAGTGCGCAGCGGAAACAAAATTTAAAAAGAAATACCAACAGACTCACTTCTTCCGATCACGGTACGCTCATGATCCGGATTCTGTTACGGATCGGATTGGCTCGCGTATATTTTCGAACGACCCAGGGTCCCAGTGTGTGCAACTGACAAAAGAACATTTGTAGTCAACGTTGGGCCGTGGAGGAGGCGGGGGGCGGTGTTTAATTTTGTTTTGCCCGATCCCCCCAAAGGTCTTCCGGGAAAGTACTCTACCCGCCCGGTGATAGTTGCAAAGAGGTAAAGAGAAAAAAAAAGAAAAAAAAAGAAGAAAAAAACAAATTTTTTAATTAATAATTTAAGGCTAGGTGGCGCAAGCTACCGCCCGATATAAAGGGAACAGCCAATATCCATCCATACATCCACCATCACCAGATGGCCTTTGTTCCATAGAGCTTTGTTGACTTGGCCACCTCGGCCATAAACCGCCAAAATTTTCCTTTATCAAAAATAAGTTTACTCTTAACAAAGGGAAATTTGGGGGGTTTACGTGTATGGTGTAGGATGCGGAGTGAAGTTTACTAACGAATCCGTGAACGGATTCAATTTAGTTTACATCCTAGCAGTGGGGTAAAAACTGCAAAACACCTCTTCTGACTTGTAAAACGAGATTGTCCAGTTTACGGTGGTTCTATGCGGAGGGCAAGTTCGTCTGCTTCTTGCGCAGGGGGTAGCGGTGACGTCAGAACGCCGAGCCCTGATTGGCTGATCGCGACCCCCTATCTGAGCGTCGTCTGCTCCTTTGCAACGTCGTCTGCTCGCAACGTCGTCTGCGTCTGTCTTACCTTTCCTGCGACTTTCAGAAGTGCAGAGGCCAGGTTCACAAAACGATCTTACGCCAAAAATGTGCGTAAGACATAACTTAAGAACAAGAACATAACAAACGAAACGAAATGTTCGTAAGTTTTGCGCAGGTTACGACGAAAACCTACGACAGCTCCGAAGCTGTCTTACGAGCTTCACCATGGCCGACAGCGTCGCGGTCGCGACGACCCACGGGCGTTTATTTTCCTACGTGCGCTTCTCACTTCAAGCAGGAAGAAAAAAGTAAAAAGTACTCGAAACAGACCACGACGAACAAGAACGCTGGATCCACAAACAGCCAGGAAAAGCTCCAACGGCCACGATTCCACCGAACGCGACCAAGCGAGCACGGCAGTTAGGCCTAGGAGGCACTCCGCGACTCGGCGACCGTCTGCCCACGACCGGCTGGTGTGCTGAATGGAATATGCCCGTGCGACCCTTGTGAACCCTTCGCTTATTATACTTTGATCGCTGACCTCAGATTAAGAGGTCAATTTCTTCCTCTTGTTATCTCCTTGTTTCCCGAGGCAACGGTGACTCGCCGGTGAGAAAGCGGTGAATCTCCGACAGACGCAGGAAAGGTAAAGCAGCCATCGCTTTGACTAGCAGACGTAAAACAGACGACGTGAACTGCGCCGACCCGCCGAATGAGGGGTCTCGCCGCACACGAAAGGAGGGAAAACGTGTTTGGGAGGGAACTTCCGGACACTAACACGCTCGGTTCTTGCAAACAAACCTCGGCGCCTCGGAACACCTCGCCAGTGAGTCCTTTGACTTCCCTCCTTGATGCGCGTCTGCTAGTTGTTAGACAAGAACAACGTACCGCTCGAGTTATTTCGTCTGCCCTCTCTTAAAGGCGAAGTCGAGTTCGCTCGTAAAGACCTGCACTTCCGAAAGTCGCAGGAAAGGTAAGTCAGACGCAGACGACGTTGCAAAGGAGCAGACGACGCTGAGATAGGGGTCGCGATCAGTCAATCGGGGCTCGGCGTTCTGACGTCACCACTACTTCCTTTTTCATTCGCAGAAGACGAAAATGAGCCCACTTGCGAGGCGTATTCGGTTGAAACTTCTGGTGGCCGCAAAACCCCGTGTAAGCGGTGACACCTTCCGTCAAAAACACCTGGAAAGTTTTACGGAAACGCAGTTCCACAGAAAAAAGTCACTAATTATCAAAAGCAAGTTTCGACGGACTCGCGGCGTGAACAAAGCTTCCTTCGCACGCCGAAGTGTTGCGTCTCTGTGCCTTCGCACGCTTGGATACCGATCAAGAATCGGCGCTGCGGCAACATTTTACAGGTGTCTCACGGAGTTCTGGATCGTTTAGCTGTTCCGGCGAGTTGCTATCAATAAAGGGAAAACAATTAACATCTATTAACCGTGGCTATGTTCAAAGTCTACTCTAATGGATCACATATGGCAGCACAAATAGAGCAATGCTGTGGAGCAAGGAAAGTTTGCGAAGGCAAAAATACAAGACGAAGAAAAAAACGCTCCGCCGCCTCCTTTTTTCTGTTCCCAATGGACACTGGATCAAGCTCGTTTCTGGACCGCGAGCGCTGCAAGTTAGAAATACAGTCGTTGGGATAAAGTAAAGCGCTGCTCCAGAGGCACATACGGCTGCAAGCACATTGCACTCGCAAAACACGTCCACACGGCGTCGATTCTTGATCGATATCCAAGCGTGTGAAGGCAGAGAGGCACAGCATTGCGGCGTGCCATGGAAGCTTTGATCATGCCGCAAGACCGGCGAAACTTGCTTTCGACGAGTTGTGGCTTTTTTTTGCGGCACTGCACTTTCGTAAACATTTCTATGTGTGTTCTCAACAGCAAGTCTCACCGCTTACACAGCGTTTTGAAAAGCTTCTTTGGCGAATAAGGACTAACGAGTAGAAAACGTGTTTTCAGTACACTGCCGCCAGCCTCTGCAATGCTAGCAATGCAAGATGCAAGGTAGCCTTCCGGTGGCTGCACTCAGAGTTTATGCGGTTACTCTAGCCGCACTCGCGCTGCAGCGACCAAGCGCGAAAGTCAAAGAGATTAGAAGGGTAGGAGGGGGCATGACGTCAGCTGTGTAGCCTCCACAAGCCAAGTTCCCTTAACGCTCGCCTTTTTCTCATTTTCCTCCTTACCCTCCTCACTTATCGGCCAGCACGTGACCTACCAGACGGAGCTGCTTGCTTCACGTCTAGCCTTCGATCTGATGAAACCTACCGGACGGAGCGCACGCAAGCCTACAATCCTACTACAATCAACCATTCATCTCGCACGTGACATGTCACGCGCACCATTTGCCAGAGAGATCTGGGGTCCACGTTGGGCACAACATCGTCTAAACTTTTTCTGACTAGGCTTCCCACATATTGCAACGTGCCCCCTCCCAGTACTTAAAACCTCCTTGGGGAAAGTGCAGTTGGAAGTGGCATGCTTGACTGGTAGAATAGACCCCTTTCGAAAGTAACGTGCTCATTGCTAAAAAGTTGGAAGCACTGCACCATGGCGGAACAAACGACATCACAGATTTTGAAATTCTAAAATTACATATGCTAGAAATGTCATTTGTGGAGCTTTTAGAGTTCCAACATTAGCGGCATCTTTTGTTTCCGCCATTGTGCAGGGATTCCACAGTTTCCAACAGGGGGCACACCTTCGAAAGGGATCTATACCCTAGCCGTTGGCCCAGGGGGCAGATCCAGTACAGCTCCCCACAGCCAAAAAGGGAGGGGAAGAGGAGGTGACAACATCGATCAACCATTTCAGTGATGTTGATGCTTAGGTTCCCAGGACTTTCCCCTTGGATTCACCAGTGCATAAACACCCTTGCTATATAGGGAGTGTGCAATACCTAAAGGGTGTGCACTGATCCAGCCGGAGTCGCACCACGGTGCCACTGTCTTGTCGCACGCCTCCCATTATCACTCCGCAGCCAATCACATTGCGGCGTAACTCATGAGCGCTGAAGACCGATTCAGGCAGCGAGAAGCGTGAGCATAAGCCACACCCTTTGTCAGTGAGAACGGCAGGGTTTATCATGTTCATGCTTCTTCGATGTTCATTCGATGTTCATCGTTCTTCGATGTTCATAACGAGTGATGCCGCAATCCAAATGGCTGCGAAGTGATATTAGGAGGGGTGCGACAACACCCCGGTGCCACTCCCAGCAGACTCATTTGGTGGGCACATCGGCTGGATCGGTCTGCCCCCTTTAGGTGTCGCACGCTCCTTATCCATTACAAAAGCAATTTTTACCAACAAGGGAGTTTGGTAAAAAAATTTTCCAGAAATAATAAAAAAAAAAAGGAATGAATTCAATGGTAGATTTAAGGCAAGCTTTTTACAGTTCTCTCAAAAGAGTGTTGAGCCTTACTTCATTGAGCTTCATTCCAGCGAACTTTTCTCCAGCAAGCCGACTTGCCAGAAAAATGTTTGCCTTCTTCTGGAATATATATCACGAGATTTCATATAACGACATACCACCAAGTAAGCCTCGTTTAAAATGAGTGATCACCCCTGCAAGTGGAAAACAGCAAAGCCCTTTGCTCATCAACCAACTAATTTCCATATAGGTTGGTTAGGTGACTAAACCCATTGAACTGACACTCCTTCCCTTTCAACACACAGGAGGCCTGGGCACTTTGTTGAATTGCCCGTCGCCTTGATGACGGCTAATTGAACCAAGTGCCCAAGCCTTCCGTGAGTTGAGAGTGAAGGAGTGGAGCTGGAGAAGCGGAAATCTGACAGGCTTATAAATATGCTATGGACAAGGCGTGGATGTTCTCCTTTAAAGATGTAATTGCAATCACGCAGGATCAGAAATGTCAACCTGGTCAAAACCTCCATTTATTCCAGTCAGAATGTTACATAAAAAACAAGATCCATCACACGTTACATTGATTGCAAGATGCTACACAATACTTTTTTGTGCGACTTGTAGTACACAACAATTGCAAAAGAATGCCATATGTTACAGTGCACGACTTCCCAGCAGCTTCCACGTAAAGGAACTTTATCCAACTCGAAAGAACTTTCAATAGTTGGATCTACTAGTTTTTACAATCAGCCAGTCATCCAAGTTCTAGTGATAAACCGACAAAATTCCCCACCATACAATTATGCTATCACTGTAGGTGGCACTGTTGGCTGTGCTCAAACTGCAGGCACTTTATCCATGTGCTGGAAACACAATAACCACTATCTACGAGGAGAGGTCAATAAAAGCACTTCACCAAACATTCTTCTATTTTTTATACGGCCTTACACACGTCTCGAGGTCAAAAGAAGTATTAGGTTTAATTGAGGCTGCTAACCAAGCACAATGGCCACGACCCGTCACCCCCAATTCACATTTGCATGTCACAAGAATGCTGAGCTATGCACCTCTCGCATGGCAAAAGGTGTAGAAAATTTCTTGCATTTGGTCTGCCTCCAGCACGAGATTGTTGGCTTTTATGGTGCACCCATTGTATGACAGACATTGACACATGCTGTAGGAATTCCCTCGCTGCTACCCATCTCGGAGAATGACACAAAGCACTGGTTCAACAACACGTGGACATTTATTGACCGTTATCACCCGCGCCTTGATCCCAAGAGGCCCCAAGCATACGCCTCGACGGCCTTTAATCAGCAGCAGAGCGCCGCTCACGTGACCAGTTGGAGCCCCTCGCGGTGGGAAGGACATTTTGGCATGCAGGCCACCCGGTCCAATGCTTTGGATCCCCAGGTTGCCCACAACGCATACGGTAAACACATCATTAAGACGGCAAATTTGTGCTGGGGACTACTCAAATGCAACAGGTAGCTGTAATTTATGTCCTCTCAGTGACCGTTGGCAATGTTAGGCACTCGATGCTTGAATAATAAAAGTCTCGAAGTCGGTTCAGGAAGAGTTGACAATAGCAGCATATTATTCAAACAAGCTAGTATAATCAAGTCAAAGGTATACACACTTGTACACAACTTCCCATGTTTGAAACAAACTGTATAAAGCTTTACTGAGCAATAAAAAAAAAAGATGAATATATTTTATCACAGTTTAGTTAAAAGGAACTCTGTTCTTCTGCAATATTGTATGTGCACTACTCGAGAGCTGCCAATACAAATGCTGAAATCAGTTTATTTTTGGTCATCAGAAAAGAAAAAAAAAAAAATATTTTCAGCGATGTAGAAAAACAAAGCCATTAAATCCTCTTTCGAGGGAGAGAGAGATGCAATCCAAAGTGAAGGTAAAACACTTCATAAGCCAAACGACCTTCAAGTTGTCCACACTACAGGAACTATGCCATCACAAGGGAATGGTTTGGAACATGACTACTTCTTGTAGAAGTGTAAAACAAACAAATAATTACAGGAGAGGAGCAATCGACAATGGTCTCATAAAATGAAGTTCTTTGGGCAATAGATAAAGCATTCCATACTCTTAAAATGGTTGTGTATGATAACAAAGTGCAATGTCAAGTCCGATTGTAAAGCTATATCATTTGGAGCATACGCAACCAACTGCAGCGGAGCAGTCCACACAAAAATCAAGGCCATGTGGCAAAATGGTGGCACGAGCCTTCGTAGAGCTATAAATGTAGCATGAAATTCAACTATTGCCACAAACTTCAAAGCTAGCAAGGACAATATAGTAGGGATGGTGTCAATGGCACTTTTATCAATTCGCAAGCTGTCGTATGGAATCATTATCTGGGAAAATTGCAGCCCTTTCGAGTTTAGGTTCATTTTAGATAAAACACAAGATGTAGCCTACACGGTGATTCCAGACAGTAGTATTGACGAAGTGACTGAATAATTTAAGAACTAGATACCACAGAAACCCAAGACCCATCTTAGATTTCCAAGCACCGTGACCATTCTCCTAAAATTCAGCCTCCCATCTCCAGAAGGAACAAAGTTCAAAACTTCTTGCCTCCTCTTGCCATATTGCCCATGCATTGTCTAAGAAACCAGAATTGTTTGTATCAAACTTAAAGCGAATTATATACACCTCCAGTTGTCACTCAGAGAGAAAAAAACAGACAAGCCTATTTATGACATCTTTTTTTACTTTTAAGCACCATTGTAATTAAGAAAAAGAAAGGCTGCTAACCAAAAATACATGTTTAAATAACTAGTCACGTGTGAATAGTGGATTTTGAGTTCAAAGCGAATTCGAAGTGAAGAGTGGTTTTGGCTGTATATTCTCAGATCGAATATCAAATAGTTTCTTCACCAGCCTTTCACTACCATGCACCATGCCTAGACGGAAATTCAGCGGAACTTGTAAAAGGGTGTTCCCAACATTCCACTTGTACACTTCTAAGCTCAGGTAATTTTAATATAGCAATATTTTTGAATTGTGGCACATAGGAGACAAAATTCTTGCAGCTATTCTAATGGAAGGGATTTATAAATCTGCCTGCTATACAAAAATATTCTTTCTTCAATTAGAAATTTCACAAAAAAAAAAAGCACGAATGATGAGCATGGGTTGTCAGGACATAGCTGCCTAACATACTCTTGCATAATCGCAGCGGATTAGACATGTTGAGCACATCCCTCGTCGAGCATCTTTGCACTGCGGAGAAGCATGTACCCGCGAGCTCTGCGCGTATTGCTTCGCCGCAGTGCACATGTGATTGGTGAGAAGCACACTCAACAAGGCCAGCTTGCCACGATCAACACTGCAAAAAGTATGAATATTGCACTTCATGTCGGAGCGAATATCGAAAAGCATATTACTCGAAAATTATAATATTCACACAACCCTACCTAAACCTTAGCTTCATGAACATGAAATAGCGACACATGGTTTTGCTTCCGGTTCCTCCATAACACACATACCAGGAATGGAACGGGGAAGCAAACCTTGCAAGTGTAGAAACACAAAAATACTGAGAGTATAACAATGCCATGTTCCAAAGGGTCCCGTTCTAGTCATGAGCCAGGACTGTAAGAATGTACACTCTACCATGGTAAAAATTTGAGCATTGTCATCCAATGCAGTGGTAATCATTGACATTAATGTATTTATTTTTTTTTAACAATTGTCTCAATAAAGAGCAATAAAAGACAATGCTAGGTAGCAGGGGAGGATGTCATATATGTACCGTAAAATACCAGGAAGCATCCATCCAACTTTCACTGAAAACTGGATTAATTTAGACAATGGCCGCTCGTCCGGCCAAATCGGGCGCTTAACATATAATTTCCACAATTCCCAAGTTTGGGAGATGTTAGCAGTTGGTGCTTCAACAAAGGGGGTGCTTCTGCAGTATTTTACTGTAGTTCACTCAAAATGATTTGCTCTCTTCAGCTGAAAGTAGGAGACTTGCCAATTATAATTTATTAAATTAAAACTCAAACAGTCACTTTTGCTCTTTTCAGCTGAAAGTAGGAGACTTGCCAATTATAATTTATTAGATTAAAACTCAAACCGTCACTTCTGAAATAAATAAAGACAGATGGCTTTCATATTACTAGCTGGTATGTGAACACGTGGAGTAAAACTTTGTAACACTGTTGGCCTCGAATGCAGAACCCAGATTGTGGCACTAGTGGAAGTTCAACAAACAGTTTACGAGAAAAAATGTGGTAGGATTGAGTTAACCTGAGTGGGGCAAGACTGATAAATGATATACCAATTGTTACTCACCAGTGCAAAAATCCAGCTCAATATTACAAAAAGAAATGCTTTCAATTAGCATAAAACTTTTGTACAGCTTCAAAACACAATAAAAAAATGTGGATGCTTCAGCCCACCAATAAGGTTTTGTAAATAATTATAACAAACATCTTCAACCAAACTACAACATTAAAGAAAAAACTAAACAATAAAGAAAAGCCATGGCCTGTTAATAAAACAAAGACTGAAAAATGGCTGAAACCAAGAATTCAAAAATAAAATAAAAACTTGATTTCAAATATTGCAGGCAGATTATAGTACTGCATAATAGGGTAATAGCACGACTACATTTTTCACGCTCACCACGAATTACGACCTTTAGCTTCACTTGGACTGCAGTTTAATGTGTGGGAATTAAAACACTCAAATAAAAGCCATAACACAAATTCACCTTTAAACTAAAAATCTAGAATTATACTTAAGGAATTTAGAAAACAGTCATCACTAGGAGGAAGTCGGATCAATGTCAAACTCGTGCATTGAACTACAGAAAGCAGACATTGTGAAAAAGATTGGACACTTTAGAAAACTTTCCAGCTCATACCGCTCCAGAAATATAAAAGTCCCGTAGAAAAGTTTCTGTATTGTCTCAGTGTCAAATTCTATCAAAACAATTCACCCAGTGTGCATCTACAAACTAGTGAAACGATTGAATTCATGATTGTCCCAAGTATGTAAACAAAGGACAAGCAGACGTCAAGGTTACCAAACTGCCGGAACTACACCTTTCGGGAAATAACAAAGTATATGTAGCGATTCTGAGCGATTAGAGTTCGGTCTTCAAATCATCCAGGCAACGCTCCACTGCGCGCTTGGAAGACGACGCACTCTTGCGAAGTTTGGCCGCCCATGGCCAGCACTCTCAGCTTGCAGCCAGTAACGAATAGCGTGCCAGCCACAAAACCACAAGTAATGTGCTTCCCTCAAATTCTTTCGGAACACCCTTGCGCGTCCACTTATTGGTAAACTCACGCGACCCGACTAGCATGTCCCTATTTCTTCATCGCTCTAAACTCTTACATAAACCTTAATCACAAGGACCTTTCACAGGCCTTAGTTACAGGTGCACCACTCATTGGCGAACTCGTGCAACCGGACTAACTTGTCTCTATTTTTTTCATTGTCACAAATTCTTTCGTGGACCTTAATTACAAGTGCCTTTTATCGACCTTAGTTACAAGTGCTACACAGGTTACACAGAGTGTGAATTTGTCAATCCAGCTCCAACGTCAGAACTGCAAAATTTCAACAGGGACAAACTGGAACAGTTCAAAGTCAAAGCGAGCGGTTCTCAACATCATGTCACCACTCCGTACAACTCTCGACTTCATGGCCCAGACAAAAGACGTCTAAAGTGACAGAGAACACCAACATCACAAAAAATCTCTCGCACGCCGAGGCTCGTAATAGCCAGACTTTTGCAATTGGAAAGGCAAGAGACGAGAGTGGCAACTACGACGTTGGTTCATGCAACCCGACACCAAGGCTGCAAAGGTCGGATTGCCAGAGGCAGTCCACCACGTTTGTTTGCATTTGTGCGTCGTGATTCTCGGCCACCGCTGTGGAGAAGCGCTGGATTTGTTTCTGCGGACAACTGTGGAGCGACCCGAGTCGACGGACGAGCGAGGAAGACGCGGCGCGGACCTTGGTCGACTAGACGCGGTTCGCCAGGAGGGTTGCTTGTCACTCGAGGTCATCTGGAGGCACGAAGGAGCTTCTGCTCCTGTTCCACTTTCGCTCTGCACGTTGTCCGCAGCTCTTCGATGTGAGCGCGCTTCAAGCGCTTGGGTTCCCGGAAGATTGCCTGCACATTGAAGACAGTTCGGGGCACTATATAATGTGCAATGCCAAAAATTTAGTACCACGCTGTGTGGTACGAACATCTCGTTGGCATTGGGCATGTGAACTCCAAACCAAATAACCAAATTTGAAGTTTGTGTTTATGCAGCATAAAGTCTGTCTGCCACTGAGGTGCGGCGACACTGGTTCAAGCTGTAGATGGGAAACTTAGCCAGTGCAGTACGACTGCATGATGCACAGTCTTTACCATCCATCATGTATCATACATGACCACATGCCAGTATGGTACTCATTCAGGTCGAAATGGGCGAGGGTGGGGATTGGACCCAGGATCCCTGGGTTCTGTAGTGCAAGCTTTATCTCCACGTGCTTCGAGCTGCAGTGCGCTGATGCACTCGACCACCGAACTCCATGCTCCAGACTGCGCGCTTAGATAGACAGGAGTGTCACCAGAGACAGACACTCGAGTCTGCTCTATGTGCTTTTCTTTTTTCTTTTTCTTAGAGCACAAGTAACTTTATTGTGCTCCATGATGCGATTTTCATTTCCACTGTTTTGTACAGCTTTGGCTTGGTTCAATTCGAGTGGCTGCATGGCTCTCCCAAAATAAAATCTCAAAAAAGGAAAGGCAGACGGTGCAGTGACCAATGGAATGGTGCAACAGTGCAGGCGATCATCGCTACGAGTAGCTGCACTTGTAGTTTGAAACTTAAACTGTGGGATAGGGAGAAGGAGCAGACTTAACATGTTCCTTAATATTTTATCCTATTGGTACTAAAAGTGGATCCAAACCATACCTGTTGCAACAATGGCAAGCTTCAAATGAGATAGGACATGATGATAAACAATGCTCAAAACGACAGGACACCAGAACGAACACAGAACACACACGCTGACTCGCAACTGAAATATACCAAAGAAAGAGGAAAAAGAGGAACCAGGTAGCAAAATAAACTGAAGTAAAAGTAAAAAAAAAAAGAGATGGCCAGAAAAATGTAGTACAAGGTACGTGAAATTTAACTGGTGATTCAGAAACGGAATGTAAAAGTGTAAGCCCCTTTTCGAAAGTGCTACAGATGACTGGCTGACACTGTAGCACTATAAAAAAAAAACTCATATTTTTACTTTCTACGAGGGGTGATCAACAAGCCCTACCTCCTAACTTTTTTATTCAGTGATGGAAATGAAAGTCTTGGAATCTCCTCTTTCCCAGCAGCACACAACTTTTCAATATACACCACACCGGCGGCGATGCACTTCTGCTACCGGTGTGCTACTGGTTTAGGGCGGCTGTTTACGCACCATTGACGTGATGGAGGAGCTGCGGTTCCTAGGTGTTCTGCCTCATACATCTTACAGCCCGGAGCTTGCCCCATCAGACTTTTGGCTGTTTTCCAAGATGAAGGAACGTCCGAAACGTACATGGCTTACGTCCAACGACGAGGTTGCCGATACAGTACACCTTTGGTGCCGTCAACAGCCGCCCTCAATCATCTACGGAGGCATGCGGAGAGCAGTGCAACGGAAGTGGAAGTGCAATGCCGCCGGTGAGCATTATATCGAAAAGTCACGTGCTCTTGAGAAAGAGGAGATCCCAAACTTTCATTTGATTCTAACATCTTTCAATTCCATCACTGAATAATAAGTTACAGCTTAGGAGGCAAAATTTATTGATCACCCCTCGTACCGCGGAAGGTTGGAGGGAAATTTTGGAGGATGTTTCCGAACTACCAATTAAAATTCATGTGCTTTGTCTTATGTTTTTCTTGCCTTTTACTCGCTTATTTTGCTGCCTGGTTCCACTTCTTTCTCTTTATTATATTCCAGTTTTGAGTCAGCAGATGTGTGTTTTGTGTTGGGGGGACCGGTGGCCGGGTGGGCTAGCGCACACCAGCTCGAAGCACGTGGAGCGAAAGCTCGCGCTGCAGAACCCAGGGGTCCTGGGTTCAATCCCCACCCCTGCTTGTTTCGATCTGGATGAGCACCGTACTATACTCCGCGACAACTTTTCTTGGCAATACAGTGAAAGGTACAGGCCCGCGTCCCCTCTCCCATTTTGAGTGTGCGCGGGCTCTCCTCCTCTCCCCGGAAATGGAAGAGAAAGAGAGCCTGCGTACACTCAAAATGGGAGAGGGGACGTGGGCCTGCACCTTCCACTGTATTGCCAAGAAAAGTTGTCGCGGAGTATAGTGTGCGGTTGTGTATCACTACTGCATGATGCACGCTAAAGACACCAGGCTAGCAGTCAATCTCTCCGACTAAATTTCTCATCTACAGTGGATAATCTATAAGAATGTCGCCATACTCTGGTAGAATAAACTCCTGCTGTATAAACAACAACTGACGGCCAATTTGTTTGTTTTGTTCCGTTTCATTCCTTGTGTCGCATCCTTTTGAGCACTGTTCACCATCATGTTCCATGAATATCCACTAGCCCAATTTACAACCTTGCTGAGGAAGGACATGGTTCAAAAATTAAAACAAGGATCATATTATTCAAATTTAACCAATTAAAAAAATATATACAGAGAGAGATCAATGTTTTTGGAAGTAGAGCTACAAATCTGAGCGTCGCGGAGGTGTCATCATTGACAGTTCGAGAGCTTTGCATTTCGTTAGACCTTCGTCAGATTGTTGAGGAATTATCAAAACGAGCTAACTCACACACAGTGGTATCAGAAGGGGGGGCGCAGTGCTTAGGGGTTGCAGCTGGGCAGTGAAAGAGAAGGGGGGGGGAGGTGCCACTGACCCTAGTGATGCCACTGCTTACACATCTAATTTTAAAAAGTGTAAAATAAAAGCAAAGTTCTAAACACATACTATTTTAGCACATAAATTAATTTGTGCCAGGACGCTTTACATCTGCAATTTAGATTGCACATTTATTTGTCCAATTTATCCCATATCACCGCATCATGCTTGCAAAGGAACAAAAGGCCTTTTTCTCTACAGAATTTTGTGAAACCCCAGAGGTGTGAACAGTGGATGCCACTTGCCAGCATGAAGGCGTGGCAGTCCGTGACCACGCTGCCAGACACCATGTCTTTGAAGACGGCCGTGATCTCTGCGAAGCCCGGGGCATCCAGTATCTGCTGCTGGTTCTTGGCCACGAGGGTCAGGGCCACCCGGAAGAGCACCTTAGAGCCCTCCGAAAACAAGCAGTCCCAGATGCGAAGCACCGTCTGCCATGGAAGAAGGCAGCCCACTTCGCACACTGCCCAACCCCTCAAACAGCAGAGGTTCCATTTCAAACATACCAATTAGCTGTTGCTGATGATGATTAGGGGAATGATGGAACAAAAGCTACAATGGTCATACTGCGCCAAACAAGGGTATTCATTGCGTCTAACATTACAGGAAGTTAGCAGTCAAAGTAGCATCTTAAAGTCGTGAGATAAAGCTTGGACAAAAGTAGTCAAAAAGGTGCACGACAAAAGCCTAAAAATGGTAGCCTGTTTTTGACAAGAAGTTATAGACATGATCAAACAGAACAATGGGATGCTCAACCAAAAAAAACGCACAATGAAACGGAATATGGTGTGCATAAAAGTCTGGAAAGATGGTGCGCTGGTTCTGCTCGAGGCCAGGACAGAGCCACAGAATGTGAAGAACTGTCGGGGGTTCCCCACAATGTTCACACTGTGGGGCATCCTCTCCACAAAGCAGGTGCTTGTGGGTCAAGTAACTACCGTAATATCCTGAGTCAACGCCCACCCCCCCACCGCCTGTGGGGGGGCGGGCATTTCCGAGCGCATAGCATAAAAAAATATTTGAATGGCAGCTATTAAGAACAGTTCTGGTAGCGGGTTGGTTGCTCTCATGGATTTACAATAGAAGGCAGAGTCAAAAAAAAGCACATCTCATGAAAAAAAAAAAAATGTTGAGCATTTTAACAACCTAAATCACACATTCCATAAGTTTAAAACAAAACCATTTCACGATGCAATCGTACGGTATGAAATAAAGAACACTACTGACTACAGTTTTCATTATTAGAAAATAGAAATGTTCCAAGTCCCTGTTTAGCGAACAAAAGTATTCCAATACTCAACAGAGTACAAATCTGCTTTATCTGAAAAAAGCTACAAATGCAAAGTATTGAAAACTTCATACCATTTATACCATCCCTGCTCATACATATGCACTTAATTAACCTTTACACAAACAGGCATGACTGAACAAAAAAAAAGCTTGTTTAGGAGATTAATAAAAAAAAGTGAATGACAAAAATAGAGCGCAAGAGCATAAAACGAAAAAGTTTCCTCTGAAGTCAATTGCTTGGGTGCATTCTAGCACAACGGTTTAGAAGCTGTTTCGCTCAGCAGGACATTCCCACTGTTCTGCTCGTCCTCCCGCTGACTTGCTGTTTGAGTGCCAGTGCGTGTATTCGCCACATACGTAATTTACAAGAAAGTCTACAGATGATAGAGGCAACCAGTTATCCCTTTTATATGCAACGTTTAGTACACGAATGAGGAGCGCGGAAGCGGTCTGAGCAAAAACACACACTCCAAACGTGAAGATGGAGGACCAACGAAGCTGTTCTTTACGACGTCTAGGATGACCTCAAGGACGACCTCTAGGACAACCTCGAAGACAATGCCTATAGGACGCCTAGGACAACCTCAAGGACGACTTCTAGGGCAACGCCTAGGACGACCTCGAGGACGATACCTAGAGGACGACGTCTAGGATGACCTCAAGGACGACTTCTAAGACGACCTCAAAAACGACGCTTAGAGTACGGCCTCAAGGACGACATCTAGGACAACCTCAGGGACGAATTCTAGAACGACCTCAAGGAAGACGTCTAGAGAACAACGCCTAGTACAACCTCAAGGACGACCTCTAGGACAACGCCTAGAGGACGATGTCTAGGACGACGTCTAGGACGATACCTAGAGGACGACGTCTAGGATGACCTCAAGGACGACTTCTAAGACGACCTCGAGGACGACGCTTAGAGGACGGCCTCAAGGCTTCGCACACTGCCCAACCCCTCAAACAGCAGAGGTTCCATTTCAAACATACCAATTAGCTGTTGCTGATGATGATTAGGGGAATGATGGAACAAAAGCTACAATGGCCATACTGCGCCAAACAAGGGTATTCATTGCGTCTAACATTACAGGAAGTTAGCAGTCAAAGTAGCATCTTAAAGTCGTGAGATAAAGCTTGGACAAAAGTAGTCAAAAAGGTGCACGACAAAAGCCTAAAAATGGTAGCCTGTTTTTGACAAGAAGTTATAGACATGATCAAACAGAACAATGGGATGCTCAACCAAAAAAAACGCACAATGAAACGGAATATGGTGTGCATAAAAGTCTGGAAAGATGGTGCGCTGGTTCTGCTCGAGGCCAGGACAGAGCCACAGAATGTGAAGAACTGTCGGGGGTTCCCCACAATGTTCACACTGTGGGGCATCCTCTCCACAAAGCAGGTGCTTGTGGGTCAAGTAACTACCGTAATATCCTGAGTCAACGCCCACCCCCCCACCGCCTGTGGGGGGGCGGGCATTTCCGAGCGCATAGCATAAAAAAATATTTGAATGGCAGCTATTAAGAACAGTTCTGGTAGCGGGTTGGTTGCTCTCATGGATTTACAATAGAAGGCAGAGTCAAAAAAAAGCACATCTCATGAAAAAAAAAAAAATGTTGAGCATTTTAACAACCTAAATCACACATTCCATAAGTTTAAAACAAAACCATTTCACGATGCAATCGTACGGTATGAAATAAAGAACACTACTGACTACAGTTTTCATTATTAGAAAATAGAAATGTTCCAAGTCCCTGTTTAGCGAACAAAAGTATTCCAATACTCAACAGAGTACAAATCTGCTTTATCTGAAAAAAGCTACAAATGCAAAGTATTGAAAACTTCATACCATTTATACCATCCCTGCTCATACATATGCACTTAATTAACCTTTACACAAACAGGCATGACTGAACAAAAAAAAAGCTTGTTTAGGAGATTAATAAAAAAAAGTGAATGACAAAAATAGAGCGCAAGAGCATAAAACGAAAAAGTTTCCTCTGAAGTCAATTGCTTGGGTGCATTCTAGCACAACGGTTTAGAAGCTGTTTCGCTCAGCAGGACATTCCCACTGTTCTGCTCGTCCTCCCGCTGACTTGCTGTTTGAGTGCCAGTGCGTGTATTCGCCACATACGTAATTTACAAGAAAGTCTACAGATGATAGAGGCAACCAGTTATCCCTTTTATATGCAACGTTTAGTACACGAATGAGGAGCGCGGAAGCGGTCTGAGCAAAAACACACACTCCAAACGTGAAGATGGAGGACCAACGAAGCTGTTCTTTACGACGTCTAGGATGACCTCAAGGACGACCTCTAGGACAACCTCGAAGACAATGCCTATAGGACGCCTAGGACAACCTCAAGGACGACTTCTAGGGCAACGCCTAGGACGACCTCGAGGACGATACCTAGAGGACGACGTCTAGGATGACCTCAAGGACGACTTCTAAGACGACCTCAAAAACGACGCTTAGAGTACGGCCTCAAGGACGACATCTAGGACAACCTCAGGGACGAATTCTAGAACGACCTCAAGGAAGACGTCTAGAGAACAACGCCTAGTACAACCTCAAGGACGACCTCTAGGACAACGCCTAGAGGACGATGTCTAGGACGACGTCTAGGACGATACCTAGAGGACGACGTCTAGGATGACCTCAAGGACGACTTCTAAGACGACCTCGAGGACGACGCTTAGAGGACGGCCTCAAGGACGACATCTAGGACAACCTCAAGGACGAATTCTAGAACGACCTCAAGGACGATGTCTAGAGAATGACGCCTAGGACAACCTCAAGGACGACTTCTAGGACGACGCCTAGAGGACGATGTCTAGGACGACCACGAGGACGATGCCCAGAGATAATAAGAGATCAGGACCTCACTATATCTAATACTGTTAGGGAAGGCTGACTCTCAATGGTTACCTCCTCTTTTTATTTTTTTTCATACTTGCCATGACTAATGGGGAACTGGTTGCCCCCTCTTTTTATTTTTATTTATTCATACTTGCCACGACCGATGGAGAGTTTTCTGTTGACATGTAAGGATGCATTTTTCCCCAGACCCTAGCCCATAACATCTTTGCTGTAAAAGGGAGGGGGGGGGGGGGGGGGACGACACCAGAAAGCCAGGGCCCAGAGGCTCCTGCGAGTTTTGTTCCTCCTTTAGGTCGGAGCGGTTTTAACGAAAACCGACTAGCATTTCTTTTTTTAAATTTCCCGGGGTTAGCACGGGATTTCCTGGTAGCCTGGCGCCCTGGGCGGCAACCCCCTTAACCCCATACCTTAATCCGGCCCTGCTGGTCATTGAAGATACACATTTCATAAAAAAAATTTGGCTTAGCTTGATTTTTCTAGCAAGTTCTACGAAAACGCGACATTTCACTTTATTCAGATAAAATGACGGGATGGCAGGCATGAGCCTCTAAATGGGACCGTCCTGGCTCATATCGAACCTCTGGTCACCCAATGTAAAGGGCCTTCCAAGAGGTAGTCCATGCCCTCACAGATTTCTACTTGACTAATGTTCTTTCAAGCTGTACCGCTTTGCCACAAGTGGTCTTTCAAGAGATGCTACATGGTACTTGACCACAAGTGGTCTTTCACTTGAAGGCATGCTCCGATGCTCACAGTTCCTTGGGAATTGCACCCGTTAAGGATACAATCCCGAGGAGTGTGAAGAGAGCCATGCCGCACAGAAGCGTGACTGAAAAGAACTTGCTTTATCCAAAACAATGTCCTCAAGCTCTTGGATTCAATGAATGCTTGATTGTCTTAAGAGACAGCCCAGGAAATGCCCCGCCTTCCATGCTTCAATTGCACTCGAAGACCAAAAACACTTGATTTAAGTCTAGGAGTAATCAAGGAATGTGTAATCGGCGTCCTCTAGTGAACCCCATGCTTAGGAATCCAGTGATAGTAGTGAGGGCAGACCACCCTGGACAATGAACTAAGAAGGGCAGTGGGAAGGGGAAAAGCAAAGAGCACAGCCCAGGTGCCAAGGCCTCCTCACCTCGATCGGCAGGACCTCGGCAAAGAGGCAGATGAACCACTTGGTGGTCACAATGGCCCAGGACACGTCGTTCTTCCGCAAGTGAGCGTGCACCAGCGGCATCCTCTCCCTAAAGGCAGGGAACGACAATAAGCCGTATTGTTATACTGTAAAACCCTTAATGTTCGCGAGCCCTCAATTTTCACGAATTTCACGAATTGAACAATTCGCGAAATTTAAGGGCGCGCGAAAATTTCGGTCCTTAAGATTTTCAATGCAGGCGTCTGGAATTCGCGAAATTTAGTGGTCGCGATTATGTCGTCTGTGACCGATTCGCGAAAAATAGGGGCCGCGAAAATAAAGGGTTTAACAGTATATGTCACGTGGTTACACTGTTGTTGCAACACCCGGAATCAGTGTTGCCAACCCAAGAATCAAAAGCTCGCAGGAGAAATCTTGAAAAACTGCTCCGTTTCAGGTGCAGAGCAAGAATGACTTCATACCACAATTTACTGCCATAGTTTGTTTTAAAACAGTACAATAAATTAAAGAACCTTAGAAGCCCTTGATGCTTTCACCGGCTCGGTATTGTACATTCAGAAATGTATTTTCTTCAAATAAAGCTATGTTCTATGCTCTAGAAGGGAGCTTCATCATTTGGCTCAGATTGCTTCCATGTACAGAATGATCAATGATGTGCACTGCATGATCTCATTGTTACCAGGTGTTAGCTTAGCAGGTGTGTTGTCTCAGATACCTGCATATGTGCACCTCCATCGTTCCGATTTTTAGCCCAATATTTAGTGGCGTTTCGACGCTTCAGTGGTCAAATTTACATGCTTTGCCAAAATTTCTACCTTCCAATCGAGGTCTCTCACTTGTCCAAAGCAGCTTGGAACTTCCAGTAACCAGTCTCGAAGTTTAGAATCCTATAGCCCCCCACAATTTTTAGTTATTTCGAATAATTCACCGAGCCCACTTCATCTGGCTGGCTTGGAAAACGAGTCATATATTCACGCACAACTCAGTCGAAATAATGTTTCAATCTTTCCCACTGTAATATCTCAATGGTGTCTCCAGCGTAATTCTCCCTGAACACTTTTGCTCAGAGTAAGCAAAGGTCAGGGCCGTACAACTCCAACTTACCTGACAACCAGACAAAGTAAGCTATTTAGGATTGATAAACGTAAACTCGAGAACCTTATAGACTGATAAAAAAACGCCATTGTGATTTGAAACCTGCTAAAAATCCTGCCACCCACAAAGTGGCTATTTTTTCCGCTGGACAACACAGAGAACCGCAAAATTAAGCGGGAAAAAGCGTTACATTGGCAACGCTGCTCTGAACGCATTTCAGCCTGGCGTGTTCGAAGTAGCACAATGTAACGCTGCCAATGGAATAAATCAGTCCCATTTTGAGATAAGGGCAACAGAAGCAGCTTGACTGTTGGCATGCTAGTCTTTCTTACTATGCAGCAAGGACTACATAAAACCGACACAAAGAGGAAGGAATCTGCAAGCAAGCAGGTTGGCCCTTCTGCACCTTGCATCCGTGAGCAACCAAAGAGACGCTTCTCCCCCTTTTCCCCATTAGGGACAATGAGGGCAAGACGCACAAGAAGACAAAGGAGTACCTGCCTCACAAGCTCGGAGAGCACCTCGATGTCCGTGAGGAGGCCGATCATGTCCCGGGTGTAGTAGTCCGGAAGCAGGTGCTTCACCAACACCCGTAGCAGCCAGAATGTCGCCTCTTCGTCCTCCGTCGTCAGCAGCAGAAGGCCCGCTATGAAGTTGAGGCCCTGGATGCCAGAGAACCCCCGACAAAGCGCCGAGACCAATAACTACTGGAACACATTCTGGTGCAGCAGTTCTCTTCTGCCGAAACACTGCGCTATGGAAGAGTAATTGCAGGCGATGCACCGAAAAATTCGATAAATAAAGCCTCACAAAGTGCTTGTGTGAAGACTTTGATGGCATGATTTTTTAGACAGAGACCAAGGACCCAGCATATTTTTCCTGGGTGATAAGCACTAGAGAGGTGTATAGTCGGCGGCCAAGAAAGAAGCCGTCGCATGAGGCTCACCAGCATAAAAAAAGAAAAAGAAAATTTTTGCTTCCTCTGACCGTTTTTTTAGGCTTTCCTATCTCTCTCGTTTTTTGTGCTCTTCCCCGCCCAAAAGTCTAGAGATTAATTCCCACAGAAAGAAATATTTGCTTTTTAAAGCATCCACTCAAAAACTGTTTTTTTTTTTTTATTTTTTTTATTACATTTCAGTGGTGATGTCTTGGACAGTGAAAGTTGCATCACACGTTAACGAGGCTTAGCGCAAGTTCTTAACTCCAGCTGCCGATTTTTGCTAGTAATTAGGGGGCATGCAAATATTCGACACTTTGAATATTCAAAAACACTGTAACTGCTTGATTCTATTTGCAGCACACTCTTACTACCTCCTGTATACGAGTTTTTCTAATACGTTAAAATGATAGCCAATGTTTTTGAAATTCCCCGATTTCTTGTGTCAAGCTTCACTGCTTTGCACTGGTGCGCGTGGAGAAGCTGACATGGCGGAACCAGAGCCGTATATTGGGAAGTTTGGCCAGTGGGTGTGGCTAGAAGGTGCCGGAGAGGAGAAAAAGGGAAGGGAGGAGAGCGCCGAAGGAGCGAGAGGGCAAAAAAGGGAGCAGAGAGGAAACGACCGCCTTTTTAACGCAACGCTGTCGGCGCCTAGCATTGTTGAGGCCACACGTCATCTGCTACGGGCTTATTTCTTTTTCGCCTGAATCAAAGTTTGCGTTCAAACATGGAGGAACTTCATTCGTTAGCTTCCTAAGCCGCCGAGGAATAACACTATCATTTTCTTGCCAGAGCCTGCCAAATAAAAGGAAAGAACCGAAATTTGGATGTCGATCCCATGCGTTCTGCCGGGCGAATGAATGAAAATGGCGGCCCTTTCCGCGCAGCTGGGAGCAGCCGGGAGTTGGGAGCAGCCGGGAGTTCACGCGCATGCGCTCACGCCTCTCTCTACGCCGCAGGCTCACTCCGGAGGGGGGCGTTACGGCGGCGAGATCATAGACTGGCCAAACTCTCCTCATATACGGCTCTGGGCAGAACATCCTGCTCCACCAGGTCAGCTTCTTCCAGAATTTTGCTCACTGCTGCAGGTCGACCTTCTCCAGTTACAATTATAGGTTGGCCCCTAATTTAAAAAAAAAAGTCAGAAAATAAGTGCTAAGCTGTTTTCAAATGAAAAAAAGTAACAATTTCTTTGCTTTCCACAAGTTGATTTATATTTTATGCAACACACCTCATCAGGAACTTTTTCTAATTGAACACAAGTAGGTGAAACTGTGCTCACACAATAAAACTGTTCCCTTTTATGGGTTGGCTCAAAAGGCGTTCGGGCTAGGGCTATTAAGGGTACATATGCACCGGGGGAAAACATTTTTTATTATTATTTACGATAACGGAATGAAATTATTGCAGTTTATAGTGCTTGATCTCTCTTTTATAGATCTGATGTTAGTTTTCATACAGCTTGTTTTTTGTTATATTCTGGATACTATGCGCTTTAAAAATATACATGTTCTTGCGCACATGTGGCATGGCAACACGCTTAAGAAAACCTAGTGAAATAAACTTTGTTTCTTTTAAACCACCGAGTGCAAGAAACAACAAAAATATAATGTATAAGGCATATTTTATGGTAAAATAATCTAAAACCGCAAAAATGCCACATTTAAAGGGCTAACAAAAGTTTCCTAAATTTTTCATAAACATAAAAAATATACATTCTAATCAAGCTTTGATAGCTGCATTTTTAATATTCTAAAGCATATGTATGTCAAATTTGGTTGTGATAAGACAGTATTAAGAACAATTATTATCGTACACAAGCTGTGAAGATGCCCGAAAATTACGTAAAGAGATAAACATGTTCGAATGTTACCATAGATGTGTAGCGACACTCTTTGGCAGAGAAAAATAACTTTTTTGCAAGTCATCTTTTTTTGTGAAAAATTAAGCTACAAAAGACTGCGATGGAGAGGAGATGACCGAGTCTACTTGTGAACATAAATATGATGGCGGGCGATGTCACAATTTGAAGAATCACGCGCACAAGAATGGCTTAAATTTAGGCCATTCTAGGTTGCCGGAAGTTCTTCAAACGAGTATTTCATTAATTTTGCGATAATAACCGGTCCTTATTATTTTTAAAGATAAAAATTTATGATCGTGAGATGAAACACAGAAGAGCACTCTCAGGCAGAGGAGCTGAGGGATGAGGAGCGGACCTGGCAGTACCCAACGCCTTGGTCCAAGTGGGCGTGTGCCACCAGCACGTTGAAGAGGGGCACCTGCTTGCCGTCCGTCCCGTTGTGGAAGTAGATGTTGTCCGGGAACGTACGGGGTACGTCTGCGCCACCCAGGACAAAGATCGGCCATATCAAGTGCCGGACACCCAAAATTTAATAGCTACTGCCCTAACCCATCAAACAGGGGGACCAGTGCTTATCTACCCGCCAACTGAGCAAACAGCCAGTTATACCGTGCACTGGCCGTTAAAATTGTAATTGTGGTGTGTATATGTTTACACGATGGGAACTTAGTAAGCCCCAATGGACGTCCGGTGTCTCCGCTGTAGATAAGGAATTCAGCCACTCCGCTGCCACTGGTAGCCCGAGGTCTTGCATCACTCGGTAGTGATACACGATTGCACACCGGTACGATGCTCGTCCAGATCGAAACGGGTGGAAATTGAACCCAGGACCCGTCTGCGAACCCAGAATCCCAGTATTCTGCAGCGCAAGCTTGCACTCCACGTGCTCAGAGCTGCAGCACGTGAACACAGCCGGCCTCAGATACGCCCTCAAAGTCAACAACTGTTGCCGTCCCAACACACTCCCAAGCAGCTGGCGCTTTGGGACGTTGTGGAACGTCTGAAGGAAACGAGACGAGGGGGTGTGTGGAAAGAATAAATGAACGAGGGACGACTCGAGTCGCACTTCCGTAATGAAAGATGTTCCGCTCCGTTGTCTGCTTTATTTAATCTTTCAGTTCATCCACCCGTGCACGAGTTAGTTTTCTCATAAAACTGCACTCTTGACAAAGAGAGACACTCCCGTTTGTGAGTTTCGGACAAGTTGTAACTACATCTGGAATGCCGCCTGCCACGGATAAGCTCCATCTTGGTAGATTTTCAGACACACAATGGAGGGGGTTGGACAGATCTATTCTTGAACTGGGCAGTGTCGAGGCAGAGCTATCATTTGTTAGAGACGCGTTACGAGTACCCTCGCGGCAGATAGTGACATAGCACACAGACGCGAGCTGCCAGTCAAACCTTTGGGACTCTGAGTGGACAGAGCTGAACGGCTACTTAACTGATACATCTATTGTTTCTTTTCAAGCTCAACTCCGGCACCACAAATGCATGCAGCAGCCAGGCTCATTTAATGCTATCAGCACTCTCCAAACTCTCGTTTGGTACATGTAAGAAAACTGAAGACGGATAGATGGATACACCAACAATTTTGTGACCAATCAAACATTGAACAATTATAATCAAACTATGTAAGGCTATCAACCTCAAGCTTTGAATATATGCAGCTATCAACATGTGTATATAACTCACCAGATCCACAGCCGTAGCAGCCCAAAAACTATACCACGTGTGGAAAAGTTGTTCTACATACACAGTTCAGTGCTCTATAGTAGCATTTGACTGTCAGCACCGCTAGAACTAGAACACTTGCAGTCAGTCAGATAGAGCCACTTCTTCCGACAGACATGGCGAGAAGCCAGATTTACCTCTTTTTCTAATAGAATAGAAAGTAAGCAGTGCGCTAAAGATTCCGCTAAAACATGAAAACAAAAATAACAAATGGAAAGTATGAAACCATTTGACTAAGACCTTTTGATTTTCTGAGTCTCAGATTTTTCTAGAATTTCTGGATTCACACTATTTAGGCACACACAAACATTACTGCCACAACGATCAAATTAGTTTTGCCTTTCGTCAACCTTGGGAACTTTATGGGAAGTTCCACCCACCATATCGGTTTTGCTCAAGTAGCAAATTTTATCCTACTCTATCCGAGACCAAGAAGCTCCGTCCCCACAGATACTATGCCAGTGACCTCCAAATAGGCACGGTAGTAACCGGACTCACCAATCTGGATGGTCTCCACAAGATCCTCCTGGAGCGTCGATTGAAGCAGAGACTTGTACTGGCTCTGATTTTGAGCCTGCAGTGCCGCCGCCCCACTGAGCACCATCCACACCTGAGAGAGGCCAAATCGGAACTGCACTCCTGCCCCTTCGTAGGTTCGCCTCTTCCCTCAGCAAACGGTAACAATGAATCTAATACAACGTCTAAGGAGCAAGGATTTCCTCAGACACAAAAGGTTTTCCCACCAATTAAATGTGCATTTGCAACACCATCTGAAAACGTTTAACTCTATGCTTCAAACTACAACATTGAACAGCACCAAATGAAATTGACAGATGAGCAAGACGACTCGAAGGCAAATACTGCGGATTATAAAGGGATTCACTCACCTGTTTCCTGTGGCCCTGTGGAATGCCTTTCCTCACATAGCGTTTCACTAGAACAGGAAGGGAACTTTAGAAAGAGCAAAATCCAATCTGTGTCTTTTCATCCGCAACACAGCCCAAAACTGTTTCGTCCCTATTCGGCCGTAGAAGAAAAAAGAAGTATGCCGCAATGTTGAGTTAAATTGTGCAGTAACATGTCATAGCCCCACAAATTTACAAAAGCGGGCGCATCCCAGCCAGGACTTGGGACACTTATATTGGTGCATTGCCTCGCCAGAAAACACCTTCAAGCTCTCTTTCTGGGGGTCACCACCTTTCTTTACTGCAACTTTTCTGGCAGCACGCACCCTACCCGGTAATTACCGGAAGCGCTCCACAGAGGGCAAAAAATGAAAGTGCCGAGGTTGGTAACGTTACCTGTAGCGCACCGGACACCGAAGTGGTTCCGATCGACTTTGAGAGACAACAAAGTCTGGACTCACGCTGCCTGCTCCTCTTGATGGGCCTCGGTCGGCGCAGCAGGTGCTCCCACTTCTTGAGCCTCTTGGCCAGAACCGTGTGGTAGTTCTCCTGGAACTCGTCGTAGCTTGCATAGTCAAAGTCCTCCGGCCACTCAAACCCGTACGGGCCAACACTGGACGAAGAACAAACATTGTCACACGCTTGCTCCTCATTTGTGCTCCTTTGGAGAGTTGCGAGGCAGCAACAAATTAAGTAGGGCAGTGCAACAAAGGAATCTGGTTCACATTAGAACACCGAGAGAACCAAACAGTATAACTACACAAATGTGAAATCAATTTTCAAGCTCAAATTAAATGCAACTAATATGAGACACATTTAGAAATAAGAATCTTATGCAGTGTTGCCTACATTAATTTATATTTTGATGGTAAAAAAGCATTTGTTATATTGTCAGTGATGGAAGCAGCACTTGACCTTTTATGTTCCGTAGCAGGCAAAATATTGGTTTTGAGCACATGCCAACATCTGTTTGCACACTCCTTGAAAAGAAAAAATGCGATTGCATATTTGAATGAGCTCATTTATGATAGTGATCAAGGGTTTTTCTTTGATGCTCGAGCATATTACTTATTACCGTTTGTGACAAGAATAGATAGGGCGTAAAAGAAAGTCTCCTTAAAGAGGTACTCCACCGATTTTTTGAGCTACCCCAACTAACTATATTTTCTGACTCCCCGGCCTTTAGCCTTTCCGGTATGCTATTTAGCATCGTGAAATTCATAATAGGTATTGTGAAATCGGCAAATGAAAATGGTGCAAAAACCAATATTCAAATATTCGCGCACTTTTCAGTGCCGTGACGTCAGTGGCAGGCAGGCTTGTCAGTCGAGCAAGTAGTCTAAAAATAGAATATGCCAATCACTTGTTCCATGCTGGAGCGCGGATATGGGAGCGAGCTTCCCAAACATTCATTTGACACCATGAAACTGCTTCAAATCAGTTTAAAACAAAATCTACAGTCCAAAGAGTGAACCCCTGCCTTCCACTGACGTCACTTTTTCATTGTTGCCAGTAGAGACTTCGAGCTTAAAAAACACGGTGAGGACCAAAACTGTAAATTCAATAACTTCGCGAAAAAACAATATTTTGACCTAATATCTGGGATACTATTTTCCCGAAAATTATTTTCTATTTTTGGGATACTATTTTCGCAAAAATAGTATCCCAAATATTAGGTCAAAATATTGTTTTTTGGCGAAGTTATCGAATTTACAGTTTTGGTCCTCACCGTGTTTTTCAAGCTCGAAGTCTCTACTGGCAACAATGAAAAAGTGACATCAGTGGAAGGCAGGGGTTCACTCTTTGGGCTGTAGATTTTGTTTTAAACTGATTTGAAGCAGTTTCTTGGTGTCAAATGAGTGCTTTGGAAGCTCGTTCCCGTATCCGCGCTCCAGCACGGAACAAATGATTGGCATATTCTATTTTTTGACTGCTTGCTCGACTGGCAAGCCTGACTGCCACTGACGTCACGGCACTGAGAAGTGCGCATATATTTGAATGTTGTTTTTTGCATCATTTTCATTTGCCGATTTCACAATACCTATTATGAATTTCGCGGTTCTAAATAGCATACCGGAGAGAGCAAAGGCCGGGGAGTCAGAAAATATAGTTAGTTGAGGTAGCTCAAAAAATCGGTGGAGTAACCCTTTAAATAAGGCTCAGTCAGAGTAGGTTTCATTTACAATTTGGATATTAAAAAAATGGTTGAAAACTGAATCAACTTCAATACGTCTGTTCGCCGACGACTGTGTAATTTATAGACCTATCAATTCAAACCACGATAATCAAATTCTGCAGAATGACCTTGCACTTATAACTCAGTGGTGCCACAAATGGCAAATGACTTTAAACTTTAATAAATGTAAATCTCTATCACTCACCCGCAGTTCACATGTTTCATCCTTTTCTTATCACCTTTCCTCTATCCCAGTAGCTACCTGTTCCTCATATAAATACCTAGGCGTTCACCTGACCTCTGATCTGCCATGGACTACTCACATAAATGCTGTCACTGCCGATGCTAACCGTACTCTCGGATTTCTTCGCCGTAACATCAGACTAGCTACACCTTCAGTAAAACTACTAGCTTATACGACCTTGGTCAGATCTAAACTTGAATTTGCTTCATCCATATGGTCACCATGGCAATCATATCTAACTAACAACCTTGAATCTGTTCAAAACAGAGGTCTTCGTTTTATTTACTCTGACTACTCCCCATACACTAGCATATCAGGATTACGCAAATCAGCTAACCTTGACTTACTTTTTTTACGTCGAAGGGTGTCATGTCTCACTCTTCTTCACAAAATCTTTTACCACAACAACCATCTAAAAGATTCTCTACTATCACCTCCCTACCGTATTTTCCCTCGTTTTGACCACTCATGTAAACTGCACTCAATTACTTCGTCATCTGTCTCTTATAAAATGTCGACTTTACCATCTGCTATTGACGATTGGAACTCATTACCTGACCTCATTGTAAACATGACTGACACTAACAAGTTTGCTGCAGCCGTTAACCTCTTTCTTTCTGAAATACATGTATAGGTTACAGCGTGTTTTTTATTAACTACTTTTGTTGATGTTTTTATTGCGTTCACTCCCTTGTATAATGCCCCCTGGGGCCCTCAAGGAAAATAAATGATGATGATGATGATGATAGCGCCGCACTTCATTGGGATAAATCTCTCCTCTCTCCATTTCACACTCGGTTTAGTTTGCTTAGCCTGTAAATATAATTTATGTAAAATGGCAGCAAGAACCAACATATCCGTTAATGTGTCTACCAATAAATATTTGTCCCGCAAGTTTAATGAACCTACCAAAGTTGAGACTACTGTAATAAACTGCAAAAACAACCACCCTAAAATATGATAAAAGCCCACACTTGCGCTTTAAAGGCGACACTGATCTTTAGCGGCGTAGGAACCAGAGTTAACGTCAAAGTTTGCTGCTTTTTTGATCGACAGTTGCACGGGAACTACTGTGACTACTGTATTTATTCAAATATACGTAGACCCATGTTTTCTTCTCTCTCGTTCTCTGCTCAGTATATTTTTTTGTGCTAAGCCAGGCGCTCCTGTAGGTCAGTCGCTGCTCCTAGCGCTCTGGTGCAAAAGCGGTGAAGCTCAACGTGCACACGCTGGTGAGAGATGGTGAAGGGTGACGCAAGCGGCGCAAGTGCCACAATATTCTGCAGCCACAGGGCATGTGGCAGACATGATAATCGAGCAATCTTATCAGAAGTACATGACCCTAGTTCTGTTTTATCACAGTAGCTGCAATCAGCAATCTTGCTATTTCGTAAAGTTTTCTCAGGACTCTTGGTTCTTGGTATCGTCCGGAAATTTAGACGATGTCAGCGATCAACCAGCCAGCGCATCGACCGGCCAGAGCGGTTGACACCCAGCATCAACGGCTCTGACCGGTTCATTCGCATCATAAAAGCGCGACATCATGGCATTCGTCATCTCCTTGTATGCGTTTTTTTCATCGGCCAAACCAATCAAGCTTTGCAGCGAATATACAATGGCTTGCGCTTTTAGCATGTATGTGTTCGAGCCTTCGACTGTGCTCTGAGACTAAGACGAAACAAATTATACGCCGAGTAGAGACGCTGTGAAATTAGTATTTGTCCACTTTCCTTTTCCTTCTACTTCTCCGAATATTAAGGTCGACCAATAATAAAATATTAATTTTTTTGCTTTTAAGCCCACCTCAGTGCAGGTGTGGCATAATTCTTAGCAAAAATGGCATTTTGGCGCAAGACGTAGCAGACTTTTCGTTCATGGAGCAATTTGGCGCAAATGGCACAGCACTTCAACTACCGTATCGTGGCATAAGTTTTTTTGATACTCTTTTCATTGGAGTCTGCCAAAAGCCACGAGCCCGGAACTTCGCCATCCATCGTGAAAACAGTTTTTGCTAGTGACATGTTTCGTAACCATTTTGCAAAAGTAATTATTTCATAGCTACAGGGACAGATGTTGCAAGATCATCATAAGATGTAAGTCGGTGCTCTGAAAACGTTTTCCTTCACTTCGTCTGCCAAATCGTCTGTGGCCAGATACAGCGTGCTGCCCAGCAATACATCATACATACTCCTTACTTCACTGATTCTTAGCCTAAAAATTCTGCAAGTTTTTTTTTATTGTCTTCACAGGAAACAAACAGCACAGGGACAAGGACGGGTAGAAGATGAAAGACAAATACGGCGCAGTCGTGTTTGTCTTCCGTCTTCTACTCCGTCGTCCAACGTCAGACCATAGGAACTATGGTCCGACGTTTGTCATATTCAAAAGCCTTATGAGAGACGAGACTTGGCAGTGGGTGGGCCATTTTTTTTACTTAAAAGGGATTATGTCAATGCATAAACCTTAAATGGAATCCCATTCTCAAAAATGGTGTGACTTATAGATGAGGAAAACAGAAAAGTATGACTCGAAAGTGAATACTTTTAAGGGACTTATACACGAGTGCTACTTTCTTGATGCACCTCGTAAATAGGCTGCTGACTTCAAGGTGCCAAATGAAAAAAATATAAACGGCCACCAGTCATAGACCTATGAATTCAAAACTGAAGAAAATTGGAAGTTTAATACTTTAGCTTCAAATTATCTGTAGAAGCCCGCCTTGAGCTATGCACCAAAACATCAACATTACTACTTTCATGGACGTTCTTGGAAGAGAAAGTGAGCAAACTATGATACGATATAAAAGTGTGCTTTCTCTAGTAAATAAAACCTCCTTGTCTCATCGCCTAATCTGGCTCTTACTCCATACAAAAAATAACTTTCACCAATAACTGGTAGCAATGGGATCCAGCAGGAGACACTGAAGTACTATTAATACTAAAAACAAATAAACCTCAAAAGCTCCTTTTCGGTAAGTATTGTAATAGAGTTGTATGAGGAAAACCATAGCTCCAATTTTTTCTTTCTCAGCCTGTATGAAGAAGTTAATTATTTGTAAAAGTGATGAATAATATCTGAAGCACCAGCAAAGGTTTCATAGTTAAAGCTCCAGGGACTTCTCTCGCATTTTGGATTAAGTGGTAAGTTCAGATTACTGATGAAAAGATCTGACCTGCATATTTATGTTGTATAATATATTCCCCCTGCAAAAGTCCACAAACCAACAATAAAAAAAAAAAAAAAAACTTTTTTTTTTTTTTTTTTTTTTTTTTTAAGTATTAACGAGATGGGGAAGCTTAGAGACAAACTGGCACTTTAGTCAGTCACATATGTAAGTTGTTTACATGACGTCAGGCTTTGAAGGTCATCACAGATGTCCACTAGCTATTTTTCAAAAGAAGGCACATGTGTTATACTCTTGCAACTAAATGAGTATCTGGGATTCTTGGAAGCTCAATGCCAAATCGTGCACAAAGTATCGAAAAACAAGCTTTTCTTGAGTAGCTCGTGACTATTCTAGGAGATAAAATAGGGCCGAGGAAAAACCAGGTGGCAAAATGATAGAAGCGCCTGTTACGACAAGCACTTGTGCGACAGGCTCGTAAAAAGGCAAGCTGCGGACTTTATAATTAGGGATCTTGAGATTTCGATGTTTACAAGCCTGGAGTTTTTGAGAATACATTCACAATTGTTTCTCTGGATATTAACAATCTAGTTCTTCCCGGTACTTCTCCCAACAAAACGGCGTGAAGGAATATTGCTGCGTAAAAGATTGAAACCACTTGACTTAGTAGAAAAAATTGGTAATTGTGAATGCAAAAAAGAAAACAGTGAGCGAGTGAACCAAGTACATTGTTGCAAGAAGGACAAAGAAGCTAGAAACTATTCACAGCATTTTCTCCTTTTTCTAGGCACCTCAATCAAGACTCAAACTTATTGAATGCCAAAGTGACAGAGAAAAAAATGGTAATGCGAGTTATGTAGACCACAAGTAAGAAGTGTTTGTGGAATGGTAACCAACACATTTTCTTGTAACCGACTTGGCCAGACTGTCGCAAGTTAAGTTTCCGCGCCCCGAAAGACCTGGAAAATTGCGAAAGCCCAGCTGCAACAGCTATGCATGAAGTGCTCAAAAGCGCAACAAGGTTAGAAACAATAGCTACAAAAGAAATGAGTTGCATTCCGGGCGCTAACAAAAGGCCCATGCAACAGGTTTCTGGCAATTGAGCAGCGTTCAGTGTATCAGAAAAGACGTGCCTCGAAAACATGGGCTGCTGCAACAAAGGGGACAGAAACAAAGTGAGGCCGATAGGCAGCCAGGTGACACGGTCATCTGCAAACCAGCCCAGACAGATTGCATGAGCCAGGAAGTAGTTCATGGTCAGCTCCGTCGGAATACTTGTCCTCGAGCCAGGGCATAGCCCCTACTTCCTGGTGGTTAAGTTTCTTCTAATCAGCAGTCACACACCAAATCAGCTCCAATAGGAGAAAACAATGTTTTTTCTTTTAGATTTTTTTTTTTTTTTGGAAAAAGGGGGGGGGGGGGGGGGGGGGGGGGGGGGGGGGGCAAAAAGTAAGCGTATGATTCAAACATATAAAAAAAAAAATCATTTTTATTAACTGTTTTTTCGTGTAGGCGTCATGGAATGAAATGTTCGGTTTCCACTCCACTTCACCCCCCCCCCCCCCCCCCCCCCCTCCCCCCCCGGGCATGCCTCCTGGAACTTTAAACCGAACTGCGCTGCGTACGCTGTACACGGATTTACGTAATTGATTAATCCAATAAAGTTGCGTACCATCTTTCTTATCTTGACTTTTTTTTTTTTTTTCGACGTTGTAAACAGAGTAGATTTTTGGTTATTTATGTTCAGCTTTTTGTAGGGTGAAATCAGGCATGTGGTGTGTTATGATCAAATAAATCGATAAATGCCGCAGTCGACCACCCTGACCTAGAACAACCGGCGGAAAGAGGTTCGCTGAATAGCGATCGCTTGTATCCGAAAGCGTATCTACCCCCCTCGGCTAATGAACTTGAAAGAGCCTTTATAACGCCCCCCAGGTGAGGCGCTCCCGGTTGAAGTGAATCTGCGCTCGCAGACTACAGGACACCGTTCAGAAGTGACGCCTTAACGCGCACCCTTGAAGCACTTTCAAAACGGACCTCACGACTTGGTCAGCGTCGAAATCCGTTCTCGGTTACCGTAACCTCGCGGTGCTGGGTCGGTGTGCTGATGAAGCGAGCTTACCGTGCACGACCGTTTTGTTGCGCCATGAAGCCAGCTCCATGTGGGTGAAAAGTCTCTCCGGGTTACGGTGGACAGGCCATGCGACTGTGCTTGAACCTCTCGAACCACGTTCACTCCGAGCCGAGTCTGGCCGAGTCAGGAAAAACAAGTCACCGACCGTCCGCCCACCGTCGCGAAAAACCGAAACAAACAATACGCTGCGTTGGCTGCGCTCGTTCGGGCTGGATTAGTACAGGTGGAGCCAAAAGAGCTTTGGGTTAATGGCTCCGATATGCGTTAGGTAGCGCAAGCTGCCGCCCTATTAATATTGTATAGCTAACTATGTATATCCACATAGTTTCGAGTTTCTGCCGCTCCGCTATAAAGCAGTTTCGATTTCAATTCGATAAGAGCGGTGCGCGGTACTACGCATACTGACACATGATTCCAGCCGGAGACGACGGACGACAAAGAGCGACTCTTGCCCCTTTGTCGTCCGTCGTCTCCGGCTACAATCATGTGTAACGCCCGCCTGTTTATTAACCTTATCTGCATTCCGACGTTCACAAAGCTGGGTGTAAGTTATAACCCTTATTGGTATAACTTGCTTCATTTAGATAAATACGTACCCCCCCCCCCCCCCCCTCCCCCACACACACACACACCTTTTTTAATTTTTTTTTTAATTCAGCAGTTTTTTGTTTGTTTTTTTCACGTTTCCTTATTGGTTTAACCCGGGAGGGTAAGGCAACTGTGTGAGCGGGCATTACGCCCATACCAGGGGGTCCACAGTGCCTCTATGGCAGAAAAAGAAAACTAGTAAATAACTAGAACCGGTACTAGGTAAAGGGGTAAGTTCCGTGGGAGAACACAAATTGAGTTCGATGCTCCGCAGGCGAACTGTGACGCTCTTCATAAATGTTCGTAATGAGGCACTGTCGACTGGTGGTGAACTGGTGATTGGTGCGGGGAGTGACCACCTCGAGCTTGTTTTTTTGTGGTGCCGCTCGGATCTCCCCGAGCCGAAATAAATATCAAAAACCTTACTGCTGGCAGCACGAGCAGCCACCTCCTCATAGAACCAGCAATGCAATGAAGTTTTTGCAGTTAGATATTAAAATAACATTAATATTTTAAATCTTCCTTAAGATGACTTGATTCCTCGGTTCGGGTTGAATAAAATTTATTATTGAGTCTTGTAAAATTTACTCTGCAGACGTAGCGAATGTAGTCACCCATGCCAAAATTATCTAGCGCGGTTTTTCTTGTTGTTTTCCCAAAATCGAAAGGCTGTTAGGGCAAGCTCCTCCCACCTCTTTCCACTTGAGCAGAGCGAACACTGGATAGGAGGCAACATACACGGCTCTGGGAGGCGACCTCCTCTCCAGCGTTTCTCTGCTAAAGTGGAAACAGAGGGAAGTGCTCGTTTGGGACACCAACTTAACCACACGAGAAAGCACAGATGCCCTGTTCGCGCCAAAAGTGCCGCGCAGCGTGCATATAATTCGCTACAGTACTTCCAATATGCACTGGCTGGACCGATTTTTATAAATGGAAACGTCTATACTCGCAGACAACTTTCTGTGGCATTTCAGAAGTGAAGAGTGCGCGTACACAGCTCTGATCGGCGCCCAAGGTGCTCGAGCACCCGTGCGCCCATAGTTTGGACTGCGTAGCCACAGAAAGTTGTCCGTGAGTAAATAATTCTAAAGAACAAGGTAGCACAATTTTATCACCAAGCTTTCAACCTTAGGAAACCATGTCTAGCAGCTCCACGAATAACGCCCAACGTAAACATGGCCCTGAAAAGTGACACTCCCATGCCTCTGCCAAGTTACCTCCGAGGTATTCACTCACCTCTCTCCAAGATGCTTGATCAGTTGCTTAGGGATAATATTGGATCCACCAGTCTTTCATGTCAGAACAGAATGAACAACACCAGACATACTTTTAACAAAATTGTATTTCACTGCACCTTGAAGCGTGGAGGTTTGCGTGTGCTTAGGTATGTTTCACCAAATGAATATGTGAATGAGACCAGGCAAATTTCATCGGTCAATGAATCCCAATATCGCTTTCTATTGTGCCGAAATTCCTTTGGTAGAACATAAAATGAATGTTTCAGGGGTCACGCAACTAAAGAATGTATTTGGAAATGCTTTACAACGATAATCTTTCGGCGATGAGGCAATCACCGAAAAGACCACAATTGTTCTAACACGTGCCTCATGATATGTTTGGCAGATGGATGGCAAACCTGCCTATGAACTGTCTCTCAACAAATGCATGCCTTCTTGATATTCCGTCTCTCGCACATCACATAGACACTTGGAACACAATAATACACACACTTCAAAATAACGCTGTGCACTGTAACAAAATCTTCCACTCGAAGCACAACGGGGCAGGTAAATCCATATGTACATAGATATGTACCACGGCGATTCCAAGGGTATATAACTGGCTTAAAAAAAGAAGTTGATGGGATAGTGAGGAGGGCAATTAACACTATGGGCCTTTGAACCCAAAACCATGACACCAATAATGCTGGTTTGCCAATTTTTCAGTCAAGCAGCAGGTCTGCTGCAGTTCTCTCAATTGTCTGTGTAGAATACAAGATTGCCATGCTCAAAACTATAATGAAAAATATATTGTGTACTACACATGTCGATATTGCAACTTCCTTTGAGGCAGCAGTAACCAAATGGTCACAGCTTACAGTGCAGCATATTGGATTTTTATAATTCTCTTATTTCTTTTATTATGAGCTAAACTTACTTTTCTTCACAGTAACCATATTAGAGCCACTCCACATTAAGAAACCTGCAACAGCACCTGCTGACAAACTGTTGAAATGTATTGAATGCTTTGGAAACATAGCTGCACACTAAACATCCACAGTGCAAAATAGGGTGACATGAGTTGGAACATTCTGGCATCTCCTGGCACCATAGGTGCAAAATACCCCGGTACTAGACACAAGACTACAAACGCCAGTGTCACAAAGGGGTCATAAAAAAAAAAAAAAGATAAATCATACAAAAAAAATAGTGAAATACAGGTTCTTGAATGTGCTATCTATACATCAATAGTCAGAGGCCATACAAAAATAGCTCTTCCTCAAACTTTGCTAAGGTTTGCTCATAAAATACCTTTTAGAGAGTAAACAATCGAAAGAAGAAAGGGGGAAGAACAAGCCGCCGACAAGCGCAACAAGCTGCCCACGGTGACAAAGTTTCTCCACGTAACAACCACACATATTTCAGGGCAGCTTCAAGTAGTACAAAACTTGCTATACATCATTTTAGAAGTTGCACGCATCTGTGTCTACAACTTTCGATCAACTGCTGACATCTCTTATATTTACGAAAATGGCCGCCTTTACTCGTATCAGTTTCGCCTATCCAAGTATAGCCCAGAAGACAAACTTCCCACACAGTGTGCAAAGTACCAATGGTTACGATTTTCAGAATGAATTCAGCCAATGACGAGTCAAAGAGAATTTTCAGAGAAAAATGTGACGACACGCGCTGGGGTACTGATCAAGCACGTTTGGACTTCCAAAAGCAGCTGGGATTTTGGGGTTCACGGGTCTTGGCCTCCTCACATTCACTTCTGCATAGTGCAACAATTGGCTCACTGCAAAATCCAAAGAATTTTGGATCCAGAGTTCTCTTCCAAGAATGTAAGCATATAGGGGACAACCAATATGTGAGTCAAGATGATTGTTACAACTCCGTAATGCCCGTTTTCTCCGACGACACGCAAGCACATCACCCCCCACCCTTTGCATCGTCAGACAGATATTCGCTTATATTTTCCCAAGTTCCTGCAAGATTCGCAACAAGGCACGTAGAGCAAACTTGTCGAATCCCCCTCCGGGAAGGAATGGCCAACCACTGCAGACAGGAACGTGGGGGATTCGAGATATACGTCGTCACGCGTCAACAGTCGAGCAACAGTTTCTCTAGGAAACGCGAGTTATAAATCGAGACACAAATGTTCCAACAACTTTGAACTAACACCACTCGTGGCCCCTACATTCAACACGGTCGACACATTGCCAGACTAGGCTAGGTGTCCTACATATAGACAGACTAGGCTAGACGTCAAACAACACCCATCTGGTTCAAGTCGAGACTGGCATAAAGAGCTAGTCTCAATAATCTCGGCAAGGTGAAGCTTGGTTTTCTCTTAGTTTTCTCATCTTGCATTCGAGTCCTGGCAGTTTCGGTTGCAAAGGGTTTTACCGCGTGACTTGGCAAACTAGTGGGATGGATACAACCGTGAGAAGTAAAGTTGAGGGGAACGATTACCTCTCGAAACACCTAAGACGGGGATGAGTGATATGGCGGTGTATCTGACGTAGCATCGCATTCACTGTGACCTCTTGAAGTCAAGAGCCGAGACTCGTAGCACTTGAAAAGTTGCTTGATTGTCTATAGAAGCCTGAAGATATGTATACAAGTGTGGGAGAAATACGAAAAGTTGCTACGACTATATATCTTGCAGCATTCCTATTGGTACCTCTAAACAAAAGCTTCGAGACCTTTAAAGGCTCGGAATTTCATTAGAATAATTAGCTTTTGGTACATTTGGATAGTTTCAGGTAGCTCTCGATTTCAACTTTCAGATTTGTCTATTCTGAGCATTTCTTCTCCAGATCAGGAACTTGTCTAATGGATTATATGCCTTTGCACATCTTTGTTTTGTTTATTACTGCAGTACACCAGTACATACAGCTAGCAATAACTCCTTAATAGGATGCAAATTTGACCTTAAGTCATAAAAACTACAAAATATGTTGTGCATTACAAGCAAAGGCACAAGAAACGTTTAGGGTAGAATTATGACGATGCATTAGTTATAAACGCTACGAGAGCTACGAGCAGAAAGTGGCACTTGCAAGAATTAGCCATATTTCTGTGCAGAGTTTACTAAAGTCACAAAAACATACAAGTTAATCTCGGGGACATTTCTTATTTTCTCACTTCGCTTTCAGTCGAGCTGAAGTTAGGCTGCTTCCACTGAACCATCAGAGCCTCATATTGGTGTGCTTGTGAACTAAATTTTTGCATGATACTCAACACAGAAACAGAATCAATTAATATACAAATTATACGAGCAATGTGTGGTCTTAATATAGTCACGATTAATTAGTATATATAATTGGGATTGGTGTTTTTACTTGCCAAGCAAGAGCAGCATTAGCAATAACAACAACAAAAAAGAATGTCAATGTCAGAAAGAGAGGTATTGAGTCTCAATCTTGTACAGCACTTGTAAGATGTCAATAGTGACGAAAAATGTTAGAACCAAGTGTAAATGCCTCAAACATGAGAATGATAAAACATGCACAGTAAAAGACACTGTTATAAATGTAAAACCACAACTGCACAGATTTGTTCCCTTATACTCGGTTCATGGGTTCCTTTACCTCTTTGCAGTAATTGCAGTGATTTCAAATGCCACAAACACTGGCCTCATAAGTGATGCGTTTCTCACAGTATATCAGTGTGGTGCAAAATGTGTTACTTTTTTCAGCAGTTTTGTTCGAAATAATTTGAGTGCAGTTCAAGAGGACTGCAAAAGTTAGTTTTGTTAGGTAGGGTACCATAATTTATGACGGAAGTGAGGCTAGATGGTAAATAGTTTTTGTAGACAGAGAAGAAACTACTCAAATGAAATAAAAGTAAATTAAACCTTTTTTTACATAAAATAGAGAAAAGGCAATGTCAGAATTACATTTTTGTTGCCTCCCCTCTCCAAACAGAAAAAGAAAAGAAAAAGAAAAGTCTGAATTGAAATGAACTTGCAGAGCCAGTCTATTTCCTCCCCATCATGCTATGGGCAGTTGTGACCTATTCAAACATATTAAAAGAAACACCACATTGCCTTTTTCTTTTTTAAACCAAATTTAAAGCTGCAGCAGCTAGAGTGTTGTTTTTTCACACTGACAACAAATTAGCTGAGTCACACAGATTTTATAGGGAACATTTTGGCTGATTTACAGATTCTGATCCAGGAAAGTTTATCTTTCCAAGATTTAGATAAACATCTCTCATCTAGCCTCACCTCTCTGGCGAATTACAGTATTGAGTCTGTTTGATCCATTTCATTCATGCTGCATAATTTCTAGCAAGGGAAGATGATGCAAGCAAACTGCCTTATTTTGTCACCTTGCTTAATATACGCAGGCTGGATTCAATACAATATGGTTTGGTAAAAAGCTGCTCCTGTTTGCCATAACCTTAAATGGGCACATGTATTACCTTTCTGTGCAAAATGCGCTTTGCCACGAACCGCAGCACTTTGAACCGGCAAATGCGAAGCCAACGTTAAATGCAGAGCAGAAATTAAGCAAAAGTTACACAATCCAGTGAAAACATACCTCGTAACTTCCAATATCCAAGACAGTTGTGCCTTACCAGCAGCTGTCCACTGGAGCAGGCCTCCAACATGACATAATCGTTTAGGGAGTGTTACAACTGCAAGTCAGAACAACACCTGCAGCATACTTTCCGTTCCTCTTTTCAATCAGGTTCTGTACAAACCTGAACTGCACATTTGTATTTAACCCTATAAATGGCCGACAACAACATTATAGTAGACCGACGTTCTAGCAGCACTGTTCTAGACATTGAGAATCGTTAGAACTGAATTAGAAGTTAAGCTATCTCGACCGATTTGAGCTACGCAGTACCTGCACATTTCCTGTGCGGCCCAGTTACCGAAATATAATCACGCAGTAGCCTAAACTGACAGGAAGTGAGCATACGTCTGATAGGCTAAGACATATAAACTTACAAAGAAGTAGTCAAAAGGAGTCAGCTCGGCAGCTCGCTGCTTAGCACCCCGGCGAGCCATCGCATGACCTAGACAATAATACTGAGTATAACAGTCTGGACATCAATACTCGATCATACCGAGAGAACATGTTAAGCCAAGTGTGCAACTTAAAAAAGCTACCTCCAGACACCCGGGAGAGCATCAAGTTCCGAGCCCGGTCGGACTCCAGCATTGGTCCACAAAAGCAAATGGATACGTCGGCTTGTGCAACAACACCGGTGTTTGGGTGGCACAAACATTCCGGTCGGGATTCCGTGGTGTGGTCCTTTCTCGCCAGGCACCACGACGGGCACGGAGATATATATGGTTGCGCAATGTCCTAGTGGCCAAACCAGACGCATTAAAGCCGGCACCAAGCTGCCAGACTACGTCCACCCGTGACTAGGAGGCACAGTTCGGAGGCACCTGCAAATAAATTCGTACAACCAATGTCACGAAAAGAAATATTGCTCGTGGCCATGTATCGAAGCTCACGGGTAGGCAAGCTTACATACTCGACGCTTCTTACAAGTAAAACGGCTGCGAAGCGCAGCAAATCTTAAGACGTCAGTCGTCTCGAGGGAAAGGACGAAAAAGAGTGCGTGACAAAGTTGTCAACGCAAGTGGCTGCCACGCGAAGGAACGGGGTTCGAACCTCGCTCTGCCCGGATCTTCGTTTTTGTAATTCTGTACTCTTCTGGAAAGCTCCAGCCCATTCTCGGCTGTCATCGAGCATTCTCGTTCGGAACATTTCTGAAATTACTGCGCGTATAAAAGCGGCGGCAATGCGCTACGGTACTTTGGGACTGTCGTCCCTTCGTTGCCAAAGCAAAATGTGCCATACTCCTTCTGTTTATTTAAAGGAGCTGTGCAATGACTTTAGTGTTGAAAGAATTGGCATCTGCAACTTTTGACATTGTTCATCTTGTCACGAAGGACAGAAAACACATCTCGTTCTTTCGAAATGTTGCGGTTCCGCCGCGTAATCGCGAGGCAAAAATAAGAATACTCCCCGACCTGCAGCCGCGAGCGGCGGCCGCGAGAACCATGTGGCATGACGTCAATGGGGGTCTTGTAGAAAGATAGCAAGTTGTGCGAATACCTGCTCGATAAAAGGTAACTTTCCTACCAAATCTTGTCGTTCCAACATAAATATAAATGCGTCAAAAACCTGGTATCATGGACAAAACTTTTATTATACGGAGTTTTAGTGGCGCCACCTATCCTAGGTCCACAAAACCGTCAGCTCTCTCTGCTACCACGAACAGCCGCCAGAAGCCGGAAAGGGAGGGGGACACAGCCGGACGGGGGTGGCCGGACCCGGATGAGACCTTCCTCCATTCACCATATTGTTCGCGCGGCGCCCGCCAGTACCTGGTCACGCGGTCGCGAGCGGATGAGTTCTCGCTGCTCACTGATGGCTCTAGAGAGAAAGCTTCACCGGAACCCCACGCGACCCCCATTGACGTCACAGCGCACGTCACTCGGAAGATTATGACGGAATTGAGAGGTGCCAAAAACCTATATCTTTGTCCATTTTTAAAATAAAAACTAGGACATGCAGGCAAAAGCGGTTTTTTGTTCTTTGCTTCAGAAAGGTCGAAACACCAACTCCCAAACTATTTAAGGAAAGCACTGAAATTGTTGCACAGCTCCTTAAAAGGGACACTGACACCCCACAAAAAAAAAAAGGTTTTCAACTTTTGCCAGGCGATTCATTATGATGTCAGGACTCAGAAGACTACCCAATCCATATTCTGCTACAGCATCACATACATTTTTAATAAATTAATAAAATGCAACTGCTCAAAACCGAAACTTGACTGGGGAGGAAAAAGAAATATAGAGGAGAAAGTTACCGGAAGTCACGTGGCTGTGCAACTCTTTTTAACGGACCCGCTGGGACTTCCAAAGGAGGCGGCATGCCTGCCGTTATGAGGCAGCCCGAATGCACGGGGAGAGAGCGGACCATTTCCTTCCCAGCAGTTACACAAGCCGCACGCTTACCGAAGAGCTATTCTGGCACCGGCAGTTCGTCTGTCAAGGCTGGCGGTGGATCCTGAGTGGCCTGGAGCCTTCGGATGCGGTCGTCCATCAGCTTTTTGGCATACTCGTAGAGCTGCAGGTCCAGGTGGTTCAGGCGCTTCACCGCCTCCAGTTCTTCGGGCCCCACCTAGAAACGCAAAAAAAGCTACTTTTGGGGGCAACCAGTGATGTAGTAAGTTCATCTGTAAGAGAAGTATTTTTAGATATGCTAATTCTTCCAGATGTCAATTTCAAATAATGTGTTAAGATGGCAATGTGGGCCAGTTGGTTCATGATCAAAGAGAGGCGCTGAAAAAACAAGGACAAGAAGAGCCCAGGGCCAGTGTTTACGTCTCTTCTTGTCCTTCGTTTTTTCGGCGCCTATTTTTGATCAAATAATGTGCCCTCAATAGCAGAACAGTGGAGTAGCAACATTTGGTCTATTCTATCTGTCTCTCCCAAGAAGGGAAAAAAAGCTTAGACAATAAAATATTAATAATCTATCAAATCTAAAACTTAAAGATGAGATATTTCTTAGAAAATTTGTCTGGGAAGTTCTGCAGGTGTGAACATGACTGGCATTGAAAAAAGGGGGTGACAATGCTGATGTACATAAGGTGAACTCAAATACGTTCATCACCAGCAGGTGACTCTAATCCGTGTCACCAGTTTGTAGAAGTGCCACCCTTTCTTAACACTACGGCGTATCTCTGCAACAACAGATCAATGTGCAGCACACAAAGAAAAGTTACTCGATTATGCTGGCGAAGACCAGGGAGCACAAAAAGTGTCCCACATACACTTTTTTTCTTCTTTTTTTAAAAATATTTTTGTGCGTAATGCTGTCTTCTTAAAAACGACCCATGAGACACACTGTGCATTGAAAGGGTTTCGCTTCAACATTGAAGAGCCATGTCCTGCTTCTGCAAGCCACCATTGGCACAAGGAACGGCCCTCGCTTCTCTGAACAAAACGCGATGCTCGTACCTGCCCGAAGGCAGCCGTGCTGCGCGTCTCGTTGAGCTGTGCGAAGGGCCTGAGGAAGCGCAGCCTGAAGGTGCGCTCGAAGAGGCGCTGCGAGCGCTGCTGGCGCTCCGTGAGGCCGAAGAAGGCCATGCGGCGCAGGTTGTCCTTGGCGCTCGTCAGCATGAGCAGGTCCCGCTCGTACGCCCCCACTGCCGTCCGGTTGTAACAGCCCACCAGGGACAGGTCTGCCAGCATGCGCGTCTGCCGATTCGCAGCCAGGTTCCACGGGCAGCCTATGAACTCCTGAAAAGGGGGGAAAAGCACCTCCTTGTCATTTGGAGCGCTTGTATGTGTCATTCTTTCTTGGCAGCGTTGCGTGAGACATGTTAAAACATTTTTGTCAACATATCTGTGCATACATTATCGTTTACCTTCCGGTGTTTTTTAAACTGCAGGTGTTAAGGCTTATTCGCACACTTGCGACTCCTTAGGAGCGAGTGCCTTGAAGGCTCTTAAAATTTCTTAGGACGAGGGAACACACTGGCACGCTGACTCCATCTATGCGGTGACCCTGGAACTGCATTTCACATGAGCGAAGGTTCTGAACGATTGGCAAAGAGCACCTGGTGGATGTAGCTAACGCCTCGTTTGTGATGCCCGTCTAGGAACCTTGACAGCTAGTGACGGAGGTTGTCTCGCCTCCGGCCACGACAAGAGAAGAGGGGCAGGAGGAACTCCCCTCTTCCCGAGAATGCCTTTTGTGTGTCGCAGAAGTCGCTATTGTCCCCCTACAAAATTATAGAAGATTAACCCGTCACTCAAAATTCGTACAAAAGCAGCCGCTTCGGTGGCTGGAACAACTAGGCCATCCTCTCGAAGTCAGCCTCGCCGTAGCTTTGCTCGTCCCGAGACGACCTACGTCACGATTGCGTTGGATGTCACGTGGTCTCCGCTGGGCCTTCTCCGAGCGCTTGCCAGAGTGGGCCGTTTATAACGAAAAATACAGCCATCAGGCTCAAAATACAAACGTGCGATTGTCATTTATGGATATTGTGGATCGTACTCAACCTATTTCTGAACACGACGGGAATATTTCAAATTTCGTTGAAGTATCCCTTTAAGAGGTTCCAAGGAACTCAGTTGTCAGAAATCGCAAATGTCTGAAAAGGCCTTTAGTGTCGTTCTAGAATGCTGCTTGCTACCTATATCGATGTGAAGGTCTGTGTTTGCCCTTTTTTTAAGACGACTTTCATTTTCTGATTTATAAGATGAAATGAGGAAAAAAATCTCATCTAACGACCTCAATAAAGGTCGACAGTATTTTGACATAACTAAATAAAAAAGCGGACACAGAGGCAGTCAAATGCTTGTGCAGAGTGACAACCACTCCAACCCAATACCGTTGCACGGACGCTATAAATCTCCAATTTGAAAAAGAAAATTGCACGACTGCAACTAATGATGCATGCAACTTTGTTAGAATGTAGAATGTCGCAGTCTATCATACATGATAATGTAAATAGGATTCCGCTTTTCCGGATTTTATTTTTGTGAAATTCGGAGGGTGGTTCTCGGATTTTATTTTTCGCTGGAAATTCGGGGCTAACGGAGTTTGTTTTTGATAGATTCGCAATTCTCTGAAATTCAGAGATTTCTTTTAAAATAAAATAATGCCCAGACAAAAACATACACTATATTCACAGAAAAATAAAATCACCGCTATCGAAAGATATTTCTGCAGCTGCATATGGCATTGGTGCCCTTGCAATTGGCACTACTAACTGTCCCACAACAAATCTTGAAAACGAGTGTTATTCAATAAACATCAGTACTTTGATATAGCCAAACTTCTGGTGGCATAGATAGAACCTTAAGCTTCCCTACCCATCCTACGAAATCTACAGGTTCACATCTTTCACTGTTGCAAAAACACAACTTCTCCCCCCTCTAAAAAGCATAGTATGGTTCAAACTAGAAACCGAAACAGTGGCTTCTGTCCTTGTCCATAACTAGTCATTGGCCCATTGTACTGAACGAACCTTGACGAGATTAATGGGAAACTCCCTTTTGTTAATACTCAATAGTAAAAAAAAAAGAAAAAGATTGGACTAGTTTCTTAAAGAGCCCCCAAAAACGAAAAATATATTTTTTAAATAGTCTGGTTGGAACACGTCTGTCAAAAAAATTTAATTTTTTGACAGGTGCAAAACACGATATGGTCGGTAGTCACAAACTTTCCACTTGTTTCCTCTCTTGGCATTTCGGGCACGTGGAGAGGAGGTGGATCGGCTTCCCTTTCACAAATGAGATGAAAAGAGTGCATGACCATTCCGTGACACCATAGACTTAACGTTCGGAATTTAAAATAAATCTCGCGCCGGCAATATTGCTCTAATTTGTTTTTTTTTGTTTTTTTCGCATAAAATTATTCTTTTAACAGGCGTGTCCCAACCAGATTATTAAAAAAAATTCTTTTCAGGGTCTTCTTAAGAACCACTAACAATGTGCTCCGACAAACTTAATTAATAAAATACTGTCTTTTCTGGCTTTCTATTTTGCCATCGAGACCTCGAAATTCTGCGTCTTTTTTAAATTTTTTTTATAAATCTGAATTGTCCAAACATTTTACCGGTGAGTTTTTAGGAGTTTATCAGATCTATTCTACAGCTAGATATAAACTAACCCCAGTTTTATTTTGGAACTCTTACTGCCGTGTACATGTTGTCAATCAGTTACAAGGTGTCGATTAATTAACAGCTCGCCTGCACTCTATCACTGCACTCTATCACTGTTCACACTCTTGCGACCTCTTAAACCTGGGTTCCTTAAAACTTCTTAAACCACAGAACACAGTGGCGCCATCTATTGGGAAGAAGTGTAAACTCGGCGGTCCGGCATATTTTTTTTTATTTCTCGCGCATTATCCTTTCTTTCTTGGCTCGAAAAACTTTTGTCAATGTTATAAACGAGCCTTACTATGGGTATTACGCACATTTGACCTCGGGAATCCCGCAAAAGCTTCGCTCTTGTGAAATGCAGTTCCAGCATCACCGCATAGATGGCGCCACAATGCCAGTGTGTTCCGCCATACTCAAAACATTTAAGAAGTTTTAAGAGATCTCGTCTCTCTCAGTCGTACTCGGTCGCAAGACTGTGAACGGGCCTTTACACGGAAGCGGGATTGCCTACGCTACGGGCGCAGCTTCTCCGCAGTGTTCGCGTGCGCGCTGAGAAGCGCACTCAACGGGGCCAATTACACCGCCCGAACAGAATACCAACAATTAGAAATATCCCGAAAGTTCCGATACGAACATTATATCAAATCACGCGTTATTTGAAGCGATACCCGAAAGTGTCAAAAATTCGCGCAAGCATACCGTAATAATCTGACAGCGTAGCGACGCCCGAACTATTGTAGTTTCTGCGTTGATAAAGTGAAAGCAAAATGGCTGCCAACCGCAACTTACGGGAGGTAGTTGCGTGAATTGCGCTTAACGTGTTCTCATAAACCTATATTGGCATTGGTAGCTCGGGCTGCCACTTCCAACTCAGAGGGGAAACTCACCAAAAATAAATAAACCTCTAGCAATTAAAAAAAAAAAAAAAAAAAAAAAAAAAAAAAAAAACCCGAGCCGTTTTAGGTCCGCCGAGTTGAGTTGATTCCCCCGAAAGAAATCAGCGGCAACATACGCCAGTCCCACAAGGGCCTCCCAACAAATCCGCCAGACACGCAGCAGCCCCCCCCCCCCCCCCCCCCCTTTTCCTTTTCTCTACCTTGCACGCACGCACGAAATAAAAAAAAAAAAAAAAAAAAAAGTTTTCCATCCGGAGTGTATCGCATTTTCGGGGTTGCCCAGAGCCCGTACAGACGGCGCCCCCTTTTCCAGCCGGGCCCAACAAGGTGGCCTTTGAGACACCACGAAACTCGAGAGGCCTGTCTTCGCCGACGATGAAGAGCCGAGTGGCAAGGAAATCCATCCGCTGCCAGCGAGAAAGAAACATGTTTACTCGCCCGGAAAGCAGGATCAGAGAAACACGTTTCGCCTGGTTCGACCTCGCCTCTCAAGGGATCCACTTTGCATGCCAACCCAAGCATCGCGTGTTCGGTCACGTGCCACGTCGACCGACTCAACACATCCCCCGCCCGCGCCGCAAAACACGCAAAAAAAAAGAAATACCACGTGGCGTTTTTCTTGAACGTGCCATCCCGACAGAGGGAGTTTCCCCGGCGTCGATGGCATAAACAAGGCCCGCAGCCCCAGTCGGCGACTGCGGTTGGGGCAACAGCGGGGTGCCTCCCGCCCCCCGAGATGCCCCCCGTGACCCCAGCCGGATCGAGGTCAAAGGCGTCGCCAGATTCGACGCCCGAACGAGCTTCAATTGCGAGCATTCTTCGAGACGCCCGACCGGCATCCATCACGAGCCGCCTGATGAAGGGGGGAGGGGGCGACCGGCACGCTCTCGACGGAGCGTCGATAGACCAGCCTTCGCTGGAATGACACGGAGGGCGCTCCCAGATCTGCCCTGAGGCAGCGCGGACGAAGAGCTCTCGTCGAAGAGTTCTGCCAGTGAGGAAAGCCACACCCCAAGGCTCGTTCACACACTGGCCACTGCCCACGACAGTCAGCCGAGTGCAGTACCACCCCGCTTGAAATACGAAGGCTTTAATTGGAGTATTTGCGAGATTCGTACCAAGAGAAATGGTCGCGTATAACATTGTCAAAAGATTTTCGAGCCAACAGTCAAAGAACAATGTGCGAAAATTTAGGAAATATACGGTAATCCCAATCTATCACCCCCTAGAAAAATCATCGTCCTCTTCGGAGTTCCCCTTTCCATTATCACTGATTGGCCGAGCGTCCGTCCAGTTTCGGTTCGCCACTTGCATCCGCCATTTGTGCCCTCCCGTGTCGCGACCTTGCAAAAACTTTTTTTTTTTTAATTATTATTATATCGGTAGTCGCGTGTTTTGATTTCAGAAACGTTATCGAACTGCCGCTATGACGTGACATTAATAAATCACTTGAGCATGTTTATAAAACTCTCATTTCCGTTTTTGCATCTCGTCGTCACTTCGGCGTGTGAAGCCAGAAACAAAAAAGGCACAAGCCGTGATATACTTGCTGTCTCGACTGTTTTGGAAACGAGCGAGTCGCCGACACGGGGAGTGCTTTGTTCCGTTTGCAGCGTAAGATCCACGGCTTCGCATTCCATAACAGAAACGTTCGCGCGCTCATCGCTTTGGCTCCCCTGTCTGCTGAAGAGGAAATAAGATTAGGACGATCTGTCTCGCAGTTCAATTTTATTCTACGAATATTTAGAAAGCGGAATATTGCGTCTGATCTCGAACCGAATGGTCGGAGCAGACACACAGCCGAAGCATCGATAAAACTCACGCGCCTGCTTCAGACCTGAAGCAATGGAAAGACTTGAGAAGCTGAAGAAGTTCTTGAAAGAAAAAAAAAGAGTTAGAGGTGAATTTTCGAGTACTTTTATCCCGTGACTCTGCAGTTTTCCCCAAAGATGTAACAAAACGCGAGAAAACACGAAAACCCTCGGACCAGTCGTGACGTCATAAGGGGATCTTTCGGCCGCCAAGCGCGTGTCGCTCGTGTGAGTAGAATGCGCGGCTGCTGAGCGCGTGCTCACGACGAGCTTCCACACTTCTTTCGCCACGTCCTTTCCTCACCATAAATATGGCCGATCTTAGCAGGCTATTAAAGGGGACTTCCGGAGCGTTCTGCGACGGTCTATTTATGGCGGTAACTCAATCTACAGGCCCTAAGGATGCTAAAAATCATAAAATTACGGTCATGCGCGGCGGATTTCCCTACTAAAATTGCTATCAAAGTCTTCGGCACGCCCCCCTTTCTGAGATGACCCCGGAAAACGGGAGGGGCATCTCCGGCGCCACTGCGCGTCACCAACGCGGCCGACCGCCGACCCGCGGAGGAGTCTCTCGAACACGCGCGGTCCGTCTTCAAGGAACCCGGACTTCGTGCTCGGCAGTCGTCGTTCGTCGCACCGCACCGTCGCGCTGCTACTGCAATGCGCAGTCGCATCCCACAGATGACAAGGAAAAGTTTGACTCGTTCACGTTGAAGGATCGCAAAGCTGGCTTCGGAGTCGGGATCCACGGGAAGAAGGAACATGTGTCCCGCAAACGCACGCCTGCAGACGCCCCGGGAAGCAGACGAGCCGACGCGCCGACGCATCACCCCCTAGCAACAAGCTTGCGAGGAGAAAACACAGTTCGCTGGTTTTGGAGAGATAATTACGGACTATGTTTCCCGCACCACAATCAGTTTACCTTTTTCTCGAACTCTAATTTACAACAAACTCAAAAATTGTTGTAATAATAACGTTCGCATTCACCGCGAGATGCAGCATTTCCATTGGTCAAGTTTGAGCGATGGGCAGGGAACGGGGGATTGTCTTCCAAGAGAAAATAGTCCCGATATATTTCTTCTGCCATCTGCTTAATAAACGGTTTTGTAATCTAAAACTTTGTATACATATTAACTTGGACCTACTACGCAATATAACAACATAAACATACGATCGCAGAAAGCTCCGGAGGGCCCCTTTAATGTGAGCTCGTTCTGAGCATGCCGAGAGACGATAGTGGCCGAACTGGAATTGCATGGCACTCACCCACTCGCAACCGAGACGAGCAACCAGCTTACCTCACGTACACGAAGCACCTGCATGGCAGAACTTCTGGCTATTCTGTTCGCAGTGGAAACGGCCAGGACCATGCCACGCCCGGAAATCAGTGAAACCCGCATATACACAGACTCCCAAGAGGCAGTGCGCGCACTTGGGCACTCGAGCACGTGCAACGTTACGGTTGCGCACATCCGGGAACTGGTTCGCCGCGCCGGGGCTAAGCAGAAGATCACCATCGCGTGGATTCCTGGCCACGCCAACATTCCGGGGAACGAGCGGGCGGACGGGGCCGCGAGGGCACTGCTACAAGCAAGTATTCAGCCCTCACAAGGCCCGGTCCCTTCGCCCGTTCCACGAGATGTTTCAACAAAAGAGGTCTTCGACCTCTATGAGACCAAAAAAAAAAAGAAATGCCCGGAAGGCCCGACTTGCTGCGCTCCTACCTGCGAACCCCCCTCCGATACCTCGAGGGCTTCAAAGATGGGAACGAGTGGCCCTGCACAGACTGCAAACTCGCACTATGCTAACTCCCGTTTGGCTTGCCAAATTCCACAGGCCAACAGACCAGGAGGACACGGGACCTGACCCAAGATGTCCCCACTGCGGTGACCCCGCGGCTTGTGACCACCTTGTATGGTTCTGTCCAGAGACGCCAAACGAACGGGCGGCGGCGATCAACAACCTGCCACCTTCCCTTCGACCGAAGACCCTACGGGAATGGACCCACCCGAGGTCCTCAGAACCCACGGATAGAACAGCCGTCTTTTCATCCATCACCTCCTACCTCCGGTCCTCCGGGATCCGACGGTACATCTGATCCATCGTCATCGCTAGCTCCTTTTTCCCCTTTCCCCACGTCAAATGAGGCCCACAAGCCAGAGGCCTGGGGCTTTCAAATAAATGTTTCAAGCAATCAATCATGCGCTCTAAACATCGCCCTCAAATATGGCGCCCAACGAATACCCTTCATGTTCGCGCGCACTGACAACGGTCGTGCCGTGTTTTTCTGACTTTTTTTTTTTTTTCTTTTTTTTTTTTTTTTAAGATAGCGAGAGTGCGCGTGCGTAGCTTTGATCGGCGTTGAAGATACGCGAGAGCCGAGATTCCGAAAACTCCTTTTATGACGTCACGCTCCGGGAAGGAGGGGCTTCAGCGGTACACTGAAAATGATTTTCTGCAGCCTCCGTGCACCAAATTGAAAAAAAAAAAAAAATCTCTATAGTCGTGATCCTGGAGTCCAATTACGCTAATACAGAACCACTTAAGCTTCCCATTAAAATGGCACTGCAAACCAAATGCTGCTTTAAAGGGCGTGCCTATCCGAGTCAAACACGAGCGTTCAGTGACGACATTGAGAGAGCGTCGGATAATGACGACATGAAATTCTAGAGGTGGAGCTGTCTGAATAGGTGCACGTGACACCTTCTGGTCCTTTCAAGCGCGTGATTATTTGCTCGGAACGCGCAGTACAGACGAATTGAACGCCAGGCGAGGGGAGAAAGAGAAAGCATTAGGAGGGCTGGGAAATAAGAAAGAAACCTCTTTCCCCTCTAACCTTTCTATCCTCGCCCTCCATTGCCCTCCTCTCCCATCTCGCGTTCCTAGTACTCGCCTTTTCTCTCTTCGCAGCTGAATTGAGTATGCCGTTAAGAAATTATGAATAAGTATCCTCATCGGTAATCACCACGCGTCCACGTTTCTCACCACACCTTTACAGACGTTCTCTCCTGTCTCAACTCGAATGTCCATGTCAGCCACTGCTTCCCTTTCCCCGAAGTTTCGTTCTAACTTCCCGCATGCACAGTCCGCTAACGAGAACCTCCACCGCCCTCAACTGGAACTTCCTCTAACATTCTCATTTCTGACAATGCGGCTTGGGAGTCTGAAGCTATCGACAGCGCCCCCCCATGCCAGCTCATTGCCTGCCGTCGAAAGTGACGAGGGTTTTCGGCCCATCAAGTTTATACTACAATTTTGCTGTTACGATAAGCTGCCTGTGTCATATCGCCGACGCATGTCCTGCTTCGCGAACCCATTAGTGGGAAGTGACGTGGCACAAAGCGCATAACTGGCTGCCCTGGAGTCAGTGGCGTCACGAGGGTCAGCGGCACCCGGGGCGGTAGCCCAGCCGCGTCACCCCCCCCCCCTCTTGTGGCCCGCCGCAACACCCCCCTGAGTGCTGCACCCGGGGCGGTCCGCCCGCCACAAACTGTGGCGCCCTCATTATGGGTAGTAAAAGTTCACCCGATTTGGCCTGCACATTATAACATCTTCGCTGAGCTGCTTTTTTTTTTCTGTGTATGGCTGAGGAACGGAAAAATCACATTTCGACGTCCGACATCGGCTAGTTTCAATGCCGCAAGACAATCGAAACTGCCAGATTCATGCCGCCACCACCGTTAGGGCACGCCTCAGACCATCTGGCGTTCCGACGCTTCATTTTTCTTCCTGCCCTAACTCCCTTTTTTTTTTTTAAATGCATGAAACGGCATTTTTTGTATCACGATTTTAGCTTTGACCTGTGCCACACCAGAGCAGGCACGCTTCTAGATGTGTGCCAGTTTGAGACGTTCAAGTTTGCACCCTAGTTTGTACCACCCAAGAAAAAAGATTTATAAGGAATCCCTTTTCGCAACACCCCCTGGGAAACGCAGGAGGACATCGCCCAAAGGTCACAGCAAGTCCCCAGGGCCTCGAAAAATGCATAACGCGCTGTTCCTTGGCAGCGGTGTCGTACCTGGAAGGTGACGTCCCTCCAGTCGGTGCCGTTGAAGCAGGGTGGCAGTTCCTCTCTGGTGGGGCCCCGTCCCCCGCACCAGTGCCGAGAGCCCCTCCAGGTGGCGCCACGCTGCACGTGCCGGAACTCGCTCAGGAAGCGGGCCACGGGCTCGCGCAGCAGCGTCACGTAGAAGTACCTGGGAACACGAGACGCGAGTTCAAGCAATCGCAGCACCAGCAGAGACGAGCCCCAACGCTCACTCAGGCAGCTTGGGGCATCGTACTGCGCATGCGCATAAGGTCTGCACATGCTCTGTGCGACACCTTCTCGAAAACCCCACAAAATGCATCGCACACGGCGAAGGCGCAAGCCCCTTTCTCAAGGACGCACCTCGACTGCACACCCCGAAGCTGACCGTGTACAGTGCCATAGCCTCGAGACGCGGCCGCCGAAAGTGAAAAGGTGCATGGATGAAAACTTTTATTGGAAAAGAACTCCGATGACCGAAGTCATCGCAACGCGGTGACCTTGTGGTCAGGCGTCAGCGGCAGACAACGGATGAGAGGAAAGCCTAGGAGAGGAGAGCCGTGTAACTGGCGCCCCGCTGCGGCGAGACGCCGAAACACACTTGTCCCGAGCGATGGAATGTCCGCTCGTGCTCCTCGCGTTCCTCGCGTTACCGCTTCTTTTCTCGTCGGGTCTGAACATAACCACTCCGAGATCCCGAAGCCTCGGAGGCCATGGTTTGAAAACCATGTTTCGGGTCATCGCTGCTGCAAAAGCTGTGCGCGGACTACAGGCTCCCCAAGAAATGCTCTTTGCTACCAGATCCTCGCGCTCCGAATTCGCGACGGGCACTCTATGGCCCTGTCGTCGAACTGCCAGGCTTTGTGAGTACAGAGGAGGCTATAACTTGATTGGTACGGCTAGCTATGGCCAGCGCGTAGCACCTACCGCACTGTCAGCTAACGGGTGAATGGCGGAGGTGGCCGAGAACGGTCAGCCCAACGACGTAGAGCCACGAGCGACAAGACACATTTTATGGGTGATGGCAATGGCCAGGCGGCAGAGAGATGATGTAACCCCTCTCGTATCAATTGCCAAGTTTCCAAAGGAACACTGTGCCGCCGTATTCTGACAATGTCACAGAAGGACGACCCCGCCGTCTTTCCGTTATAGGGACAAAGAAGAAAAGAAACGACAAGCGACCAATTGATGTCGCCGCGCTCAGCGACGACTGAAGAGCCAGAGAGACAACGGCTGGGGCACGCCCCTCCGATGGAATGATGACGGGCTCCGTTTCTTCGGGACGCGGGGGATGTCGCCCGAACCCTTTCTCGGGACAGGCTCGGACGGACGACGACCCTGGTCGGCCGAAAAGGCAGAACCCTCGTCGTACGCTACAACCCGCCCTTCCCATTTTGGCTGGGGGCCACATCTATCTCGGGCTATACATAGCCACCGCCCACATTAGAGTTACATTCACACCGAAGTGGATGGGACTTCGCACTTGATGCAAGTTTCTATTCATTGCGTTGCGGGGGGTCAAGCCTGGCAAGGGATACAACGCACGGCCTTAAGGCGCGTTCACACTCTTGCAACCGAGTACGACCGAGAAAGACTTCTTGGGACCGGATGCACTGAGCGGAGCTGGTCCTAAGAGATCGCAAGAGGCTTAAAAACCGGTTTGGTCTCTCTCGGTCGCACTCGGTTGCAAGAGTGTGAAAGGGCCTTTATAAAGAACTCCAGAATCCTTGACGGTCTCACTGAACTTCAATTTTTACTTTACACGCAGAAAGCAAAATTTGAGAACAGGGGAAAAATAAGCAATAATGCCTCTCTTGACAGGACCCCTACATTTGTCAGCTTGGCGGGCACAAAAACTGGCGAAACATTTTAATAGGAATTAACAGTTATATGCGAGACATAATTCACAATTAGGGGGGAAAAAAATTGGTACAACGCCTTTCTGTTCGTAATCTCGACGCAAACGCCTTGCTCGTCTAAAAAGTACATGCAGGTAGTTTGGAGCGAAGCATCTGTTTTTGGCAATGCAGTAAAGGGTACAGGCACGCGTTCCCTTTCCCATTTCGAGCGTTGAATAAAGTTGTGCGCAAGCTCCCCTTTTCTCCACTGCACTGCCAAGTCCAGGACCCGTCGCTGTGCACCCTGTCAGCAATGTGTTCTCCCAGTTGGGTTAGCATACACTTTGAACAGGACGCCCGTTTGTGAAAGGCGCCTAAAGGACGCTGCGGGGAGGGCAGCTCATGCGAACGGGTAATGAGAGCCCAATTAGAGCTGCAAGAGCGTTCTGGGGGCCTGCTCCGCGTCAGCGGTGCGGATAGCGCGACACACGACACCGATGCGATTGAAATGCGGGGACGCGGACGAAGGCTGCCCTGTGTTCCATATACTCGCACCATCTCCTTCGCGTCCAAATAACTGTCCAGCGATCCATTCGGGTCAAGACATCTCCCTGCCTCTACGGAGCTCGTGCCAAACTCGTTGATATTATATGATATGATGTATTTATTTCAGCTCAGGAGAGCAGCATTCCTTCTTTCTTTCGGACTTTTATGTACCAACGTTGAAACAAGGATTGCAGAACATACACTACGGGCTAAAGTACATCAAAATTCCAAGGTCAAAATGCTTTCTTGACTTTGACCTTGACATAGAAGATGTAAAACTGCACCTCACAGTGTCAACCATGTCAAGCGACATCTGTCTGCTTTCTTTGTCTTCCTAAACCCTCTCCACTTGAAAAAAAAAAAAAAAATTAAAGTTGAAAGTTGATATGCAGCGCCCACCGCGGCGCCGAAAGGAATGATGGAAAGACGGGCGCGTTGGTACACCGCAAGAATGCTAAAACCGCGAGAGAACAAGGGCTTCGAAAGACGACAAACAGGGACGGCTGCGGCGACGGAGGAAATGCAGGGGTGCGGGATACGCCAGGCGAACAACTGCGTCACCCTCGTCTACTGTCTCACTCCCTCTCACTCTCTTCAGCGCCACGTGATAGATGCTGAGGGAGCAAGGAGGCTCGGGAGTTCTGCAACTGTTCTATTCCGAATCCGCCGAGTAACGATCAAAGATGTTTAAATATTTTTAGCGGTGCAGCCGCTGACTCGTCTCAGCAGATGTTTGGTAACTGCATGGGCTCACCGCCCTATTCTGAAAATATTCAAAGTTTGAAAAAAAAGAAGAAGAAAAAAAGAGAGACGCGAGGAGGGCTTTTTCAGGGTTGGCGTTTTGTTCGCACCGAATCAGGCGCCGCTGTTGGACGGCCTCCAGCTTGAATCCGTCGCTCGGATGCGCGCGTCTCGGCAGGCCGTCCACGGCTGCTATCTGGACGGTCTGCATCCGGACGAGGTGAACGACACGCGATGCGCATCTTGCGCAGAAAAAGAATCCTCTCGACGCCCGACCCTCGGCGCCATTACTGCTGCCGTCGACCATCATGGTCACGGACCAAAGACGCAGACGACAGCCAAATGGTTCCGGTCTTTATTTCTCCTTCGAGTGTGCAAATCGGCGTTTATTTCACGCCGCCACAGCAGCCAGAGTGCCATCATCGATGCTTATCGGTGCGCTGAGGAAGCCCCTCGCGCCCTTCAGTCTTTCCGAAAGAGCTGTTGTTGAAACCGAAAAAGGAAACTTTCGTCAAATGACGGAAGTTTCCTCTTTCGTCATTCTAATCAATCAGACGCGATAATGTCACTTCCGTTTCTTTTTAGGAGAAACGAAACACTTGTCGAACATAGCCCCCCCCTGATCTGCCGTTTCCGCAGGCCTAACGAAAGAGCGCGGGCTACAGGACCGAACGGGTACCGCAAAGCAGGGTAAAAAATAACAATAAAAAATAAAAGGTCTGAAAAAAAGAAAGAAAAGAAAGCAAGTTTATTTCATATAAAGCAGGTTCATTTAAATCACTCTATGTACAAATTATGACCTTTGTCACCAGATGTCTTCCTCTAAATATGGCCGACTAAATTTTCGATGATCCCGACCACTGATAAAAGTGTGGAATGGGAACTGCACTGTAAATATAATTATGACGTAGAGTTTCATTAAGGAAATTTCATTCTTGATGTAAACCATGCTATACGAATGATACAAAAGCGCAGGCGAGATCGCGTGACCTATTGCCGGCGTGTGATTGGCTCCGGCCACACGTAGCTTTGCCTGCACTCGGACGGGAGCTAAAACGAAGTATAGATGTTCGGCAATTCCTGAAGCGCAGAAGAGAAGCCTGGTTCAAAGCGTGGCAGCGAGGCTCGACACTGATTGGTTGACGGGTGGGAGAGGAGGAACGAGGTGCGCGAACTAGACTAGGCGCCCCTTCCCCAAGGGGCGCCTAGGGGCCCGGGACTCACCCCCACCCCACGAAATTTTGGTAGGGGGAGTTTCAGGACGGCTTCGCGGATGTCAAGCGAAAAGCTCTCTCTTTTTTCTTTCTTGCTTTTTACAGGCACGTTGGTACGAGTTATGTATATGCACATCATGGCCCACCGGTTTCAGTCCATAGCCTCCAGATTTGACACAGATGTAGTTTTCACATGCAAATTGAGGCTGGGAGACCTGTGCAAGTCGGTAAAGAGCTAACAGGCTGCAAGACTGGGCAAAACATTCCATGTCCTGCGGCGCTGAATGCATCGGTCAAACGGGTCGGCATCACAGACAAGTAGAGGACGCCGCACCGAACAGTCAGCGCTTGATAGACACGCAAAGACGGGAATGTCGCGGCTGCTCTTCCGACCTTGCCCACACGACGACGCTGGGAAATCTTCGTGACCGCGTCGGGAAGGAGAGAAGCCTTTCGAATGGTGACGAGCCCGCAAATCATAGGCTCATCGCCTCTTTTGCTCCAAACGACCTCGACTAATGCCCTTTTATCCCTAAATCCCCCTTTTACCCACTTTTTTCCAATGCATGGAAGTCATGGCATCAACAAACACCCCCCCCCCCAAAAAAAAAAAAAAAAAAAAAGATTTTTGTTATGGGTTTAAGGGGAAGGCCACGTGACCAGAGGGATAGGCGAGGAGGAGCTCGACCACCTGTGCGCACTGAGGGAGAGGAGCTGATAGTATGGAATAAAGTCACTGGTCTTAAAAGCTCTGCAAAAGTATGTCGAAGACACCGGACTGATCGATCAACTTTGAGTGTGTGCGTTTGTGTGTTGTGTTTATGTGCGCGTGACTTACCCTTGTTCTAATCGTCTTTATTCCCCTCTACCCTTCCCCACGGAGTAGCCAGCCAGAGAAAGCACGAACTCCGGCTTACCTCTCCATGCTTCAATAAATATCTATCGATCTATCTCGCGCCACTGCCTTCCCACCTTCTAGCCGGACACAAACAAATACCAACATACAGACAACAAAACCTCTCAAGTTGATTGGCTCATCACTTTCGGTTGCCGTGGTGATCGCCATTTTAGACCCTTTCATAGCTTCGAAAGCGTCGTCAAAACCAGTGGCACCAAGATCGCTATGGAGCATCATCGTACTGAAAGCGTTCCCTGGCCAATATTAGCGTCTTTGGCACTGTGCATGCAATAAACTGATCCCTCGTGCTTATTTCCCCAGATCTCTTACAATTATGTTGCTCTTCTTGGGTGTCCCAAGAGAGCAAAATTATTTTTCAATACCTCGAAGCACTGACGTTGCGTGTGATGGCGGTACGAAGATGTAAGATCGAGTAAAGTTTGGAGCCAGTCCAAGGATACGAGGGCCCGGCAGAACAGATGGACAGCACTGGCAGGTGGCGTGCGGCGTCGAGTCTGACGAGAACCGAAGTCACCGAAAAGCGGAGGAAGCGAGGAGGAAAATCGCGATGTCGGCTTGGCCGGGACTGCCGGACGCTTCAATTTCCACGACTTTTTGACGGAGTCGAGTCGCCTCACGATTTTGGTAGTATCCTGTTTGGACAGAGGGGGTGTGCGAGCAGGATACTTCAGAAATCATGAGGCGACACATCTCCGTGCTATGTCGTGCAGCAGTCCGGTTCCGTCCGTTTTTTTTTTTTTTAATCAATGTTTGTTTGTGTTTTTTTACGGGGGCCTTGAGCATGCTCATCACGTTGGTCCGGACAGCCCTTTAGCGCTAGTATCGCTTCATTCTAGGAACAACTAACAAGTGTACACATGGTACGCGTTAAACTATCCAATGAAGATCGCCGTGAACGTAGGCGTATGGAAACTCGGACTGTGCTTTGTTTAAATTTTTAAATATATATATATATATATATATATATATATATATATATATATATATATATATATATATATATATATATATTATTTTACATTTGTTGTAATACATCAACAAATAAAAACATGCGCCACATTTCAGCTTAAATGTGTGAAAACCCTGTAGAAATAAGTTGTGCCCGTTTTTTTCTTTAAATCTTTTATTTTGAAAACGTTTAGCTTAGTTGTGCTCTGCAGGCTTCAGGCACACCGACGATTGTCCTTGCGGCCTGCTCTCGGCAAACTACAAACGGTTTCTAGGCCGCGCCGAATTTGCGAGACAAAAAATAACCGTGGCCTTTGACCTCGAGCCCAGTTTGCGAGTCGCCTCTCGGCAAGATCATGGGAAGACAAAAGCGACCCGCTAGCCCGTCTCTGCCTGACAGTCGGTGTCCATGTGTGCGTCCGTGCGTGTACGCATGATCTTCTCGTTTTCCTTTTGCGCCCTGTATTGCTTGCAAGGGAACGCCATGTCGCTGACGAACAAAGTGGGAAGTAGGAAGAAAGCTCAACGCGTCGATTTTCTCAAAAGAGCGCCGCTTTTTGCTCATGTTCAGTCTCATCGAAATCTTGTATGTTTGATTATTATTTTATTTTAGCACGAAATAAATGCACACGGAAATGAGAGATGAACAGTAAATAAGATAGTACTTTCGGGATTACTTTTGCGGGAAAGGTTTGATGTAAATCATCTTCAGTTTCGCGGAGCTTTCAGTCGGGATCACTGCAACTGGAGCGGTGATCCTGAAGGAAGTTAACCGCCACGATACCAGAAACGTGCTCGGCGCGAAACTACGGAGGCGGGCTGGTTAAGAAACACCATAATCTAAACGCTAAAACAAGGAGAGAGAAAATAACGGACAAGACGAGACAAAATCTCGAACGCAGCTGATTTCACTCGCAAGGGGACAACAATAAACTCCGCTGCGTTTGCGATTTTGTGTCGTCTTGTCTGTTAAAAAAAAAAAAAATTTTAAGTCTCCTTGTCTCAGGGTTTAGATTATAACGTGCTCGGCCGTGGGTAAAATAAGAGCAAAAAGACCTAGTTCAATGCTATCGTTGCTCTACTCTCGAATAACTTTGTTTCCTAATAGAGTAAGCGGAATCAGCAGCAAAAGGTAAGCAGCCCGGCCCGGATAGGGAGCCTTCACATGGAAGGCACTCTAGGCCCGGACACACGTCTATGAAGAGCTTATCGGCACGGGACAAAAGGCGAAAGCTGGAACGCGTGGCCTTGACAAAAACAAGCGCCGCGCGGTGATTCCCATGGCAACAGCCCAGGACGCTGCGATGTGGACCTATGCCAAGCCGCCACGTCAAAGCGTCCGCCCAAGATGCCATGGAAACTGCAAAGCAGCGCCCGTGTTTTTCGTCCATGTGTTCCTTGCTCTAGCGGCCTGCGATGCATGCTGCTCCATTTGAAGCCTGATAAAACAGTGGAGAGGTGCTGTGACACCGCGCAACACTCTCGCAGCACCTTTTCCGCTCCGCTGTTTTTATTAGCATCCAGGTAGAGCAGCATGTATCAAGGGCCACGCGTTCTGCCGTTCGCATTTATTCCGTACACCACAACAGATGCAAAAGCAGCAGTGTCATGCTGAATGCCACTCGACCTAAATCTTTCATCACGGAATTCGGACGATTCCCAAACTAATATCTTTCAACCATCAACGGGCGTCCCAACTACTAGCCGCGTAGACCCAGAAAAGTAGCTGGGCTCAGTAGCCTGGGTGAGGTCTCTGTAGATGACAACAAGTGTAATACGCTAATCTGTGAGTCAGGCACGTAGCCAGGATTTTGTTTGGGGGGGGGGGGGGGGGGGGGGGCGCCCATGACAAAATGCTGTATGAGGGGGGAGGGGGGAGGAGGGTCCCAGCAAAATCGAAGATTTCGGGGGAGGCCCAGGCCCCATAGGCCGCCCCCCTGGCTACGTGCCTGGTATGAGTACAAGGTAAAATGTACAGACACAAATGTGTACAGAAAGAAAAAAAAAAAACAAAAAAAAACTGCAATAGAGGTATTAATAACTAAAAGAACACTCGAGAACCATGAGTTTGCAGGTGATTTACAAAACGCTAACTGGTACCATCTGATAATGACAAAAGGAAGGAAGGAAATGAGTGGTTTTACTTGAAATTCGTCTGATGACACAATACTTAATCAGGCGAGATTAGTATGCTTTCTGGACGTGACAACAAGGTATCTTTAAGATCTGGATAACGGCCTTACTATATATTGTAAAAAAAAAAACTGAAAAAAAAAAACCTCGTTTACTGTTATGCAGCTATGTTAGCTCTACTCTTGAAGAACTTTGTTTCCTGATAGACCCCTCTAAAAAAAATCTTGCAACAGCGAAAATCCGCTAAACGAGTTCAGCAACATTGGGCGGACGACGCCATGGTGAAGGACTCCGTTGCGGCCGGTACAGTTGTTCTACACTGCGATGTTTTTGCGTTTCCTCGAACCCTTCGCCTCTGTATGACTGCAGGTAGCGTTTTCCCTATCATGGGTGGGGGTAAACGACATTTCCCAACTACCAGCTGTTAAAGATGACGAGGTACATTGCTTTTACAAGAGCCGACAAAAGCTAGAAGTAGAAACTTACCTCGAATACGTATTTTAGCTTTTTTTTTTTTTTTAGACCACCTATGATACCCCTTGTCCCAGAGGAACTTTGACGTGCTAAAGGCAAACCCCCTTTTTTCAGTAGTACTAGATTTTGAAGCAGACTGAAGTGGACTCTCCTCAGGACCTTTGACCTTGTGCTCTCATAAAGTTTAATTATAAAACTCTGTCTTTTTTTTGCTGTTAATTTTGTCGCTGTGACTTCGAAATTCAGAGTTTTTCTGATAAATCCGAAGTGACGGAAAATTTGCCGGCGAGTGTTATTCGGATTTTTTTTTTCGAAAACACAGAACTTCAGTTGATGTTTACTGTCGAAATTTTGTTATATACGACACAATCACCTGCAAAAAGTCGTATTAGAGGAAAAAAGGTGCAAGAAATATTGTTGATAAATATTAAAAGAAGACATAGTGACCCAAGGATGGAACCTTGTAGTACTCTCGAGGTGACATTTGTTAGGTTTGCTGTATACTGAACGCGAGCTAAGCCAAAACTTTTACTTCTACATCAAACAGAAAGTTTGGCACGAGCCGAGAAAAATGTGCAGATGCACGTGACCCTTTGGACTGCCCTAGTGGCACTAGACTGCCCGAGTACAGCGTAGCCCGAGCAAAGCTGCATGCCAGGAGCACGGAGGCCAGGCCATGGACAAACTCGCGCACTAACCACCGAGCGCGACAGCAGGAACCACGTGATCCTTGTATTTTTTTGCCATTCTCGCACAGATGACGGGCTGTTGTGACAGCGCGCCACAAAACAGGCACAAAAACGGCATCAGCGCTTTTTTGTGTGTGTGTGTGTGTTTGTGTGTGCGCGCGTGCGTGCGTGCGTGCAGGCACTCACTTGATCGAATGACGTTTTAGCGAACGCTCTTGTTTTACCGAGGGACAACTTAGCGAATAGTCATGAGAGCATTCCGTGTCTTGCGAGACAGATCTTGTTCGCGCCCTGCACAGTGAACCGCACGAGTGACGCGAGAAGCGGCGCGTTTGTGCTGTGTCGAGCTGTGCATGCGAATGTGCGTTTCGCTTGTCCTTCCCAGTGTGGCTCGTGAGCTCTCCACGCTAAGGAGGACCCGCGGCTCACCTCCGCTTGGCGGTGGTCTTCTCGGTGCGGTCCATGGCGGAGTCCACGCAGGCCGTCAGCTCGGTCCAGTCGGCATGGAGCCCGCACTTCCAGCCCGTCGAGTAGCGGCTGAACAGCCACCACTTGCCGCTCGAGTTGGGCCGGTTGCAGCGGCAGCGCTTGCGCCCGCGTTGGCACTCGCACGGCTTCTCCAGGTCCAGGTCGTGCACAAGGTGCCGCCCGAACACCGTGCCGCCCGTCTTCTGGATGTGCAGGAACACCATCACGTCGGAGCCCTTCATGTCGAACTCGAAGTCGTCGCCGAGCATGTCGTCGAAGGACAGCTTGTTGCGCCTGTCCGACCGCAGCGGCTGGGAAAGGAAGGACAGCGGTCCGCCCATGCTGTCCCGCGAGCCGCGGCCGACAAGGCCCAGCTTGCCCGCGCTGCACACGCTCTGGGGACACAGGTAGCCGATGGCCAGCAGGGAGATGAGCGTGAGGAGCGCCAGGGCCAACAGCACGGCCTTCATGCAGAGCCGACCTCCGCTCTCCATGCCCATGGCCCGTCCGCTGGCATCACCGCCGTACCGCTGGGGCGGCCGCCGTCATCGTCGACGGGGTCCGGTGCCGACATCGCCCACGCATGCTGACCGACACTGCGGCTGTCCGCGCACGAGCGGAGCGGGGTTGGCGGAGTCTTGCGCTTCGAGGATGTTGTTGTTACACGCGGAGGCGACGGAGGCTGCGAAGAAAGCAGCTTGCCAGCGCCAGACAAACAGACATCGCGGAAACGGCGGAAACTTTGTGACTTTGTTTTGCTTTTTTCTTTTGCTTTTTGTTTTGAAGGTCTGCCCAATGTTGCCGGAGATAATGTGCGTAGTGGTTGTTGTTAGCGAAGCGGTTCAGTCATGAAATCACCGTGTTTTCTTTATTTTTAATATTCTGACGGTAACTTTCTTTAGGGTTGTTTTAAGATTGTTAACTTGTTTTATTTTGCCTTTTTGATTCAAAAGTGAAAAAGAAAAAGGAATATCTTGAACCGTTTTTACAACGAGGTAGTGTTCCAGCTTTTAGCAACGAGGTTTTTAGGGAGCGCGTCGAGCGCGTTAGAGTGCCTTCATGCACACGCGCGCTTTTGCTTGAGTGGTGACATCTCAGCCATTTTTCCGCCCAATCGTTTTTTTATGCATTTTGAAGTGCGCGCAATCCGGTGTCACTCAGCTCGAGCGCGTAGCTCTGGCTGATGCATAGACGCCATCTTACCGCCCAAGTCACGCACCGAGCGCGCGAGAGCGTCACGCGCTGGCACATTCCGGACAACAATGGATGTCTTCACCCTGAGACAGACAGACATCTAGGCACCCTAGAGCGCGTTGGAAAGAAGTGGCACCTAGTGGCACTAGAAACAGTTACACAGAGAACACGGCCAAAACCACTGATCTGATCAGTGTTCCGAACCACATCAGTGTTCCAAACGTTGCAGGCAGCGAACCTCCAAAGTTGCGTCCGGGAAGGGAAAAGGGGGGGAGAGGGAGGGCAGGAAGTCGAAACAAAGTGCACCCACTGTTTTCTCATTAATGACAACCCAAAACATTAAAAAAAAAAAAAAAAAAAAAAAGGAGAGAGAGAGAGGGGGGGGGGGGGGGGGGGTGTTTCGGTTTCAGACGGTTTCGGTGCGCACTCACCAAACTTCGCCGATATCTTCAAATCTCTCGTCCTAGGAGCTTTGGCCAGCCACTTTGGCGACCAGGTTGAAACAAAACCAACTAGAGGTATTTAATTCAATAAGCTGCAAGGTTTTGCATTTATTCTTTAAGCATAAAATAGTCACTAACCTGTAATAATAATAATAAAGCGTTAGAAATTATGGTCAGTGCACAGGAGAACTGGTGGAAGCTTACCATGACGATTTTAACCCGAGACGGGCAGGAGGAAAAAAAATTTTCTAGTTGAAGAGAACGTAGCATGGACAGTGTCTCTACAGACAGCATTGTTTGTCACTGTTACGTTCTCTTCACCTGTAAAAAAAATGTCCACCTTCTGTCCCAGTCTCGGCCGTTAAAATCATCACGGTAAAAATACTGTATTCTGTAATATATAGAACTGCTACAACAAATCGTTTGATTTGTTAGAACAATGCAGCGATCACAAATGCGGCATTTTATTTGTAAGCGCTTTCTTTAATTTTATTTGAGCAATACAGCAGTTCTGAACTGAAAATGCTTTCAAGAAATTCAGTATAGTTAAAACTTGCTCGTGACCTCGAAAAACTTTTGGGAACTACCCATACACATCCACGGGATACAAGCTTACCTGTTTTACAGTAGCCTTCTTCCATATTCAACATTGTTTCACCAAATGCGCACCCTTTGCAGCACTCCTCGTGGGTTTTGAGGGAAACCAATAAATGAAATATTTTTGGCGACGCTGATCAGCATACTAGTCTTCAGACCATCCAAAAAAACTTTTTAGAAAAAAAAAAATAAGAAAAGGCTGTAAGCACCCATCTCCGCACGACAAACGTAAAGCTAATAAAAGGCTCAACATCCTCTTCAGACTTGCCTGTGTAGATCCACCCACGATTTTTCACTTTAGCAGAGCAAACACTGGAGAGGTGACCTAATGTCCAGCGTCCGGCCTGCTAAAGCGGAAGACCATAGATAACAATGCCTTAGTGATAGCTACCGCAAGGCGGTTAACAGGTTAGAAACAAGTGCAGCGTTAGCATTTGGCAGGATGTCACAAGTACTAGTCAAACGTTGATGCAGCAGCTCTGTCCAATCTGTACCCTGCACCAGCTTCCCGAAGGCGACACAGAAAATCCAGCACTACGGTCTTGTTAACCAAGAGCTGTTACTTCAGCGACACATCGAAAACCCGAAGAGTAAGCTAGAAACGGCGGTCAGGCGAGTGTGCAGACATGTTTCCGTACAAAACGTTTATTAAAAGACTCGGAAATAATTTACAGCAACAAACAGAATGCTTCAAACGTCCAGCGTTTCACACACACACTCTTGCACTTAAAAGCAAAAGTCTGACATAATGTTAAAATCGAGTCTGGCAGGGGCAATCTCAACACTGCATCGATGTGCCTGCCACCCCTCCACGTCCGAGGACCCCAAAGTCGCTCTCGTGGCGAGGAGCGTCTTGTCTTTCACAGGGCTCAATACCTGAAGATGACCATTGTCACCAGTCCTGCGGCAAAAGAAGGGAACAAAGCAGGAGCCGTCAGGAATTTCAAACTCTGTCATTCTGCAGGGTGACGCCTTAGGGTCGAGGGACGTCTAAACAAGTGATGCGGTACCTTCACGACCTTCCACCTTCGAAGAACGAAGATTGCAACCCAGTCTTTTTTTTTGGAAGAAGTTCCTAGATCTTACAAAATAGTACCGAACATGTGCTCCAAATTAAAGAATCAATAAGAAATATGCAAGAGAGACCAAAAGAGACAAAGAAAGTTGTTCTAGTCCCATCCTCATATCTTTTTGTGTCTCTGCCAAGTGTGTTGTCACTTATTCATGACTCCAGCTAAACAGACAGCATCTAGCAAGAAAAGACTAAACTGGCTGGAACGGGCCCTTTCGCGACTTCTGCTAGTCTCTTGCGGCTTCTGCCATTGCATGTTGTTGGCGGCTGGCACGCTTCACAACTCCAGCCTGCCACTTTCCCTCTCGCGGACGAACGAAGAACCATAGGAGCAGGGACGGCAGCGGAAACGGTGGCAGGGACTGTCGGCGTTGGTGCTGCTGCTCTGGTCGGTCTGTTTGGTTTGCGGATCGTGCAGTTTTCACGGAAAAAACTAATGCGTTAAGAGAGAAACTGTTGAGGTCCACTTCATAACGGTGTTGTACAAAGGGACTGAAACATCTCATTTCATTAAGAATTTTTCGTAGATCGCATACGCTGTGGATTTCCGGTCCTATGGCTGCCAGCACAATCTGTGCTCAACGCGACGATAAAAGCTCTTGCTAGTAGTAGTCCGAAGCTCTAGCGTACGACCTACTAAAAGTTCATTCTTTCCGGAAAGTAGGAGGGAACTGCTTGCAAAACGGTGTGTCAGGAATGGGTTTGCATTTTATGCGCAGAAAGGCCGTGACAAGGAACACAACAGTTTTCTCCAAGCACTTCCAAAAGACAGACTACACATACCAGCTTTCAGTTAATTACGAAGGCAAATAAATGATTGTAGCATTTTCCAGCTCATCTGTGTGCCGATCGCAATGTGTGCTTAGAATGGGCAGTTTTGGCAAGGCGGGTCTCGATGATGCGAATAACATGGTACATGCAGCGGCGTAGACTTTCCATTTTCCCGGGGGTGAGGGGGGGGGGGGGGGGGGGGGGGGGCAGGCTGAGAAGTTCTTTTGGGGGGGGGGGGGGGCAAGGGGGCGGGGGGGACTGCACATTTTTTTTTTCGCCAGAACTGGAGATTGAAGCTAACGAAAGCACGCTGGGATTCCATTTCCCATGTATTTTGTCAATAAAGGCAATGTGGGGGTTATTTTGTTTACATGCCACTACTATAGAAGCTTGTTACAGGGCCCGGGGGGGGGGGGGGGGGAGCTCTGCCTCCCCCGGATCTCACAAGGGGGGGCACAAGCCCTGATGCCCCCCGAAGTCTACGCCTATGGGTACACGCGTGTAGTGTACTGTATATTTGAGTATGCCTTTTGGCCGAGTAATAAATAAAAACCCCATACACACCGGTGGTGTTATTATGCAGTTCTTGGATAGCATTACAGCAGGATACCGTAGGTACGGCAACGCTCTTGGCGATCACTGAAAATCGTGCTTCAAAGGTTGAGCGAAAAATTCTTGCCGCAATGCTTCGCCGTACAGTAGCCAGCGACTATGCTACATTAAAACTGCCTATTAGTTACTATGGCACAGCTTGATCACGTGTTACAATGCGCTAACACCGCGAAGGTGTGCGCCGAGCTGCGAGCCTCTGATGCGATGACATCAATACTGTGAATGCTACTGTACCGGAACTTGACAATCACCATGCGCGGCTCACGTTTTACATCACTGGCGGCCATGCACAGCACAAACACCACAATATTTTCACCACCCACAAAAGTATGTTGCCACACATAATATGACAGGCACCCCAAACACACTCGCCTTCCACAAAGCATCACAAAAGTAGTAACCCCAACTTGTAAAAAAACAACATGCTAGTTTTCCTAACGTATGGCACCATCTAGTCACCTGTGATATGCTCCTGCCCATTTCGGATTTGTAGCCAACTAAATTGTATTAAGCATACTCACCACAGTCAGCGAGCAGGCACATTTAAAATCTATCGCCCATCTCTACCGCCCCTCCATATAGGGCATTGGAGTTGCGATCAGTCACCGAAGTAAAGTATGAAATAAAGCAAGGGAAGTTGCATTGGTTGCGTCCAAAGCAATGAAAATGGCAGTAATAACAGGGCCACGGGGAAAATTATGACATATATATGGCCCAGCGTAAGGCAAACAGTCCAGTGCGGTACCCGTACCAGCCTGGAGTCTAATCTGCATCATGCACAAGTGATATACGACTGCACACTGGTACAACGCTCCTCCAGATCGAAGCGGGCAGGAATGGTGATTGAACCCAGGATTCCTGGGTTCTGCAGCGCGAGCTTTCGTTACACGTGCTCCAAGCTGTAGTGCGCCAATGCACTCGGCCACCGATCCCCCCGCCGTCATTTGTCGTTTCAGCGCATTGCCTAGGTTGCTTGGAATGCTTCCTATGGAACCATAAGGACCAGACTGTGTGTTTATCACCATTTAGCAGCGCTGCAAAAGGACAGTAGGTTGTCTTTCCATCACTTTCCTAAAGAAAGTAAAACCTCCGAAAGCATGCTTATGGCAACACATTGCCGCAGGTTTGGAACGTAGTGAATAAAAACCATATTGAGTGCGATGCTTGCCTGCCGAAACCAGAGTGTTGTGCGTTGAGCTGCCACATGGCACGGCACAACTCGTTTTCGATCGCCATATAGTGACGACCGCAATAGGTCGCTGGAGTCGCAAATACTGGCACACTGCTTTACTTACTGCAAAGGACCAAATAATTTGGAACTAATTTAAGAAGAAAACCTTTCTCATTTCTATTTACGAAACAAAAGTGGAAAAGCTCAGTTGGCTTACGTATGAGCTGTGCAACCTGGAAATTCCAAGAAGAACGCTTAGCTTTAATAGACATTTCAACATACGACACCATACTCTCCACATTACAACACAATTTGGGGAGTAGCATATACCGGGCTCACTCAATCTACCTGCACCAGCCTGCGCAGAAAAGCGTAAGACAATCTGTCCTTCCGGTTGTGTTTTCAGACACCCGTAAACCGAATACGCACGGAGAGCGCAGCTAAATCGAATGAGCCCACTGTTATCTGTTTCAGGAAACCAGATGAAACAAAAAAAACTACCCACACACCAGCAAACATGTACCATATAATCCCGAAAGGGCACCCACACCCACCAATATCTATTTCAGTCACTCTGCTGCTACGTCGCCCACCCTCCAGAAATAGCGATTCCCAAAAATTAAAAACGCGGAAGCAGACTTTTTTTTTTTTTTTCTTTTTTCTTTTGAAAGCCTTCTATTTTTTTTGCAAAGGGAAGGGGTCACATTATTGAGGATTGGAGTGCTAAGGGGGCAAAACCCGACAAAGGTTCAAGGTTACTCTTTCAGTACCCCCGCATCTAATTCTCCAAACTGATAACCGGAAAGAAAAACTAGGCTGGACTGACCTTGCCATCTCATTCCTCGATCTGCCAATGAACTGTGAACACGTTTCTCCTGCAATCTCAGGATGAGGTCACGCTGCACCATCCAGAACGAGGTGGAAATCGTAGAGTGGCACCGCAAAAACAGATTCAATGCGAGCGAGACTGCACGCCACTTCGAGGTTGACAGAGGGAATAGAACACAAAATACCAAATGTTCGTGCAGCAGTGCCATGGAAAGACCAAGCTGAAGAGAACGATGGGTGCTGGACGACCCGTTTTCAGTGAAGAAATGGACAACACATTAATGGACTTCCTGGAATAGAGAAACCAGATTCCCCAAGAGCACGCGCGACAGCTAGCGGCACAGGCAAGTCTGGGCAACGTTCGGGCATCGCACTAGTACATCGTTTGCAGGAAAAAGCGCTATGATATGTCCAGGAGTGTTAGGACAAAGGAAAGTCAAAAGCTGCCTGCTGACTACACTGAAGCGATTGCGGTCTTCAGAAAGGCTGTTTTGACTCTTTGCTAGGAGCATGATTATATGGATTACGACGCTGCCAATAAGGACCAGACTATCGTGCGGATGGACTGTCCAGCAACAAGAATGAACAACACTACCGGCGACTCAACTCTCCGAACCACCGAAACCGGCTGCGCCCGGTGAGGAATGACCGTGGCTTTGTGTGCAACGGCAGTGGGAGTCAAGTTTCCAGCAGTGATCGTGCCTAAGAGTCAACAGGCCGGATATGCCCCCCAGGGCACTATTTGCACTCGAAGATTCTAGGTATGTTGTTTTTAAACTTTCTCTGCTGTAGATACAGGGAGCTACGTGCTTAGAACTACGCAAGACAAAAACAAACTATAAAACCACCCCACCATAACTGCCCCTTCGACCTTGCAAAAACAAAATAGTCAGATTGTGGCGCTATTATGGCCTATTCGTCTGGGACACACTGCACCTGCCCAGTGCAGTAAACTCTTTCCACTTTAGTACACGAAAGACTGGTGGGGAGAGAAGGAAGCTCCCCTCTCCCCTCCAGCCTTCCGTGTACCACGAACCGCACTGCACCGATGCGATGAGGGCATCAGACGAATTGGCCACCAGTTACCCTAGCCACACTCATTTTGTCTTGCTTCACCATAGTCGCAAAAGCTGGCGTAGCCACCGCCCAATTTCAATGGTCAGGCGGTTAGGTACGCCCAGTGGGTAGGCTGCATTTATCCACCGGTCGTGTATGAGGCCTGTTGCCTTTGTGCTTTCTTATGGCAAGCGCTTTCGGAGGTCAATCAGTTCAAAGTTATCTATTAATTCTGTACCGGTACTCTTTTCAGGAAATGTGCGGGTTACCATCTAGAAATGGGTGGAAGAACTCTCCCGTCCTCTAAGAGTGGATATGTAGGGCCTGGGGCCCGAATGTTGACAACGTGAGAAGGTTCCTCGTGCCGGACCAGGCGCCGATTCATAAAACTGAGGCTGCTCGAGAAGCTCTCTACGTCAGGCACGCGGACCTGGCCCTGATACCAGGCGGCTGCACATCAACACTGCAACCCGACATTAGCGGATAAAACCGTTCAAAGATGTTTTCCGCGGACGCTAGGCCGTGTTTTTCCGGGCGGGCGAGCCGACCCCCAAGGGAAATCCAAAGAGGCCGTCTAGGCAGAACGTAGTAGACTTTGTGGCTGAGGCGTGGGCCTTCCTCTTCGAGGACACTGTGCGATGGTCCTACGAGAGGTGCGGCCTTTCGAGGAGCCTCGATGGAACGGAGGATGGTGAACTCAATGACTGTTTGGCGTTTTTGGACGATGCGGCGGAGGTGGGACCTGGGGAACAGGAGAGCCTGATGGACGAGGCCTTCGACTCGATTTTTGAGAGTTGCAGTGATGCGTTTCCTCCAATGGATTTAGCGACGAAGATTAGCGAGAATAAAGGCACAAGAAAATCTGCCATTTCTCGCATTTTTTTGGAGTTTGACTACCGAAACATGGCCCACCCCACTCTTTGCAACAATTATCTCTGGCGAAATGGTGGGCGCCCTTTCGAGATTTTATGGTAGACTCGCTCATAAATTCAAGCGCACGAAAAACACACTTGCGCAGCGGTGTGCCTAAATCTTCTGACTGCCTGTCTACCTCTGCACTGGTGTGTGGATCGTGCTTTACCAACTCTCCCCGTCTGCAGTATGAACAAAAAAGACAAGGTGCGTTAGACTCTGGCAGCAACGTACCGAGGATGTATGCCGCGATGAGCTTCTGGTTGAAGCTGACGTGGAGGTAGCGGGGAAGCTGGGAGGTACGGTCCCCATCCGTCGGAAGCATCAGTGCCAGCATGCACGTCACGGCTGCCGCAATCACCGTACTGCTCGGCGTCACGGGCGAACGGGCGGCTGCGCATGGGGACATGGGGTGGTGGCGCTGCAGTCACTCAAAGGATCCTCACTCCAAGGGCACGACACAGTCACGACTTACCTCACACTGGGGGCCAGAGGGTCCCCTAGTGGAACCAACAACATACAGTGCGCGTCCAAAAAAATAATTAGCGTTATCCCACCCCCCCCCTTAAATCTGCCCCCAATACCCAGTCATGTAGCTCCAATATGAAATATGGGCAATTAAAAAATAATAGAAATTTCAGATATAGAGGTGATTGCACAAACTGGCGACCGATCGCACAAAAAAAAACAAAAAAACGGAAAACAAAGGGACACCATAAAGAGGGACAAACACAAAATAGTCTCAAATGAGTTTGTCCCCTTTTTTAGCGACCCCTAGTCTCCAAGGTCTTTTTTCAGTATGAAAACATTTCAACCTCGAAAACTTTTAATAGCATAAGCGAGGATAAAAAAAGTCAACAAAGAAAAAAGGAGTGAAAGTTGCACTTAAAACAGAAACACCTAAGGGTGCTGCGGCAAGAGCAAAAGAAGGCTTCTTGCCCATACAGGAAGTTACGCCCAACAAGATTGCGACGGCTGCATTGAAAAGACGTGTGCATTTTGCAGAATTGCAACACAACTCCATTCCTTCTCATAACAAATGAAATCAGCGCCAGCTTACAAGCATCAATTTGCGCGGAGTGCCCAAACGCACCTCTGATTGGGACGGCGAGGTCCTGCTGCGGGGGGCAGCCCGCCCCTGCCCTGTTGCCGGACCGAGAGCGCTCCAAGCGCGCCGCCCCTTCGGGAAACTCTTCGTCACCGCTGGGACTGGCGTCCCGCACCCGCTGGGTGGGCAGCAGCGTCGCCTTCACGGTCCGGCAACCCATCAAGCTCCCTCCCCCTGGCAGGCTCATGTGCACCCGGATGTGGTCCGTGTGGCCGTAGTTGGCAGGGCACACCTCCCGATGGCGAATGGCACTGCAGACGGAGGGCGGGTAACCCCAGAAAGTTGTTGTCACGTGGCAATCGCCCGAAAAGCAGGCTGAAGCCACCGTCGTACGATAGACCTTGCCATTGTTTTCCTATTGCACAATAGAAAATTATTCTTAGGTGGTTTTCTGGGATAGAATTTTGTGAGGAACATGCCTGGTGGTTAGTTTCACTACTTTAACATTCTTTTATGCTAAAAAAAAAAAAAAAAAACATTTGTGAAAAACCGCAGACATGAAAAAAACATTTTAATCTTTTTATGAAGTTATACTTATGAAAAACAATGCAATATAGCAAAATAACTGGCTGGGTATGTGCTATTCTTATGACTATATTATACATAAAAATCAAAAAGTTTTATTTTATTTTAAGACAATAGTTTTTCTAAGTAAACACACTGACTTCCATATTGTAACATTCGTAACAAGTTTCAGAATTGACGTAGGACAATGAAATTTCGCAGGAATTGTCTTGCCACTCATATAAACTTCCACTGCAAATTTGATTGAAATCAAGTGGTACAGAAGTGTCCCCCCTTAACTCCTTCTCTCCTACCGCAGCGAGAACACCAAGAAAACCGTGCGATCACATCCTAACGCCGATACATACCCCGTTTTATTAATGTCCCACTTTCTTTACGCTCTGAAATTGAGAAAGAGTAAACAAACAGGAACCACCCCTATCCATTCCTTCATGCGTTGTATGTTGGATTGCCATAGTGCATCGAAGAGACGATGGGAGGCGCCGCATATTTCCGGTCTATTCAATCCAATCTGCCTCGTGGCAAGTGAGGAACTAGAATTACTTGAGAGCTATGTTCGGAACATCGGTGCCATCTCCCTCAGTCTAATGTCGCCAAGATGGACATCTGTCCATTCGTGTAAAATGACAATTGTTTATTCGACACTGTCATTCCATGCCAAAGGAGACGCGTCAATGTTTTCATGTCTGGGATGTTTAATAAAAAAATAATTTGGATAAAAAAGCCTCTGGACTCCAAACTCGGGAAGCAGACGATGCAGGCCTGCGTACGTCGGCAATTACCTGGACAGAAGTAGAGTAAAATTAAGACGCCAGTATCATTACATAATGTAAAGAGGATACGGATGCATGGAAGTCACAATAACACCCCCTTTAACTAAATAAAACAAGCTTTCAGGAGAGCGTTGAAGACCTTGCAGCGACATCTCACACCGTTGAAGCCTTGCTGGCGAATGCCGGCGTGCATTGCTCACGAGGTGGGCGCCTAGTGGAGGCATGATCGGAGGCACTCATCTTTAAAAATACGGTAAATGAATGAAGCAGATTGAACCTTCGGTTATTTCAAAAATTCCGGGCACTTTAAAAATATGGCAAATAGATGAAGTAGATTGAACCTTAGGTTATTTCAAAAATTCCGGGGCACTGCTGCCCACATTACATTTTCAGGCTCTCAATATGGCTGTTTCTGCGTGAAGTGGAGATTGTCATTTAATTAAATGCAACAAAACGAGGCTTTGAAACTTTAACACATGCAATTCAATTGTTCGTGCTATGAAAACAAACAAAAAAAGTATTGTAGCCAACACCTAATCAAAGGTAACAAAAAAAATAAAGAAATCTCAGTCTTCGTTTTGAAGCTCCTATGTGGCGTCTTTCAGGGTTTGCATTTTAGTGTAAGATAGGGCCTATTAGTAAATAATTAGGCGCCCACTTAAATTTCTGTGGTATGCAACAGCTTTTTTTCACAATGTTTTTCTTAACTACATGGGTTTTATGCAAATGGCAGAAATTTAAAGCATGATATCAGAAAAAAATAAAATTCATTTCTTCACAAAAAAAAAAAAAACTTTTCTTTGAGTGCAGAGACATCATTCTCCAAATGAATTTTTTTCTACATATCCCGGACATAAGAGAAATTGCAGCGTCTCCTTTGGCATGGAATGATGCAACAGTGGGTTGTGGTCAACACCCTTTTGTTGTCTAAAGCTGTATGGGCGGTGCTGGTGACTCTTAGGGTATGAAAATGACACATACCTGGTATTAGCAAACCCCAGGGATGTTGGCAAAAGCCCCGGGGATGTGGACAATGGACGAAACTGATCTTGCGAAACAATGTTTCTTAGGTGACTCGGACTCCACTTTGAGGCATCGCTCATTTACGGTGGAACAGACTGGGCCTAGATTCGCCAAACAAGCTGCGCTGAAGAGTAGTGCCAAAGAGGCCTCGTTGCAAGGTGCTCTCTCAAACTGGCGGGTCCTCTAAAAGCGGGGCCAACAATGCAAAGGGCCAGATTTGAGACGAAGATCTGTCACCAGCAGTGTCCACGTAAGGAAACAGTGGCGATACCCAGAACCAGCTGACATGCAGAGCACTGCAAGTGCAGACAGGAACAAACGACTGGAAGTCTCCCTTGAGTGAAGGGAAAGGCGTATACCCATCCCTTTCTAGTCACATGACCTAATCATGTTATTACGAAGCAAAGTCGCCCCGCAAGGGGCAGACTCGCGTGAAGAGTCGCACGCCTCAAAGCTAAGAGGTGCCTGTGTAGATGGAGGAGGGGAACTTCTCACTCACATATCTACGAGGCATTTTGGACTGATGACTCCAGAAGGGTCCACCACGGTGTACCTGCCAGGAGCATTGGACAGCACTGCACGGGAAAAAGGAGGGTTGACGTCCCCAGTCCAAAGAAGGAAATCACAGTCTCATTTAGAGGCTATTCTACTCAAGTCAGGAAGAGGAAATTTCAGAGTCAGTCTGTAAAACATCGTAAAACTCAAAAACACAAAGACGAGGGTAGACAAAAATGGGAGAAGCATGGCACTGTCTCGGACATAAATAATTAAATATATTAATTTGCGAGCAAAACATTGAGGAACGGAACTTTTATTGTGATGTCCCCACTCCTTTTTTATCACATATAAAGAAAAACACCAAATATTGCTGGGGGGGTATTTTTGTATAAAATAGTAGAATGTTCTTCAGAGTTAATTTTTTACTGAAAGTTTGGAGTTTTTTTAGTTTAGTGTCATTGGCCTTGGCAGAGAACAGTCATTTGCCAGTTACTAGTAAAGCAGCCCAGTCCTAGACAACACAAAGAGAGATGAAACTCTCACCATATAAATTTATTTGTTGGAAATATGCATACTGTTACTTCAATGCACTCATTTCTCTTGAGATCTGCCCTTCTTGGGATTCGAACGAAGTGACCCGGACAAAATGGTAAAGTTGGCGGCACTGTTTTCTAGTTTTTTGGAGATTTGTGGACAGCTTGTACTTTATAAACAATAAATGTATACAGATGTAGACTTGTAGCACAAACAGACAATCTCTAGAGCTTCTGTCGTCAACATAGATGAAAAGCAATTAAACTCGCAAATTGTAGGGGGGAGGGTGGTTTCCTGGCTTCCGTCAGGCATGCCTTAAGCTTTATCTCTGCCCCCCTATGCAAGTATTCTGCAAAATAATAATAATAATAATAATAATAAAAATAAACGCCAAGAAAAGGTGGTTGGAAAAAAGCAAATCAACTTCAAAGAAAGGAAAATGTCCAGGAGGAAGGTTCCAAGTGGAGGGGGTAGGGAAAGCGAGACTCATGTCGTAGGAAGGTTACTTCCTCCTTTTGATTAAGGGTCACAGAAGATTCTTTTGCAACTTTTGGGGGAAAAAAGTAATGAAAAGAAAAAGTTGTTTGAGTGCTTTCAAGGAAGAGGTCGACCAGAGCACTCACCCTTGAAGCTGACTTCAAACTCGTAGGGGTTGTAGAGGGTGAGCACCTGCTTGTGGGACTCTTGGCGGTCTGCGCAGAAGGTCAGCTCGCTGGGGAACACGAAGACCAGCAGGTCGCCGCCCTTGGCCCTGCCACTCCTGGCCGCCGACATCAGGAACCCCGGCCCTTGGACGTCCACCAAGCCCCAGGCCTCGAGCCGCCGAGGGACCACACGCCCTGCCGGGAAATGGATAGACCGTCCTCATCACCATCATCCGACAATTCTTTAGAGTAAGCTCAATGCGTTTTCTTAAATGCAGTGCTTGCTTTCCACTGGTGCTGAAAGGCGTTGCGAGAAATAGCTGTGTAAAATCGGCTGTAGCGAACAATGGAGGCAAAGTAGCTGAGACATAATAAATGGGCAGAAAATATACAAGCATACTTTTTGTGTATTAAGGTCATAAACTGCACAGAAAAAAAAACTTCAGACAAACTATAACCACTAGCAAGTACAGTGCAGAGGCCTTGCATGATCAACACAAACAGACAAGCTGCAAGTGGTTATGCTATCTTACTTACTGTCCTTGGAGACACCTGTTTCTGGCATTGAGACCAAAGCTATGGGTACTCGCACACCTTGACGCCGATTAAAGCTCCTAGATTAGGCAATTAAGCCAGTCATCTTTTTTTGTCTATTCATTATTTTGTGTACAATGACAGAAAAGAACAACATGCTCCAGCTCTTCCGCGTCACATTCCACGCGCATGTGCAATTTCAAAGCCCGACAAAAAAAAACCCGAAAAAAGAAAAAGAAAAAACGAGTTTATATTTGACAACAATATACCACCGACCTACAGCTGAAGATCGAAACGCGCAGCATCATGCCACTATCTAATCTTCGCCGATATCTAAACCGTCTCACCTGTGTTCTTGCACACGTTGAGGTAAATTTTGTCCTCCGCCGAGGTAGAACTGCCTGCTTCTGCCGCTGAACCCGTCGCCATGCATAACCACTAGTCGATCTGGCTCCAGCCGCTGACGCGAACGAAGTGAGCGCAGCGTGTATTTTCCACGGCTCGGAACAACACCAGCCCTCGAGCGTGCTATTCTAATCTGTCCTTCTAGCGATAAGCCGTATTTCGGGACAGCCAGATGAGATGTGGCATTGAACAGGGGCTTAACCTTGGCCTACCGAACTCTTTCATGGCCAACCTCGGATAAGCCCCAGGCGCAAGGCCGTCCGGGATTTTCTCTCTTGTCCCCTCTGGCTAAACTGCAACCCACAGAAAACAGCTCCAAGTCTGTCAAAAGTTGGAAGCATGATCGCAAAGGAGCGAATCTCTGGGTCAAGGTCCTCTGGTCGCTTGGCTGGGGGCGAAAGAGCAGACGACACTGTGGGGGCGTGGGGGAAGCCAACGGTGGGAAGCGTCGTACCTGACGGCGCTATTTTTGCGTGTTCGGAGCGAATCGGACAAAACGGCTCCGGGCAATTACCTTGGGAGCGATCCACGGGGCTGCGGTTTCGCTACCGTTATACGCGAATATCTTTTTTCTTTCTTTTGTTATAAAAGTGGAATGCGATTTTAATTACATTGTAATAGACATATTCCTCCATGCGGATATGTAGAACACAAACAAAAAGTCAGTGCGACAAGATTATTTCGACATTCCAACGGTTGCACAAAGGACAGCCTAGAGTGATTGTGCAAGTACTAGAGACAGTTTCTTCGTGTGTGCACGAAACATGTCGCTAGCTACGAAATAAAAATATATATATGTAAGCTAAGCGATTTTTCACCTAGAGCCTATGGGCTCGGAAATGCCTCTAGGATCGGAAATAAATCACGCGCTGCGCCTGAAACAATGGGCATCTGTCTTTCGTCGTTCAGACTTCATTCCGTATGCCGAGATATGTGAAGGAGGTAGACTTACCAATCCCATCGAAGAAAGGGGAAGATGCAATAAGTACCTGTCCAAGTAACGTTACATTCAAAGAAGGCTCCGCATTTGAAGCCAAAGACGGAACTTTTTGTAGTGCGAATGACGAGGAAACTCCGACTGTTGCTGAAGCAAACAGCTGACACAAGGCGGAAGTTGCGGAAGTGAAAACGTCGAAACGTTTGAATAAATAGATAAATAAACAAACATGGCTGGAATATTGCAATCAGGCGGCGTGCTGCGTCACCTGGTAGGCGTATTCGGAAAGACACGAAGCGCCGCCTGGTGATGTGGGAGCAGGGTCGCAGGGTGTGGGGGGTGTGGGAGACTTCGTCGCAAAGCCGCAAATGCAATAGGAAGGCCTCAAGTTCAACAGCCGTGGACTTCAAAAGTGAACCTTTTTATTTTGTTACGGAATCAGAGGTACTCTTTCGGAGTACCCGCCCTGATCTAAGAGGGTTTGGGTTCACCTGACTTACTAATTTATTATGGGCGACGAAGAAAAATAAAACATTTGAACTTGCGAATTTAAAATATCACAACGATCACAACACTCACAGTAACATCTCCACATGTCCTCTTATTTCTAAAGAAAAAAACTCACTAGATGGCGCAGGCTACCGCCCATAAGGTTTTGCCGTACCACTGACCACAATCACTGTAGTCGTTGTGCTTCGTTGTGCTTGGCTGCAACAACACTGTAGCACAACAATCGTTGTGCTACAGTGTTGTTGTGGCAAACCTACCTCGTTGTGCCAAACCAACTGCCAAACCCAGAACCAAACTGACCAAACTACCTGAACAAACCCCAAACCCTGACCAAACGGACCAAACCAGACCAAACCCAGAGCCTCTGACCAAACCCAGAGCCGTATATGTAGAGAGTTTGGCCATTCGTTGGGAAGTATAGGAGACAAATGAAGCGGCGCCATTGGCCGAAAGCGGGCTGGGCGTGTTCCCAGGGCGTCTTCAGAAATTCGAATGTGACCAACCAGAAGCCGGAAATAATACCCTGGCGGTGGTCGCGAGAAACAAACCTGATAACTGCATTGGAGTAACTTTCGATGGCTGAAAATATGGTACACGTGATGTTTCAATCACACTCATCTAAAATGATGGTGGAAGAGTGCGACACAATCCTTAAAAGGAAGATCGACACAATCCTTAAAAGGAAGATCGACACAATCCTTACGCCAAACGCCGAGCGCCGGGAATCTGCCGTCAGAGCGGTCACACTCTGTCCGCGCAAAACAGAGTTGAGCGGCGCCTTCGTTTCTTACATCTTTCTGCATGATCATGATGAAACAACACGTGCACCCTATTTTCAACCACAAAGAGTTACTACACTTCACTCTTACGCACTTATTAAAACCATATACGAACAGAGACCTTCGATGATCGATCGGCTCAGAACTGTTTCTCGCTACCACCGCTAGGGGATTCTTTTCGGCTTCTGGTTGGTCAAGAGAGCATGCCAAGCCCTCTTTCCGAGTCTGCCGCACACCCTGGCTCTGCCCGCGCCTCCCATTGACCAAACTCTCCACATATACGGCTCTGACCAAACCAACCAAACCTTCATCGTCCATTCATAACATCCGGTAACTTTCGGTTCTTCCGGTCCTTTCATCCGTCTCACAAAATGGCGTCTGGCACAACGTTCCTCTTGCGCATATCAGAATGATCGCCGTACGTCGTCTTTATTCGTGATAACATCATCCCGAAACAGCTTAGGTGGCTTAGGGGTCAAGCACCGAAAGCCACAAGCAATTATGAACAGCGAACCATCCAGACCCACGGCCCTCGCGTCTCTCACGGAGACGTATACAGACTCCGAAGGCGAGCTCGACTCCGACTCGGACAGCAATGAACCGCCCGCGCCGGCGCCGCGTCCCATCGAGCCCAAACCGCCGAGCATCGACAGCACTCCCAGCTCCCAAAACGGCGTGCCTTTGGTCTCTTACCGCGCCGAAGAAGACGACGACGACTTCGGCGAGGATGTGATCGTAGCCGACGAAGACTCCATCAGCGACCTTCTGTCCGACGTCGGGCGGCCGGCTGAGCCTCGCACCCCTGTGCGGCCAGAGTCCCCGGTGTCGTTCCACCGGTGCCTGCTGGACCACGGCCCGAACAGGCTGTTCCTGCCGCCGGAGCCTCCGGGCCGCTGCTCGCAGACGCTGCAAGACAAAATCTCGAAGCTGTACGAGCGCAAGCTGCGTGACGGCAAGGACATGAACGCGTCGATCCAGACGCGTAAAGACTTCAGGAACCCGAGCATCTACGAGAAGCTGATCGCGTACTGCGGCATCGACGAGATGGGCACCAACTACCCGCCCGAAGTGTACGACCCGCACTGCTGGGGCCCGTCGTCCTACTACGAGGAGCTGAGCAAGCGCCAGAAAGAGGAAATGGACAGGCGCGAGAAGGAGAAGAAAACCAAGGTGCCTCTTCATCATCCTCCCGCCACCCTTAGTAACACGAGTGGCCCGCCGGCCGTCTCCTGGCTGCGCGCGCCGCAGGCCCAGGCCGCGCTCCGAACAAAGCCCACGCCCATCTTCTAAGCCCCCTAACGCCGCGGGATCCCGAAAGACGGTATCTCGAGAAACTCGCACGCGAACTGACTGGAACCGCCTTAACAGCGTTCACGTTTTTGCAGTAATCGTTGGAGGAGTCAGAACGGTGTCTCTGCGAGTGTGTAGCCCTCGAAGATAGCTTCGGCTGTGCATTAAGCGGGGTCTACAGCCCTTAACGAAGAATGGCAAGTATGGTGGCAGGACACAGCGTCTGCCAAGCGACCAACATTTTGGGGAGTCTGCCTGTATGGACTCCTCAGAATATGGGTGGCTTGATGGCTCTAAAGTACATGGAAGGTGCCGAAATGTCTTTAGGCTGGTGCGCATGCTTGCGACTGTTCACGACCCAAAAGACTTAAAATCCGGTTTTCACTCTCTGGTCGTAAGCAGTGCCAACTTTGTGAACCGGCCTTTACCCTGCCGACATATTTACCGTTTGACGTTCGGTATTCCTGTAGAGATGGCCGTCGAGTTATCATGCTGGTAAAGTGCAGCCGAAGCTCCGTCCAGGGTAGGTTTGCTTGTACTGGAGACGGCCGTTTCTGTCCTGTCCGTGACTGTGACCTAGTCCAATGAAAGAATAGGCGCGTGAAAACGTAGGCCTGCCGTGATGGCTCAGGCGAGCCGACCATTGTACAAAAAAAAGTTCATTGTAAAGCTTACCTCCTAGACGTACCCGCTATGACCACAGGATGGGTGGGATTTCTTCTGGCTTTGTGCCATTCTTGTGGGGATACCTTTCCTTTGTTACTCCGTTATCATTAAAGGGGCACTAATGAGCATTCCTCGCTATGTCTGCCATTTTTCTGTGTGTACTCTGCCTTGTGGGACGGATGATGCCATTGGTTCAGTCGCATCGTAGAAGACGAAAGCGATCAGAAGTTCTGGTACCTCAGTTGCTACACACATCTTTTTCCTTCTCTTTGCTTCGGTGGCACAGAAGACAGTTCTACAGAGTTCCTAAAAAAAGTTTGCAACACCTTTTCTGGGTCCTTAGAGAGTTCAGTGCGCTGCTGAGTCTTTCCTCAGTATTTTAGGCACACATTACTTTGCAAGATACGGTACGCAAAAACAAGTGGAAATGGCCAAAACTAAAATCTAAGCTTAAGTTTTCTTTTCGCTTTTCAAAAGAGTTTCTTTATGTAGAGCCACCTATACAATCTGTTCATTGGCTGTTTTAATGGGTCGTATGGCATTTGTTTGGAGTGAAACTTCATCAGCCTGGAAAGCTTCTGCTTCGTGTTCAAACTTGAGAAATTTATTTAGAAGTCCCTTTGGGGCACTGTAAAAAATCGAGAAATCGCCTCAAGGAAACAAGCACTAAGAGCGTGGTATACAGCCGCTTTGCATGTCTGTTTTGTGTGTGCATACATCTGCGAGTGCATGTGTGTACATGTGTGCATGTGTATGACATTGGCCACTTGAGGCATGACTCACAAATAATCGGCACACTTGACATGGCCCTTCAAAGAGAATCGCATTTAGTCATTTCGGAACACTTGGAATTGGTATCTCTATGTCTTGGAAGGGAGTCCACAGAATGATGCTTGGTTGCTTGTCACACGGAGGATCACCAGTGACAGACCACGGGAAGCATCCTAAAAGCAAGGTAACGGTTTTTTGTGAAAAGTCTTTTGAATCGTAGAGTGATGAGGTAATGTGACAGTCAAGGCACACATTTCATGGTTGTTTTGCATCCAAACTTTCTGCTTCATAGAAATTACTGTCATGGTACGAGGTGGGACTGCTGATATAGGTGGTATGGGATGGTCCCTGATTTGGGATTAATAGAGTCACACTTGATAAAAAGTACTAGAATCCACTTTTGTGTGCCATTGGTAACTGAAGATTGGCACAGTTGTTTCCTTTGGCAGTCTTAAATGATTGCTGCTTGTAATAAGACAAGTTTCCTTTGATACATTCCAGCCGCTTAACCACAATGCCTGTGCATTCTTTGATTACCTTGTGTGATTCTATCCCTCAAAGCCTTTTCACAAAAGAACTATGTTACCTCAGCTTCTGAATGCCCCTCATACCAAAGCCGTCCCATCGACAGAATTATGTGTTTCACTGGAGATACGAAGCAAAAGCGTTGGTTTCACACACTCCAAAAGCTGTTTAATGGGATGTCACGCTTTGCATGGAGACTTGCATCGTCTGGGGGTCCATCCATTTTATGTTATTTTATTTCAATCCACATGCTATCACAATTTGTTTGATTTATCTTTGCAGCATGCAGATGCCCTAAATGCAAACTTGTCCAGCAAAATACAGACAGATAAATAACTAGTCTGCAGCGTCAATGAAATTGACCCCACTGTTGCTACTTGTACTAAGTCCAATTAATAAGGCAATAAAAGGACAGTACCGGATCCCTGTGAACAATTAAGGACGTCTGGAGAGATCTTCACTTATGACACAAAACATAGCGAATAAAGAGCGCTCCACTCGTGTGCAAACATTTTCTGGGTGGTGGGTACCTAGTCGCCCCTTCAAGCTGGTTCAAGCGTAGTGTTTGTGGTTGGAGTACTCTTGCATTGCAGTCTAGACTGACAGTGCTACAGAACGGCTCTTGAAGTGAGTGCTCGCTTTGCGCCCTCAGGTGGAGTTTCTGACGGGCACCGCCAAAAAGCCCGGTGCCGAGGCAGCGGAAGTGGCAGCGGGGCTCAAACGCAAGAGCAAGTGGGATGTCGGCAGCGTGCAGACGGGTGGCGTCATGATGCCGGCACAGCTGAAGCCCGCCACGCTCGTCACTCCGCAGGTGGTCCCCGTGTCTCTACCCACGGGCACCAAGCCAACGGTCATCTCGGCCTTTGGGACCCTTCCAAAGAAGACCAAGCAGTGAGCGAGACATCTTAGGACCATCCTCAGTACTGTTTCCTGCACTCGAGTGTGTAGTGTGTGCGACATCCTTGGAAAGGCGTCTGCTATGGCCAGGGCAAGTTTGTGAGCTGACCCGGGAACTTGTAGACTGTGGCGACTGGGCCGCTCATTGATTCTGTGAGTTGTTGCTTGGCCGAGCCGAGACATTGCTCTGCTTACAAGCTGGATAAAAAGATCAGTATGGCAATTTGGTTGGTTTTACTTAACTGCACTGTGCTTGCTTCTTTTTTTCTCTTGATGGATGGAATATTTGTTATGCAGTGCAGCGGTTCACCCTTTGCTGAGATAAACAGTCAAATTTCTCTAATTTCATTTAGCTGTCCACAGAATCGCATGAAATGGTAACTTTCAGCTACTTTTCTAAAAAAATCCTTGCAAAAGAACGAGTTTGTGTTCACAGCATCTGAAGGAGTGCATTTAGGGTCTGTGTTCGGGTATAATAGATTATGCTTCAAGGATTGACTGGTGGGTTTGACTGTAAGCTCCTAAAATGCAGAAAGTTGAATCTGCATAACATTTTCGTGCTGTCTACAGATTGAAGATTTCAATGTTTCTCTGCTTGGGGATCAACCATGTGTCACCATTTAAAGGGATCAAGTTACGATGCCAAAAATGGTTCTGTTTTCTTCATTTTTAATGCAGGTCTGCATAACATTTTGAGTAAAACAGGTCTGGCCTGTGGCATTGCTTTCATGTGAATCTCAAAATTCACGATAATCATTTGTGCGGCATCTACCCTTATCGACTTGAGACAGAAAGAATAAAACAAGCTCGGGACAAGGGACGCCAAACCACGGCCTGACTGGAAGCGCGCGCTCTCTTTCTCTTCTTACGGCCTTTGCAATTGGGGCAATCGTCACCCCCACCGGAATTCGCGGGGGGCGCTGTCACCTCACCCCTGGGCTACCCTTTGCCGTTTGCACAGGGCGTGTCTGACAGTGTATCTTAACGCTGTCGCAACTTGCGGCCAAGATTTTTATAGCCTTTGACACCTGATCCTTACGTTTAGACCCTCAGCCACTATCTGATGCGCTTCTGATGAACCCAAAACGGTGAATATTTGACACACATCTCCAAGATATTCGGGAGTAAAAAGTAGTAAGTAGAGACAGCGAATGCAATTGCGGAAAAACTATATACTCGTCTTTACCTCCAGGACTTCTGTTGCAACTCAATAACAGGAGGGGACAGACCCCTTCTACGTGGAGGAACTTTAAATGATAAATAATTCGTACACTCTCGTGAAATGTAAGCAGGCCCAATGTATCTATTGCCGTGGCCTGCATCATCATTTCATAGGCCACACATGAAGTCGGTCAGCTGCTCTAGACGAGGCTGTAGTAGCCTGTACAATTTTTGCACAGTGCATATTACAGCCTAAAGTGCTTCCTCGGGGGCTTGTGCACATATCCAGCTGATTTTTTGTTTCTGTCCGTGACCGTCTTTGCCTGGTTAATCAGAAGTATTCTGAGTAACCATTGCCGAAACAACCTACGAAGCTCGAACACCAGCCAAAGCAGCTCGAAGGGACTCTCCGAGTGGGGTGAGGTGGTTGCGCCTCTGGCGGCAAGCAAGTGAACTACATACGGAGAAAAAATGCCATTAACTCCCAGGCGATTGCAAAGGCTATAAGAAGAGAGAGCGTGCGCTTCCAGTCCGGCCGTGGCCAAACAAACCTTTTGTCCCTTATTCCGTCCCTTTTCCTGAGCTTGTTGTATCCTTTCTGTTAACCTTACCAACATTCTCTATAGTTAATTTTACCTTTATCATATTCCGTTCCCTATACCTCGTTTTTTTTTTACTAAAGTTATAATTTCTCAATAACGTGACAGCGCCGCTGCGGCATCACTTTCTCGCCTTTGTACTCGCATAACCACAACATCTATATCAAGAGACGCTATTGACTGTTACTTCCTCTCTCTCTCTCTCTCTCTTCCCCCTCGCCATCGCCTCTTTGGGGTTCCAAAAAGGTTCTCCGGCGCGTCTACACAGTCGCGGCTGTGACGCGGCAATCGCTGTGTGGACGCGCTGTGTAAACGCTGTCTCTCTCTCTATTTCTTTTTTTATGCTGCCTGATTTGTTTTCAAATTGTCTCAATACACCAATATACATGGCTGAACTACCGTGGCAGCACAAAAAGTTCCATGGACGTTCTCAGGACAATCTAACATTTTATGGATGTTCACGGACGTTCTGAGGACCCTTGTGCCACCAATGTGGTAACTCAAATATTCTGTCAAAGTATCTTTGTTTTCTGCAAGGTTTCTGTATTTTCTAAGTTTGGTCCTTAGTGTTTTTACAAACTGAAAGTCTCCACTGACCAGTGGCAGGCACTGGCCTACAAGATGTTATTGCATGTGGTTGGTTGGCGCGAAATGAGCGCCGTGGAAGCTGACTCCGGTCACTCGCTGAGCAGATCAAAAACAATTTGCGACATACTGTTTTCTCTACTGCCTGCTGAACCAGTATTGTGATGTAAGTGCTGGAAAGCACAGGAAAATCTTAATGTTAGTATCTCCCTCATTGGCAGTTTTTTCAGTAGTTATTCTTCGGGATACCCAATAGCATGGCGGGGAAGGCATTTAGTAGATGTACTGGTAACGGACGAAAATCGTCCGAGTGGTGACAATTGCAGCCAGGAGACAAGGTGTACGCACGACGTCATCGGATCCCCGACCCTTGTCAAACACGCAAAAGCTCCACGAGAGACGCCGAGCGACAGATAGCGTCGTCGTGAGACGCCGACGCAAGGCGGCGCTGCGTGGAGAGTGATTACGGGGGAACGGCGCAGGCCTTGTCGCGATGACAGAGCACGCGTGGGCAATGAGAGGGGTAGGCTTCAAATGAACCGGGCCCTCCTCCCGGCCCCCGACATATGTAAAAAAGATTGGCAGTTCTCGTAATTTGGCTTGCAGAATACAAAACTTGGGTAAATGTCATCCAGAGGTTGACTCTAGGAAACAAACATTATCGACTGAATTAATGGGTGTCGCATATTATGTGGCTCTTATAACCGCTTTCAGCACATTGTTAGACGATTTTATGAGGCCATGGGATGGATGGATGCGCAATCGATTACTTTAAAGGGATTGCTCAATGATATCTGGAAGCTACTAAGTTTTTGCGCTGGTCACGTACAGAGGGCCTAAATATTGTTGGATGTGATATTTATTTCATTAAGAGATGCCCCAATATTCGTTAAATCAATTATGAACATCAATACGAAACTTTACGCCAAATTTCGCAAGTATGCATGGCTGGTTGTGTCGTGACGTCACATAAGGTAAGGATGTGACGCTCCCGACGACATTGCTTCACAGGTCTCCAACACCACCCACCAGACGGTGTTATGCATGCCCTATCTAACTATAGTTGCTGCAACGGCCGCCTCCAAAGCAGTGGCGCTTCAAACGACGGGAGGCAAGCCACTGTGAGTGAGGGGGGCACTGCCTCTGCAAGCAGCGTCTATGAGCAGTTCCTCTAATAGACCCTTTCCGGAATTTAGTGCCAGCTGATGACTCAAATGGCAGTTTACCGTTTACCGTACCAATGGCGGCAATGAACCTGCGGTCTGCAGTATTTTATGGGGCACCGTCACTTTCGCAAGTGAACGGTAAACAAGAATGTGCGCTTCATTGTCCAGATCTTTTTCAATCTCAGTGTCGATGGCCACAAAGATGCACCAAGTCAGAGCGAAGCGCCAACCCACATAGATGCCTTGATAGAGTTCTATACATGAAGGGGATTTGAAGCCGAGTGTGTGCTACTAACATATTGACTGGGACCGAGTTAGAAATGAACGCTTACGCAGCTCTTGCATCCAATTCCTGCTTCGCGTCGCACTATCGTCTAGAATGTGTAAGCCTCGTATCATCTGCTTAGGAGCACCTTCAACTTCTTCCCTCATCAGTAAACAGAAGGCCGCCATTAGTGATTAAAGTGGCCAGACTGAATTTTGGAAAGGGCCCATTACGTTGACTTATTCCCGGTTTTGGTCAACATGGTTGATGGTGCGTACAAACACCATCGTTGAACAATTGAGCTTCCCTCAACACCGTAAATCTTGCCTTTCTTAGGACAGTTATTTTACTGAGACAATAGACAAAAGTGGAGGTGGCTCTCTTTGCCTGACATTACGTCATAGATTCCACTGTTGCCAATGAAAATGCTGTGTGGTTTGCAGGTGCAACCTGAGCAGTTGGGCCTTGTTTAAAATTTAATTACTTGTGCGGCGGAGGATTAAAAAGTTAAAGACGTTTAGAAATCTCTGTAAAGCCAAGCTAGAGTGCAGCTCTTGAGGTATTTTGATTTCGCAATACACCGTGCTAAAGAAATTGAGAAAGAAATATATATATATATATATGTGCACTAACATAGATTTCTCCTCACATACTGGTTATGCACACTCCTCCTCCTCCTCCATATCCTCCCCTCCTCCTTCTCCATGCCCTCTCTTCCTCCACAGCATCCCTGCTAAATTTAGCTGGAAAATTGACGCCACGTGGCCTCAACACCAATTCTATTTCCCTGCTAAGTTTAGCGGGGTAAATGACGTCACAAGACTTCGAGGCACGTTACCTATAAATAAATCCAGTTTCTCCGCTAGATTTAGTGGAAAAATTGACGTCACGTGACCTCAACGCCAATTTTCTCCCAATGGAGCCAAGTGAAGCTGCTTTCTGATGGCTCCCAGGCCAGCTTTGAAGCCGTGCTGAACCTGCAGGTGCTGCAGGTTCGATTTTGCCAGGGAGCACCACCGTCGATCCACCATCTTCGAGGTCGCGGTTTGACGACAGTTCGCTTTAAAGGGGGGGTGCAACGATTTCCGGACTTCGGTCAAAGATTTCTGGAAGTTGCCCTCTGACACTTCTGAAGTAAACAACAGAAAACCGATTTCGCCTGCGTGTCCTAGTTGTTGCGTAAAAAAAAAAGATAAATATTGACATTTCGGGCACCCCTCAACTCACTCCCAATCTTCAGGGTCACACCTGGTCGCACTCCCAGTGACGTCATTCGGAGTGCCGTGTAGCTTCCCGTGTGCTATCTCGGAGGACGCTTCCTCTCCCTTTCTCTGCTGACATTAGCGGGCGTTATGCTGCAGCTTAGAGCCGAGCGAGGTCACAAAATCTTTTCGCTGTAGTTCCTTCGGCTGCCATTTGCAGCTGCAGGTGGGGGAAAAAGCTCGAC